CACCTTTTTAGAGTAGCTTTTGATTAGTATTTATTATTTATTATTGCTTTTTAGTACATCTATTTATGTTTTTAGACATTCTATTTTTATTTATTTTTATTATTTACTATTTTTAATTATTTATTGTATCTACCCATTTACTATTGTTATTATTAATATTAGGCAGCTTCCATCTTTCTTTTTATTGTCGCATTTTACTGTTCTACTTTCTATTGTATTATTGTATTGTTTTAGTGTCCCCAGTGTTTCCTCTGGAGGAGCCCTCTGCACTGAGAGCTGGGGTCTGCTGCGGCTTCGGGGGTCTGGCTCTTGGATCCGGTGGGGGTCTGGGGCCTCCTCTCTCCTCTGGGTCCTATGGGGTCTGAGTCCTGGGCCTGGTGGGGTCTGGGGCCCCTCTCTCCTCTGGGTCCTGTGTCGTTCCCTGTGGCTGCAGCCGTTTCTCTGCTCCTGGTGCAGATGGCTCCTTGGATGATGCTTCTTCAGCCGGTTACATCTGCTCCCAGCCCCATGTCTTTTTATTGTTTTACCTATTTTACCTGATATGACTTTATACTTGTGTGTGTGTGTATGTGTGTGTGTGTGGGTGTATATGTATGTGTGTGTGTGTGTATACGCATGTGGTTGTATATATAATTATAAATGTGGTTTTGGGGGGGTCTGTGGGGAGGAGGGTTTAGGGCTGGGCATGTTGGATTGTTTTTAACTAAACTGTAAAGCACTTTGTGTTACACTTTTTGTATGAAAAGCGCTTTATAAATAAAATTTGATTGATTGATTGATTGAAGTCGAGAGAGCGGCTCTAATCACATCATTCCTGACCGAGGACGAGATTACGAGCCCATGCACCTCGAGGCCCCTGAGTGACTGTGAGTATAACCACAAGCTCTTTGAGGGAGCTCTGCCTCTACCAACACACTCACACGGCCCCCCTGGTCTACTCCATTCTACTCCCTACCTTCCTGCTCCATCCCCAGTCACTACTACAACAGTTTATCCCCCTGTCTCAAATAACCCTTCACAAATTTCTGCGCCTCGAGTCCAAGCCCCTGCTACCACAAGTATGGGCGGCACGGTGGCTGAGTGGATAGCACTCTCGCCTCTCAGCAAGAAGGTCCTGGGTTCGAATCCCGGCCGGACCAGGGCCTTTCTGAGTGGAGTTTGCATGTTCTCCCGTGTCTGCGTAGGTTTCCTCCAGGTACTCCGGTTTCCCCTACCACTAAAAATATGTACAATAGGTCTGGCATGCGCCTCCTGTTCGGCGACCCCGCTCCCATCTCTGTGTGGAGTGAGAGGACAAGTGCCCAAAAAAATAACAATTGTAAACCGCTTTGTGACTCTGGTCTGTGAAAGGCGGTATATAAATAAAGCTTACTTACTTACTTACTTACATCACCATGCCTCCTCCCACCATTTCAGCGCCAAACTTTGCTCCACTGCCATCCCAAGTGCAGTTTCCTGTCCCACTCCCCCAAGCTCGAGTGCAACACATGCCTCCGCCACATCTACAGCCAGTGCCAAAGGATACAAACAATATACCTTTTCCCACTCAGCAGCCCGTACAACCGCATGTCACTGCACCTACCCCCAGCTTCAGAGGAGCATCTGGCACAGATCTGATGGAGCTACTAATCACTACATCATACGGCCTTCCCAAAACAGCACTACCCCACTTCACTTCCGGTAAAGAATCAGACTTCACCCTTCTCAAGATGTACTCTGGACAATCTGCTCAGTTCACACGCTGACCACACACACTAACTCACCCCACCCATAATCCACCCATACATGGTCCATTCCCACCTGTAACTGCCTCCTAACTGCCTGAGGAACCAACTTCAGAGGCGGCGCTGTTGAGCTGCAGGCTAGTTTTGCTGCACTGGAGGCACCTCTGCAAGAACAGTTGGCAGGACAGAAGATCGAGTTTCAACTCTCCTGGCTCCCCACACTTCGGTGGAACGTGGGAGCGGGAGATCAGGTCCATAAAGACGGCTCTCCAGGTTGTACTCCGTGACCAGACTGTTCCAGACCCTGTGCTGCAGACAGTCCTGATTGAAGTTGAAGGACTACACAACGCAAAGCCTCTGGGGTACATCTCATCTGATGCTGCAGACCCGGACCCCGTCACACCGAACCTCCTTCTCATGGGACGACGTGATGCATCGCTCCTGCAGGCCATCTACGCATCCAGCGATCTACTCAGCCGGAGACGCTGGCGTCATAGTCAGATCTTGGCGGACCATTTCTGGTCCAACTTCATTCGTCGCCATCTTCCAGACCTCCAGAAGCGTTCCAAATGGCACAAGGACACCGACAACTTCACTGCTGGCCAAGTGGTGATGGTTGTCGATTCCCAGCTACCGTGAGCCCATTGGCCCATCGGACGAGTGGTGAAGACATGTCCAGGTTCAGACGGACGAGTCAGAGCTGCTGAAGTGGACATTAAAGGACAGACCTACCTGCGTCCAGTCGTGCGTCTGGTGCGGTTGCCGGCCTGGGAAGACGAAGAGGACTCCAGCTAAATCAGACTTTTTTTTTTTCTTCAAATTTAGATATAAATTTGGGGGCTGCATTGTCAGAAAGTCTTATTTGTTTGGCCATTTTATTTTGTTAACCATTTGACGTCAAGTGCGGTCACCTGCCCCCCCTTTCACCGCTGCTCTTTTGGTTAGTCTGCTGTGTTCCCCTGTGTGAGTAGACGTGTGCGTGCATGAGACCGAAACCACACGCTGACCACACACGCTGACCACACACGCTAACCACACACGCTAACCACACACGCTGACCACACACGCTGACCACACACGCTGACCACACACGCTGACCACACACGCTGACCACACACGCTGACCCACCCATAATCCACCCATACACTATCCTTTCCCACCTGTAACTGCCTCCATATCCACAATAAAGATCCCCATCTGGATGTAGCAGCCTTCTCCGTGCCCTTCTCTCTGACCAGAGCCCCGTTTACAGTGCAGGTGCCCAGATCAGCAAACACCAGAGTATCCCACTCTATCACAATGAGCATGAGTAATATAGGAACGTTTAAATCTGTGGTTCTGAGACCCCAAATACCATAATGAAAGTTAGTTAGTTAGTTTAGTCTTTATTTGAGGGACAATGTACAGAGACATTAAGCTCAATGACAGATATGTTCTGCACCAGATTATAGCTAAACAGCTAGTTTCCATCTGCAGTCCCTGGTTACATGAATCAAATACATGGATATAGTAATATACAATCCAAAAAATAACTTTGCAATACAATGCACTCTCTCTGATACAGACACACACATTTAGCCTCATACCTGTTTGTTAAAACCACACCTTATTCACAGCATCACACCTGCACAATACACATGTTCCATGTCACAACCACACATTCAGATGATACATTAACACGTTCAGTACATTTCTCATCATACATAGTTCACATACATCAGTTTCTCATCATACATAGTACTGATAAAAATAAATGTAAAAGTCAAAAAATAAATGATAAAAATAAAGTAATGATTATTAGACATAGATCAAATGCAGAGAACAAAATACCTTGCAAGTTTGCATGGTTCTTCACTGGGACTAGCAACTTTACCTGCAAAGTAGGTGGAATTAACATGGTGCTGCTAATGCAATATAATAGTTCCATGTGTAAAGCACCAGCAAATTCTGACTCTACCATGTGCACGATAGCGGCTACAACACAAGCTAACAGTAAAATAACGCTGGCAGCATAAGTTATGTTATTTTAAGAAGAAGGACCGATGATGCAGCTGTATGTGGTCAGGACCAGTCTGTCTGGTTCAGCCCTGACCCTGACTGAATGATGTTTAAAAAATAATTATTTTATCAACACGGACAGAATATCCCATCTCTGATCATGATCAACTATCACAATGAAAATGACACTTATTATGTTAAAAACAACCATGAATATAGTGTTTTTAACAACCTCTGTCTCATTCTGTGAAGACCGTAACAGTTTAACATTTAAATAAACGAGATATATCACAACAATGTATATGGCCAGCTTTCATTAGAATGGCCACACATGAAATAATTAACGTTTTTGTTCACGCACATTCTCGGACATGTTTCCTCAGTGCAGTATAAGAAGAATATAGTATATTTCTGTGTAAGAACCACTGTGGTAAGAATTACAGGCATTCTGCAGAAACTAAAGGTACGGAGCGCCAGGAGAGGGCGCTAGTTCCTAGGATTTAACTAAGAATTATTACGTGCATAAAACTCTGAGGTCAATGGAGCGGGGCTGATCATGGATCTATTATAATATCCTGATGAAGGAGCTGCTTCAGTGAACACAGGCCTTATCAGGAGCATTACTGACACTATGTGTGAGGATTATCCCAGACTCAAATGCATTATGGATCACGGCCGTACTCAAGTGGACCTCAGCAACAATGAACTTCTGCAGTGTATGTTTCATGAAGGAAGACGGAGTAAAGCAGGTGTCTGATGCTCCGTTGCTGTTGAAGCAGATGAAGATGTCTCATAGAAATCAGTGCAGTGGTTGTTGCACAGTAATAGGAGGCAGTAAAGAGTGGGACATGGGGGAGATATTGATCTGGAAATACTCAAACGCACAATTCTTGCACTAATCTGACTTTGCAGCAGGTGTGCGTAACTAGACTGTCTCATCTAAAGGATTGTTGCTGATTTGTCCACATTTGTGACATCTGACGGAGCTTCGACCCGCGGCCTCTGCTGGGATTAAGCAGTGAAACCTGATGGAAAATAATATGGAGGTAAGTAAAACATGTGTTAGCTTAGCCACCAATCAGGACTGTGGCAAAAGCATGGGCAAAAGTGATGTTGGAAAATAATATAAAGCCGACGTAGCTGAGTCATTTCCATAGCAACGCTTCTTACGTATCTGGACGCAGCCGCCGCCTGACGTCACTCTGACTTTGACCGAGCCAGAGATAGCTGCACTTTGAGCATCGAGCGATTGACAATCAAGTTTCAGAAAGCATCGACATGAACGACCACCGGGGCCAAGGTACTGAGTGACAAACACATCAGAATAGATTCATGGGAACAGTCATATGTTTGTGACTGATCAACAAGACAATCATTTTCTTTGAACGTTCTAAATCATGGCAGTAGACTTTCACTCGACGACTTAAGGATGAATTAAAGGTGAAAACTTGGATAAAGTTACATAAATGTGTAGCTTAGGAAGCGAACTATCCATTTTGTGAGACATGTTCATGAAAACAACAGTATTTATTTCATGGTTCGTCAAAATCCACCACTTTTGCTGCGTTTCTGGAAAACAAAATGGCGCCCGTCTAAAATGTTTACTTTTGAAATGTTCTTCCACTAACTTTCGGTTGCCTGGTAACCAACTTTCTATGGCTCCTTTTACAACATGCAGACTGGTCTTGGACCGGTCCAGGACCAGTCCAAGACCAGTCCGGTCTTGGACTGGTCCTGGACTGGTTCTGGTTCTGAGCCTATTACCTCACTAGGCTAGCATTTAGCCTTTTAACAAACTGTTTTTGCTGTATTTCAAGTTATATTAACCAGGTTCAGCACTTATTAAAAGTGAGGAAAGGTTCAAAGTCGTATAAATGACTGACTTTTAATAAAATTGGAAAATTAAAGGTTTTGGAGTTATAACAGTTTGTGAATGGTGGTAGTCGTAGTGGTTGTTGGTCCAGTATTGTGCTTATGGTACAAGTGTGTTCATTAACATGCACGTGTGTGCACGTGTGTGCACGTGTGTTCGGCGACTCGCTTCCGTCATCACTGTGTGTGGAATGATTGGAACAATATCTGAACTCTGAACATTGTAAAGCGCTTTGGGTGACCTTGGTCTGTAAAATGCGCTATATAAATAAACATTACTTACTTACTTACTTACTTAAGTGTTAAGCACATGTGCTAGTTTTCAACACTAGTCCACAGGGGCTTTTACAGATCAAATACATTTCAAACAATTACAATAAAATGTGGACGTGAGAACAACTCTGGATCTTAACACATGTTTGAGCTCTGTGCTGAAGATGGTCATGTTAGTCTGTAGTTTTAGTCCCTGTAGTTTTTAACACTGATACATTTGATAGTAACAGTATCTGTGGTGCACCGTGAAATAGAAAATGCCACCTGCACGTTGGGCTTCTTATGGAAACTTTTCTCTCTAAAATTGAATCTGCCAGGGTTTGTCTTGGTCCTGTCTGCAGTCACTTCATTGTGTGCATATGCATGGCAGCCATTAAGATATTTGTTAACACTAGGACCGCCGTGCTCTAAACATACCTTGCACCGCCCCCTGCGGTCAGTTGACCGCTGTGTATTTTGCGCTGATACAGCCTTTTGCCAAATTGATTGTTCACTAAACCAGAACTTGATGTTGCAAGGAAATCGTGATCATAATGAAACTGTGTAAATTATTTGTCTAAATATGCTAAGTAATTGTAATTCTAGCCAAAATAAAAGGCTAAGACGACACATTGTGCGTGTACTGATCCATCAAAATTAGGATGACTTTTCAGGCTAGATTTATTTTGTAACTTTGCAAACAGCTAAAAGGTCGGTCACTATATGTTAAATTGACTCAGTAACAATATGTAAATTCAAACAATATAAATGATAGTTTAGAAAAGCACGGGACCATAACGTCTTCGCGCTGCTGTATGCGTCTATACGTCATCTCCAGACTGTTTTCTCTTTCCAGCCGAAGTCACCGTGGGAAATATTTTATAGATAATAATAATAGAATTTGTATTGACACAAGATCATCAGCTAGGCTACCATCGCCAATGTACAATCTTCCATTTTACACGGGACACGTTAGAAAGACAAATATATATATATTTGTATTTATTTGAGACAAGGCGCGGAAAACCCCCGGGAAAGGTTACTATGACAACAGTCGCCCCTGCGCCATGTTTCCCTATGGGGCAGCAGAAAGGGCTGTGGTTTAGAAAAGTTAAAATGCGTTTAAATCTTGTTTTCTTTACTTTTTCCAAAACCAAAACACACCGAAATATAAACAACAAGTACCCAGTAAAAGTCATAAAATTTCAACTTCTGGCGTTTTGTTTTGAATACACTAATTAGCATATTAAAGTGAGTGACGGTCAGTTGACCGCTAGGGCCGCTCCTAGTGTTAAGTTGCTTGTATTGAAACGTCCAACCCTAATAGTTATTGTGACAGGCCTAGCTCTTGGAGCGCCCATTTTTTGTGTCCTTCATCGTCACGTCAAACATATTGTTCCAATGCAGATGCTGTTTTAATTATATGTAACAGCGCTGCCTCGCTTACTACAGCCGTATACACAAAAATACTGCCTTGTATCTACGAAAGTCAGCAAAGTAAAGACTGTCAGCAGTGTCTGCGGCTGCAGTTGCTACGCAGGCTAATGCTAATGCTAACGCATTTCTTCCGTTCCTTATTAGGCATTTTCCTAAAAATCAACACTCGTAGATACTCCATAAGTTCTCCACTTGACGGGAGCAGTTTCCACAACTCTACACACCATAGAAAAAGAGCATTTTGACTCTGAATCAGTGACTTTTTACGTTGTTCTTAATGGGGAGATTTACTTCTGTCCCTCGGAGCACTTTTGCGCCACTGCGGGCCGTCAGGTGCAACCCAGCAATTAAGATTTCAATTATTTAAAAAAACCATTATGAGGCTAAAAAAAACGTATATTTGACTTGACTTTTTTTCTTTTCTAGGTCACCGTGAAGTCCCCCGGGCTTTTGAAGATCGAGTTCACTTCCCTCCGCAGGGTTTTTATCCTCCGCAGGTGGTCCTCCCTCCGCAGGGTTTTTATCCTCCGCAGGTGGTCCTCCCTCCGCAGGGTTTTTATCCTCCGCAGGTGGTTCTCCCTCCGCAGGGTTTTTATCCTCCGCAGGGGGTCCTCCCTCCGCAGGGTTTTTATCCTCCGCAGGTGGTTCTCCCTCCACAGGGTTTCCATTGGCAGGTGGTCTTTCTACCTCAGGATTTCTACCTCCCACAGGTGGACTTCTATCCTCCGCAGGTGGACGTCTTTCCTCCTCAGGTGGACGTCTTTCCTCCTCAGGTGGACGTCTTTCCTCCGCAGGTGGACGTCTTTCCTCCGCAGGTGGACGTCTTTCCTCCTCAGGTGGACGTCTTTCCTCCGCAGGTGGACGTCTTTCCTCCGCAGGTGGACGTCTTTCCTCCGCAGGTGGACGTCTTCTCCAGTGCGTCTTCCTCCGCAGGTGGACGTCTTTCCTCCGCAGGTGGACGTCTTTCCTCCGCAGGTGGACGCTTTTCCTCCGCAGGTGACGTCTTTCCTCCGCAGGTGGACGTCTTTCCTCCGCAGGTGGACTTTTCCTCCGCAGGTGGACGTCTTTCCTCCTCAGGTGGACGTCTTTCCTCCGCAGGTGGACGTCTTTCCTCCTCAGGTGGACGTCTTTCCTCCGCAGGTGGACGTCTTTCCTCCGCAGGTGGACGTCTTTCCTCCTCAGGTGGACGTCTTTCCTCCTCAGGTGGACGTCTTTCCTCCGCAGGTGGACGTCTTTCCTCCGCAGGTGGACGTCTTTCCTCCGCAGGTGGACGTCTTTCCTCCGCAGGTGGACCTTGTGGATGTCCACTCTCCCTCTTCTCCTGTATCTTCTTCCCCTCTAGATTCTCCCTACTTTCTTTGTCCTTCCTCTCCTGATGTGGATCCCTCGTCTCCCTCTGCCTCTTGCTCTTCTGTTTTTTCTTCCACAGATTTCCAGAGCCCTGAGGAGTTCCTGGACTTCTTTGTCCATACTCTCGATTCAGCTCCTGCCTCCCCCACTACTTCTCCTCAGGTTCCTCCTAGCTATGGAGCAGCTGCCCCTTCCCCACCTGTTTCTGCCCCTCCTTCTCCTCGTCTCTCCTCCCCCTCACGCCCTTTCTCTCCCACTTCTTCCTCGGCCCCTTTCTTGTCTTCTTTTTCTTCCCCAGATTTCCAGAGCCTTGAAGAGTTCCTGGACTTTTCTCTGCAGACTCTGGATCCAGCTCCTGCCTCCCCCACTAATGCTCCTCTTCTTTTCCCTCCCATCTTTGGTGCAGCCGTCCCCTCTCCTCCTGGCACTGCTCCTCCGTCTCCCCTCCTTGCTTCCCCCTCACGCTCTTTCTCTCCCTCTCCAGATGCGGAGGCGTTTGTTTTAGGTCCAGAGCTTCCTAATCTCCCTTCAGTTCCTGTACCAGGTTTCTCTGATCCAGGTGACTCAGTTCCTAACACTGCTTCTCCCTCTTGTTCCCGTAAACGTAGCAGGGACGAGTGCACTGCTGAGACCAGCTCCAAGAGGCGGCGCTGCTCCTCTCCTGCCTCTTCTCCTCTGGTCTCCCCTGCTCCCTCTTCTTCCTCCCACTCTCCTTCCTCCTAACCCTCCCTCCCCCTCTCCACCCTCCCCCTGTCCACCACCCTTCCTCCCTCCCCCTCTGCCATCACCTCCCTCGTCATTTTTTCCCTGCTCATCTCTCGGTCAGCACTAGACCATATACGGAAGCGGAAGTAAATATAACAAACTGCCTATTCATGCCTAAACTTGAATAGACAGTTTAGGCCTATTCAAGTTTAGGCAGTTTAACCCTAACCCTAACCATCTTACTCATACCACCTAAAACTTAACCAGTCACCACTTAAGGACTTTTTAGTCTAAAACAAATTTGAAAGTAGGATTGTTACTTCCGGTTTCGTCCCAATTCCGTATATGATCTAGTGCCGACCCTCATCTCTCCCCCGGTCTCTCTCCTCATAACTCCATCTCTGCCCTCTGAATTCCCCCATGCTTCTTCCACAGTTTGTCCCTTTTCAGATCCCCCCCTCTCAGGAATCTCAATGGCAAGAGTAGGACAAACATCAGTGTCCGGAGCATTAACGGCACAACAGGAGCCTGCCTGAGCCACAATGTCTGCTACTGGCATTTTCAGTGGCAGATGTTGTCTTTAGTGGCCTTTTCAGTGGCAGCTAGAAGATTAGTGGCATTTTTGTTGGAAGCTTGTATTTAAGTGGCTTTCAGACATCCTTTGGAAATTCAGCAGGGGACATTTTCACCTGCTTGGTTTTCTGCATCGAGATCAACAATCAGGGAACCACCACCTGCCCAATGCCACTAAACTTTTAGCTGCCATTGAAAATGCCACTACACCTCTAGTTGCCAATTTTTTGGCCGCCTCTGATCAGCCGTGGCAGCTGCCACGGCTGATCAGAGCAGACCCAGGTGAACCTTGGCGGACAGACATCAGTGTCCAGAGCAGACCCAGGTAAACTCAGGAGGACACATCAGTGTCCAGAGCAGACCCAGGTGAACCCAGGAGGACAGACATCAGTGTCCAGAGAAGACCCAGGTGAACCCAGGAGGACAGACATCAGTGTCCAGAGCAGACCCAGGTAAACTCAGGAGGACACATCAGTGACCAGAGCAGACCCAGGTGAACCCAGGAGGACAGACATCAGTGTCCAGAGAAGACCCAGGTGAACCCAGGAGGACAGACATCAGTGTCCAGAGCAGACCCAGGTAAACTCAGGAGGACACATCAGTGACCAGAGCAGACCCAGGTGAACCCTGGCGGACAGACATCAGTGTCCAGAGCAGACCCAGGTGAACCCAGGAGGACAGACATCAGTGTCCAGAGCAGACCCAGGTGAACCCAGGAGGACAGACATCAGTGTCCAGAGCAGACCCAGGTGAACCCAGGAGGACAGACATCAGTGTCCAGAGCAGACCCAGGTGAACCCTGGCGGACAGACATCAGTGTCCAGAGCAGACCCAGGTGAACCCAGGAGGACAGACATCAGTGTCCAGAGCAGACCCAGGTGAACCCAGGAGGACAGACATCAGTGTCCAGAGCAGACCCAGGTGAACCCTGGCGGACAGACATCAGTGTCCAGAACAGACCCAGGTGAACCCAGGAGGACAGACATCAGTGACCAGAGCAGACCCAGGTGAACCCAGGAGGACAGACATCAGTGTCCAGAGCAGACCCAGGTGAACCCAGGAGACAGACATCACATGTTCTTTAATAATCTGTTCTCTCTGCAATAACGTGTATTTGTGCAGATGCAGAGAGGTGCCTGCAGAAACACTTGTATTCATTGAGTGCAGAGCAATAGTTGCTGGATCTGAAAGCTCTGAGCTCACAGGACATTCAGGACAAGGGGGACATCACACAGGACCTGATCCAAGACCCGGACCAGGAGCAAAACTGCAGGTAAGGGTGGTCTATGTATATATATTTATACATATGTATATAGAGTGGGGCAAAATCATATTTGTCAGAGTCTTTATATCAAGCTAAAATGAACAGATTCATTTGTATAATGGTGCAGAATATAAGTGCTCTGTTCCCATCATGTCTATTTCCTGGTCTCTGAGTCTCCCTCTTGTGTCTTTCAGACTTGGTGTTTTTTCTGGTGGGATCTCTGAACACCTGACTCCTACAATCAAGCTCTCCAGGTCTCACTGCCAGATTGTTTTCTGGAGTCTTGCCACGTCCCCACCTGCTTCGAATCCTCAGTCATTGTTCCCTGTCCCCAAGAAGACCCGGATCACTGGACTTAATGACTACAGACCCGTGGCTCTGACATCTGTAGTTATGAAGTCATTTGAGCGCCTGGTCCTCCCCCACCTCGAGTCCTTCACCAACAGATCTGTAGACGACGCCATTAACCTGGCCCTCCACCACATCCTACAGCACCTGGACTCCCCGGGGACCTACGGCAGGGTCCTGTTCGTGGACTTCAGCTCTGCCTTCACCACCATCCTGCCATCCCTGCTCCAGGACAAGCTCTCCCAGCTCAACATGTCCGATGTGTTCTTTCTCCCTTGCTCTTCTCCCTGAACACCAACCACTGCACCTCCTTGAAGCTCATCAAGTTTGTGGACAACACCACCATCTCCAACATCGATGAGTCCGCCTACAGGAGGGAGGTGGACCGGCTGGTCTCCTACAGGAGGGAGGTGGACCGGCTGGTCTCCTGCAGGAGGAGGTGGACCGGCTGGTCTCCTACAGGAGGGAGGTGGACCGGCTGGTCTCCTACAGGAGGGAGGTGGACCGGCTGATCTCCTACAGGAGGGAGGTGGACCGGCTGGTCTCCTGCAGGAGGAGGTGGACCGGCTGATCTCCTACAGGAGGGAGGTGGACCGGCTGATGTCCTACAGGAGGGAGGTGGACCGGCTGGTCTCCTACGGGAGGGAGGTGGACCGGCTGGTCTCCTACAGGAGGGAGGTGGACCGGCTGGTGTCCCACAGGAGGGAGGTGGACCGGCTGGTGTCCTACAGGAGGGAGGTGGAGTCATTTCGTTTCCTGGGCACCACCATCACCCAGGACCACAAGTGGGAGCCGACCATCAGCTCCTCATCAAGAAGGCCCAGCAGAGGATGTACTTCCTGCAGCAGACTACACAGACTACAGCGCATTGTGCGCTCTGCAGAGAAAGTGATCGGCCACAGCCTCCCAGCGCTGCAGGACCTCTACGACGCCCGAGGCCGTGCTGGTCGTATCACTGCTGACCCCTCTAACCTGCACATGGACTGTTCCAACCTCTCCCCTCTCATCAGCACATGGACTGTTCCAACCTCTCCCCTCTCACTTACTGCCCTTTACAAAGGCACCGTACTGCCTTTTATAAAGTCACTTACTGCCCTTTACAAAGGCACCTTACTGCCCTTTATAAAGTCAATTACTGCCCTTTACAAAGTCACTTACTGCCCTTTACAAAGTCACTTACTGCCCTTTACAAAGGAACCTTACTTCCCTTTATAAAGTCACTTACTGCCCTTTACAAAGTCACCTTACTGCCTTTTATAAAGTCACTTACTGCCCTTTACAAAGGCACCTTACTGCCTTTTATAAAGTCACTTACTGCCCTTTACAAAGGCACCTTACTGCCCTTTATAAAGTCACTTACTGCCCTTTACAAAGTCACTTACTGCCCTTTACAAAGTCACTTACTGCCCTTTACAAAGGCACCTTACTGCCCTTTACAAAGTCACTTACTGCCCTTTACAAAGTCACTTACTGCCCTTTACAAAGGCACCTTACTGCACTGCTGTACATTGTATATTGTGTGCACCGAGCCCAAGTGCACTTGTTTATAGTAATAATCATAATACTTTTAACTAAAATCTTAGAAAGAGCTTTACTTTAGAGATGTTTAGAAATGTTTTATTTTGTCTTATTCTTGACTTTTGACCTGATTGCACTGAGAGCCAAAGCCATTTTCCAGTCTGTGACTTCCTGTTTCTTACGTGTCAATAAAAATGGTTGTGATTCTGATCGTTACGTCTCTTCAGTCTCTTCAGTGGCACAGACTTATCTTTAGCATGAATCTAGTGAAACCTCAAACTTTAGCTTGTCTTAACATTCTGTTCCTTCTTATTCATTCAAATGGTGTTTTTTTCCCAAACCAGCTGCTCCAGAGACCCACCAGCCAATCCAATCCAAGCACTCCATAAATGTTTTCCCTTTGTTCTAACCTGCAGTGTTTTCTTTGGGCTCCTATTACCAATCTTTATTTCAGGCTCAAATTCAATGGCTCCATATTCTGAAGGAAAACAAGCAGAAAATACAACATATAGAGTCAGTCCAAACAGGTCTATAGGTGATGGAAGAGTGTTTCAGCCGCTTTCTCAGAGCAGAGCTGCAGTCAACTTTTGACTTAGATTTATTTTTTAGTTTTATTACATGCAGGAAATGGTGATAATGTGATTACAATGATATCAGGGTTTATATAATTATGTGTGTGGAGTCATCACGGTATTGTTGAGGAAACTTTTACAAAAAGACTAAATATTGATTCTGTTTTCAGACACATTGCAAACATCACACCTCGCCTCATTGCTCTGATTGGACAGCCCTTTGCTTTTTTAATTGAAAAATTTTCTTTACAAATCACAAAATGAGTACATATAACAGAAACATGTGCGATATGCAAGTGTAATGCCAGAGGGAGTTTTCATATGCTGAGATTTTTGTCACTACTTTTCAAAATCATGAAGGTCTAGGATTCCATTTGTTGAACTGATGCTCGGAAAAGACAGATGACGACGAGGACTTGCTTTTCCATTGATCCATTTGCATGAATCCTTTTCTGTGTCGGGGAAGTGTCAATCAGTCACAGAGCTCCAGACATTCTTACATTATAATAAAACCTTTTTGGTTCATGGATCTGTCTTTCCAAACAGCATCAGGGATGAGGTTTCTCCTGTAAAAAGATAAACACGAATTTGTCCTTCAGTGTAAATGTCATCGTTGCACATTAAAGCAGAATAGAAAGAAAGTGAGAGCACCCAGGTTATATAGAGCAATAAAATCCTAACATAATAACATATAACTCTGGAGCTATATTTGCACTTGGTAATAGGATTAAGATTAAATTATTCTTATTTTTTTCCTACAGTGGGGAAATTTCAGTTTTGCATCACAAGTTACAGAGCAGTAGGAATGAGATTTAAATGAACAATTACTCTATACTAAAAGAGTAATACATATACTAACTATTTAACTCTGGCAGAGAAAGAAGCAGTGTAAAACATCTATATTTAGGGTAAAAGAAAAATCTCCAACTTTATTTTGATGACTTTAGCATAATAAGGAGCAAGTATAAAACACTGTATATTCTGGTGCAGTAATATATAATTGTATGTTTACGTCTGTACATTCACAGCATGAGGCTCTGGGCCTCAGTGACTCAGTAAAGTGCATAAACTGAATATACAGTGCCTTGCGAAAGTATTCGGCCCCCTTGAACCTTTCAACATTTCGCCACATTTCAGGCTTCAAACATAAAGATATAAAAATTTATTTTTTTGTCAAGAATCAACAACAAGTGGGACACAATCGTGAAGTGGAACGAAATTTATTGGATAATTTAAACTTTTTTAACAAATAAAAAACTGAAAAGTGGGGCGTGCAATATTATTCGGCCCCTTGCGCTAATACTTTGTAGCGCCACTTTTTGCTGCAATTACAGCTGCAAGTCGCTTGGGGTATGTCTCTATCAGTTTTGCACATCGAGAGACTGGAATTCTTGCCCATTCTTCCTTGAAAAACAGCTCGAGCTCAGTGAGGTTGGATGGAGAGCGTTTGTGAACAGCAGTCTTCAGCTCTTTCCACAGATTCTCGATTGGATTCAGGTCTGGACTTTGACTTGGCCATTCTAACACCTGGATACGTCTATTTGTGAACCATTCCATTGTAGATTTGGCTTTATGTTTTGGATCATTGTCCTGTTGGAAGATAAATCTCCGTCCCAGTCTCAGGTCTTTTGCAGACTCCAACAGGTTTTCTTCCAGAATGGTCCTGTATTTGGCTCCATCCATCTTCCCATCAATTTTAGCCATCTTCCCTGTCCCTGCTGAAGAAAAGCAGGCCCAAAGCATGATGCTGCCACCACCATGTTTGACAGTGGGGATGGTGTGTTCAGGGTGATGAGCTGTGTTGCTTTTACGCCAAACATATCGTTTTGCATTGTGGCCAAAAAGTTCAATTTTGGTTTCATCTGACCAGAGCACCTTCTTCCACATGTTTGGTGTGTCTCCCAGGTGGCTTGTGGCAAACTTCAAACAAGACTTTTTAATGGATATCTTTGAGAAATGGCTTTCTTCTTGGCACTCTTCCATAAAGGCCAGATTTGTGCAGTGCACGACTGATTGTTGTCCTATGGACAGACTCTCCCACCTCAGCTGTAGTTATCTGCAGTTCATCCAGAGTGATCATGGGCCTCTTGGCTGCGGTTATTTTCACGATCAGTCTTCTCCTTGTTTCAGATGAAAGTTTGGAGGGACGGCCGGGTCTTGGTAGATTTGCAGTGGTTTGATACTCCTTCCATTTCAATATAATTGCTTGCACAGTGCTCCTTGAGATGTTTAAAGCTTGGGAAATCGTTTTGTATCCAAATCCGGCTTTAAACTTCTCCACAACAGTGTCTCGGACCTGCCTGGTGTGTTCCTTTGTCTTCATGGTTCTCTCTGCGCTTTAAACAGTACCCTGAGACTATCAAAGAGCAGGTGCATTTATACGGAGACTTGATTACACACAGGTGCATTCTATTTATCATCATCAGTCATTTAGGACAACATTGGCTCATTCAAAGATCCTCACTGAACTTCTGGACTGAGTTTGCTGCACTGAAAGTAAAGGGGCCGAATAATATTGCACGCCCCACTTTTCAGTATTTTATTTGTTAAAAAAGTTTAAATTATCCAATACATTTCGTTCCACTTCACGATTGTGTCCCACTTGTTGTTGATTCATGACAAAAAATTAAAATGTTATATCTGTTGAAAGGTTCAAGGGGGGGCCGAATACTTTCGCAAGGCACTGTATTAAAGTGACAGACACACATGAGGTTCTATATTGCACATTCTGACATCCTTTGCAGATGGTTGGTTTTGCACAGAGAATGTGATCAGAATAAACAATAGTAATAATATCAGCAGGTAAAGTGACGAGTGGATTATCAGAACGTGAATGGCACAAGTGCAGACTCAGCAGTTCTCATTGTACAGTCTGACAGCAGCAGGAAGTAAGCAGATGGTGCAGAAATAGAAATGGAGCACGTATTCTTCTGTTATTTTCACGAACTTTTTACGAAAACAAACTTTTCCAACAGAGGAGTCCGATCCAGTCAATAGTAGTATTTTTGTGATCGATCTGTCCCCCAAATCCCCCCCATCTGCCCCGACGCACTGACGTTACTGACGCACTGAGGTCACACTGCCGTTAGCGGAAGTGACGTCACACGCTTCGACCTTGCAGTTACGTGCAGCAACATGGCGAACAAGGAGCCCAGCGTGAGTACTGCTCTGCCCCATCTTTACAGCCTATGGTCCACTCTGTCCTCTCTCGGTCCTCTCTCGGTCCTCTCACCACACACATGTCCTCAGCGGCCCCTCTGCAGCCGCCGGGCCGTGTGTCTGCAGCCGCGTCACCGGACTGTCCTGCCGCGGTCTGCTGAGCACCGTGCATGTGACGGGTCTGTGGTGACGGGCCTCGGTGTCTGCTCCCTGTCTCTGTCCCTGTCTCTGGCTCTGGCTCTGGGTCTGATTGGCTCAGTGAGGGTGGTCCCGCTTTTATAATCCACTTTTCTGTCTGAAAAGCGGATCTAAAGATGTGACGGAGGCCTGAGATGCAAACATGTGAAAACTAATATTAGATAAGATAGACTGTATAGATCTCACACTGGAGACGTTTACAGTGAGAGATTAAAGCTTCTTTAGAATCAGAAACGTGTGACATGGATTGTGTTACATGGCTCCATTGCGGTGGTTTCAAAGTTACCTAAGCTTCAGTGTCTCCATCTCCTTCACGTACTGAGATGATTCCAGTTTTCATACTAGTTTTGGACTAAATTCACTTTTCTAATTGAAAATAAAGTCATACAAAAAAAGTCTTTACTTGATCCGTCTGAACGTGGCTCCACAGAGACTGTCCTGTCACGCTATATATATATATATATATATGTATATAAACATTCCTTGTTAATTCAGTAATACTGGACAAGAGTTTGTTTTTAACACTGTAATCAGGGGTTGTCGTAATAGTAATAATAATAAGTTTTAGTTCCACCCTGAGCAGGAGCAAAACAGACTCCACCCCTTTCCTCAGGTGAGTCCAGTTTTAACCTGAAGATCTGAGAAAATGGGTGGAGTCTGCTGTGCTCCTGCTCAGGTTAGAACTAAAACCTGCAGCCACAGCTGCCCTTTTTGGAACCGTTTGACAAACCTTTGTTCTTGATCAAAACAATGGTCTACTGTCACTTGCAGTGAGTGTTTGGTTTTGCTCGCAACTCCGTTACCCTGCATCAATGTTGAACACTGTTCTGGTCTGAATACATGTGTAAAGATTCAATAAGGCAGCATCAGTTGAACACAATATTACATTAAAAAAGTTTATCAAAGGTTGCCTGGTCTGGGATGAGAGTCAATGGAATGTAGGGCGCTCCTCCAGAAGATTGAGAAAGACTGACAGGCATTCAGAATCATAAGTTTAAAACAAAAAGTAAAACATCTTTATTTTACTTTGTGGTAAAAGAAAATCTAAAAATGCCAATAAAGATTTTAAATGGGACAAATGGAACCTGTTTCACTGAAGTTTGAGCTGACTCAGAGATTGTTACTCTGGGGTCAATGCTAGTTGTTAAGCCTCTCGGACGACTGCTTGAAGCGGAAATTCCATTTCATGTGGAGCGGATGTTTCTTCATCAAACAGAAGTCCTGATTCACCTGACACACACCATCAAATTGCAAATGGGTGATAATCATAATAAAGAATCATTCAAAAAAATCTTACCAATCCTTTGGTGTCAAGAAATGGGGAAAAGATGGTGAGGACATCAGTACTTTTCCCAGGGTCATTGATACATTTTTGGCAGCCATCACTGTCCAGTTGGCCTCCTTGGCCAACGTTGGTTTGGATGCATCATGACCTGTCCTGCTTATAGGATTGTCAAAATACTTCTGAAAGACAAAATAATACCTTCAAACTAAAACTATCGATTTGAACAGAAAATAAATAGCATTCATAGCAACAACCAAAACATTAATATTACCTCGCCATCTTTGTGTGTGGATCTTTGAGGGAGGTAAAGGCCATCACAATCCCAAGGGAGTATTATTGGTGCTAATAATGTAGCTGAACATAAAAATGTCAAAAAGTGTCAGAAAGTCTTATTTGTTTGGCCATTTTATTTTGTAAACCATTTGACGTCACTAGTGAGGTCCCCTGCCCCCCCTTTCTCCTCTGCTCTTTTGGTTAGTCTGCTGTGTTCCCCTGTGTGAGAAGAGGTGTGCGTGCATGAGACCAAAACCACACACGCTGACCACACACGCTGACCACACACACTGACCACACACGCTGACCACACACACTGACCCACCTATAATCCACTCATACACTATCCTTTCCCACCTGTAACTGCCTCCATATCCACAATAAAGATCCCCATCTGGATGTACCAGCCTTCTCCGTGCCCTTCTCTCTGACCGGAGCCCCGTTTACAGTGCAGGTGCTCAGATCAGCACACACCAGAGTATCCCACTCTATCACATGGTCCTTCGAGCCGGATTTGAACACCCCCTGTAGACAACATGGAGTCACTACAACTGCATTCTGATGAAGCAGTGCGAACCAGACCCCAGCGGGAGATACGGCTACCACAGCATCTAGATAACTATGAAGTTGGATATCAACCTCCAGTTACAACCCCTTCTGCAGTCATAACCCTGCCTGCATCGACCACTACAGCTGATCATGGAGCAGCTGCAGTACCCAAACTGGTGGAACCATCTCCACGTAGAGAGAAACCACACTCATGCCGAAGCTCAGTGTCTTCTCACCACAGCAGGAAATCCCAATCCTCATTTCACTCACTGTCCAAGGGCTCAACAGTCGATGGGCTATCCGAGCTGCAGAGTGCCAGGTTGGAGGAGAGAATGAAGCGTATGGAACTAGCAGAAGCACAGAGGCAAGTCATGGAGCAGACCTTGGTTGACAAACAGTGCCTACTACTGGACAGACAAGCACGAGACGCCCTTAACGAGCAAGAGATGGCACACAAGGCAAAAGAAGCTATTTCCAAACAACAGATACTGCAACGCCGACTGAAAGAGAAAGATATGGAAGTCGAGAGAGCGGCTCTAATCACATCATTCCTGACCGAGGACGAGATTACGAGCCCATGCACCTCGAGGCCCCTGAGTGACTGTGAGTATAACCACAAGCTCTTTGAGGGAGCTCTGCCTCTACCAACACACTCACACGGCCCCCCTGGTCTACTCCATTCTACTCCCTACCTTCCTGCTCCATCCCCAGTCACTACTACAACAGTTTATCCCCCTGTCTCAAATAACCCTTCACAAATTTCTGCGCCTCGAGTCCAAGCCCCTGCTACCACAAGTATGGGCGGCACGGTGGCTGAGTGGATAGCACTCTCGCCTCTCAGCAAGAAGGTCCTGGGTTCGAATCCCGGCCGGACCAGGGCCTTTCTGAGTGGAGTTTGCATGTTCTCCCCGTGTCTGCGTAGGTTTCCTCCAGGTACTCCGGTTTCCCCTACCACTAAAAATATGTACAATAGGTCTGGCATGCGCCTCCTGTTCGGCGACCCCGCTCCCATCTCTGTGTGGAGTGAGAGGACAAGTGCCCAAAAAAATAACAATTGTAAACCGCTTTGTGACTCTGGTCTGTGAAAGGCGGTATATAAATAAAGCTTACTTACTTACTTACTTACTTACATCACCATGCCTCCTCCCACCATTTCAGCGCCAAACTTTGCTCCACTGCCATCCCAAGTGCAGTTTCCTGTCCCACTCCCCCAAGCTCGAGTGCAACACATGCCTCCGCCACATCTACAGCCAGTGCCAAAGGATACAAACAATATACCTTTTCCCACTCAGCAGCCCGTACAACCGCATGTCACTGCACCTACCCCCAGCTTCAGAGGAGCATCTGGCACAGATCTGATGGAGCTACTAATCACTACATCATACGGCCTTCCCAAAACAGCACTACCCCACTTCACTTCCGGTAAAGAATCAGACTTCACCCTTCTCAAGATGTACTCTGGACAATCTGCTCAGTTCACACGCTGACCACACACACTAACTCACCCCACCCATAATCCACCCATACATGGTCCATTCCCACCTGTAACTGCCTCCTAACTGCCTGAGGAACCAACTTCAGAGGCGGCGCTGCTGAGCTGCAGGCTAGTTTTGCTGCACTGGAGGCACCTCTGCAAGAACAGTTGGCAGGACAGAAGATCGAGTTTCAACTCTCCTGGCTCCCCACACTTCGGTGGAACGTGGGAGCGGGAGATCAGGTCCATAAAGACGGCTCTCCAGGTTGTACTCCGTGACCAGACTGTTCCAGACCCTGTGCTGCAGACAGTCCTGATTGAAGTTGAAGGACTACACAACGCAAAGCCTCTGGGGTACATCTCATCTGATGCTGCAGACCCGGACCCCGTCACACCGAACCTCCTTCTCATGGGACGACGTGATGCATCGCTCCTGCAGGCCATCTACGCATCCAGCGATCTACTCAGCCGGAGACGCTGGCGTCATAGTCAGATCTTGGCGGACCATTTCTGGTCCAACTTCATTCGTCGCCATCTTCCAGACCTCCAGAAGCGTTCCAAATGGCACAAGGACACCGACAACTTCACTGCTGGCCAAGTGGTGATGGTTGTCGATTCCCAGCTACCGTGAGCCCATTGGCCCATCGGACGAGTGGTGAAGACATGTCCAGGTTCAGACGGACGAGTCAGAGCTGCTGAAGTGGACATTAAAGGACAGACCTACCTGCGTCCAGTCGTGCGTCTGGTGCGGTTGCCGGCCTGGGAAGACGAAGAGGACTCCAGCTAAATCAGACTTTTTTTTTTTCTTCAAATTTAGATATAAATTTGGGGGCGGCATTGTCAGAAAGTCTTATTTGTTTGGCCATTTTATTTTGTTAACCATTTGACGTCAAGTGCGGTCACCTGCCCCCCCTTTCACCGCTGCTCTTTTGGTTAGTCTGCTGTGTTCCCCTGTGTGAGTAGACGTGTGCGTGCATGAGACCGAAACCACACGCTGACCACACACGCTGACCACACACGCTAACCACACACGCTAACCACACACGCTAACCACACACGCTGACCACACACGCTGACCACACACGCTGACCACACACGCTGACCACACACGCTGACCACACACACTGACCACACACGCTGACCACACACGCTGACCACACACGCTGACCACACACGCTGACCACACACGCTAACCCACCCATAATCCACCCATACACTATCCTTTCCCACCTGTAACTGCCTCCATATCCACAATAAAGACCCCCATCTGGATGTAGCAGCCTTCTCCGTGCCCTTCTCTCTGACCAGAGCCCCGTTTACAGTGCAGGTGCCCAGATCAGCAAACACCAGAGTATCCCACTCTATCACAATGAGCATGAGTAATATAGGAACGTTTAAATCTGTGGTTCTGAGACCCCAAATACCATAATGAAAGTTAGTTAGTTAGTTTAGTCTTTATTTGAAGGGACAATGTACAGAGACATTAAGCTCAATGACAGATATGTTCTGCACCAGATTATAGCTAAACAGCTAGTTTCCATCTGCAGTCCCTGGTTACATGAATCAAATACATGGATATAGTAATATACAATCCAAAAAAATAACTTTGCAATACAATGCACTCTCTCTGATACAGACACACACATTTAGCCTCATACCTGTTTGTTAAAACCACACCTCATTCACAGCATCACACCTGCACAATACACATGTTACATGTCACAACCACACATTCAGATGATACATTAACACGTTCAGTACATTTCTCATCATACATAGTTCACATACATCAGTTTCTCATCATACATAGTACTGATAAAAATAAATGTAAAAATCAAAAAATAAATGATAAAAATAAAGTAATGATTATTAGACATAGATCAAATGCAGAGAACAAAATACCTTGCAAGTTTGCATGGTTCTTCACTGGGACTAGCAACTTTACCTGCAAAGTAGGTGGAATTAACATGGTGCTGCTAATGCAATATAATACATAGTTCCTACATGACGTCACTACATACGGGGATTTGCCGACCCGGCGCCATTTGTGTTGGCATTCTGTGGGCAAAACAATAGAAAAAGAAGCTGAAACGTGTTAATGTCGTGATAAAGTTGAAAATGGTCATCTCCTGCTGGGTCAATGGATGTTCAAATCGTGCCGGAGGTTCTGTTAAACTTGGATTTTACAGTATACCCATCATTAGACTTCATGAATGTGAGAAGACTAAGCTTTTGTCAGAACAACGACGGAGGTTATGGCTTGCGAAGATAAACAGGCAAGAAACTCCCTCAAAACACGCAAGAATATGCTCGGAGCACTTTGTGTCAGGTGCGTATCGTATCTCATAATGTGTTGACAGACGTAATTTACTCAGTACTAACTTGTGTATGCTGATATCTGGTAACTTGAGAGTTTCATTATTTAGCGTTAGATTACTTCATTATGAGGAGGATCGGTGTCGCGTCCGAGGCTCTCGAGGGCAACGTAAATGTATTAAATAGATAATAATAGTTCTATGGTGGGCTAAAACAATGTTCACAAACAGCATTGCTTCTGTAAAAAGATCTGTGTCATAAAATAAACTGCTCTTTACGCCTGGAAAAATCAGTTGCCCACCATTCACCAAAACATACGGTCAAAAACGCGGAAATAAACAATAACAGCAATCCAGAGTGTCCGTGTGGCATTAGCATTAATTAAATTAATTGTTAATATAATTAAAATAATTAAATGGAGCTCCAACTGGTATTAAATCTAAAGTTTTTGAGAAATGTTTGCATTGCTTGTTAATTTTTGCTGCATAATTTGATCAAATATGTAAAACATGTCCGTAGCACGTTAAACTGTGGTGCCATTGTATTAATATACAATTATTCGCTCAAAAGTTGCCCTTTTTTTTCCAATTTGCGTTTGAATATCTACATTTATTCTCATTCTTCTGTTTAATGGAATGCACAAACACAGCAGCGTGCCATCAAAGATGGCGTCTCCGAGGAGGTCATGTGACATTCATTGGTCTGTGGGAACTATGTATAGTTCCATGTGTAAAGCACCAGCAAATTCTGACTCTACCATGTGCACGATAGCGGCTACAACACAAGCTAACAGTAAAATAACGCTGGCAGCATAAGTTATGTTATTTTAAGAAGAAGGACCGATGATGCAGCTGTATGTGGTCAGGACCAGTCTGTCTGGTTCAGCCCTGACCCTGACTGCAGTGTTGCCAACTCCTCAGTAAGGAAAGTAGCTATTGGCTGTCCCAAAAGTCGCTAGAAGTCGCTAAATGACGTCATCGCCTAATTTGCATAATTTGCCATTTGCAAATAACTGTAACGGACGCTGTAGGAGAGAGGAATAAGGTCGTGGGAGAGACAAAAGTGAGTAAAAACACCCTAAATATGTTTAGAACTACAAATGTACAAAAATAATTTCAACATTAACAACATTTAATGATTTTAATGCTTTGTCTAGATCCACATTACACACATCAGTTTTGTCCTGTATTGTTAAATGTTATAACAGCAAATGTAATCAAAAGATTGTTATGTAGGGTGAAATTGCTAGCTCTACAACCAACCCTCCTCCTTTATCCGGGCTTGGGACCGGCAAAGTGACCCAAAAGACACACTCTGGCAGAGTTACTTAGGTTTATTTTTGTAAGTTTTTTTTTTTTTTCATAGTTTGGCATAACAAATGATTTAATGTGACCCACTACTGAGAGAAAACTGAGTCACGGACAGAGCTGCCGCGGATGGAGTGGGGGGTAGTGGGGGGTGGCGGTGGTAGGAGTGGCCGGGGAGCTTTGGATGTGTGGTGGTGGTGGAGCTGAAGTTCAGTCTGCAGCAGCCTGAAAACTTCCTGTGCTTTTGAGTCTCCTCTCTCTCTCTCTGCTCCGCCCATAGACTGTAGCTGGGACTGCTGCGCAAGGCTACTGTGAGACTGGCCGCCTGTAAGTGCTTTGGGACGGGGGAGGGGCTCACGTTGAGGACAGCAGAACAATACGTGCTTCACGAGTCTCCAAAACACCAGATAAGTCGCCAAAACACCAGATAAGTCGCCAATAACACCAGAAAAAGTCGCTAGATTTGTCGCTAGTCGCTTTTTTGAAAAAAAGTCGCTATAGGGGTCTGAAAAGTCGCTAAATCTAGCGACAAAGTCGCTAAGTTGGCAACACTGCCTGACTGAATGATGTTTAAAAAATAATTATTTTATCAACACGGACAGAATATCCCATCTCTGATCATGATCAACTATCACAATGAAAATGACACTTATTATGTTAAAAACAACCCTGAATATAGTGTTTTTAACAACCTCTGTCTCATTCTGTGAAGACCGTAACAGTTTAACATTTAAATAAACGAGATATATCACAACAATGTATATGACCAGCTTTTATTAGAATGGCCACACATGAAATAATTAACGTTTTTGTTCACGCACATTCTCGGACATGTTTCCTCAGTGCAGTATAAGAAGAATATAGTATATTTCTGTGTAAGAACCACTGTGGTAAGAATTACAGGCATTCTGCAGAAACTAAAGGTACGGAGCGCCAGGAGAGGGCGCTAGTTCCTAGGATTTAACTAAGAATTATTACGTGCATAAAACTCTGAGGTCAATGGAGCGGGGGCTGATCATGGATCTATTATAATATCCTGATGAAGGAGCTGCTTCAGTGAACACAGGCCTTATCAGGAGCATTACTGACACTATGTGTGAGGATTATCCCAGACTCAAATGCATTATGGATCACGGCCGTACTCAAGTGGACCTCAGCAACAATGAACTTCTGCAGTGTATGTTTCATGAAGGAAGACGGAGTAAAGCAGGTGTCTGATGCTCCGTTGCTGTTGAAGCAGATGAAGATGTCTCATAGAAATCAGTGCAGTGGTTGTTGCACAGTAATAGGAGGCAGTAAAGAGTGGGACATGGGGGAGATATTGATCTGGAAATACTCAAACGCACAATTCTTGCACTAATCTGACTTTGCAGCAGGTGTGCGTAACTAGACTGTCTCATCTAAAAGTATTGTTGCTGATTTGTCCACATTTGTGACATCTGACGGAGCTTCGACCCGCGGCCTCTGCTGGGATTAAGCAGTGAAACCTGATGGAAAATAATATGGAGGTAACTAAAAACATGTGTTAGCTTAGCCACCAATGACAGGACTGTGGCAAAAGCATGGGCAAAAGTGATGTTGGAAAATAATATAAAGCCGACGTAGCTGAGTCATTTCCATAGCAACGCTTCTTACGTATCTGACGCAGCCGCCGCCTGACGTCACTCTGACTTTGACCGAGCCAGAGATAGCTGCACTTTGAGCATCGAGCGATTGACAATCAAGTTTCAGAAAGCATCGACATGAACGACCACCGGGGCCAAGGTACTGAGTGACAAACACATCAGAATAGATTCATGGGAACAGTCATATGTTTGTGACTGATCAACAAGACAATCATTTTCTTTGAACGTTCTAAATCATGGCAGTTAGACTTTCACTCGACGACTTAAGGATGAATTAAAGGTGAAAACTTGGATAAAGTTACATAAATGTGTAGCTTAGGAAGCGAACTATCCATTTTGTGAGACATGTTCATGAAAACAACAGTATTTATTTCATGGTTCGTCAAAATCCACCACTTTTGCTGCGTTTCTGGAAAACAAAATGGCGCCCGTCTAAAATGTTTACTTTTGAAATGTTCTTCCACTAACTTTCGGTTGCCTGGTAACCAACTTTCTATGGCTCCTTTTACAACATGCAGACTGGTCTTGGACCGGTCCAGGACCAGTCCAAGACCAGTCCGGTCTTGGACTGGTCCTGGACTGGTTCTGGTTCTGAGCCTATTACCTCACTAGGCTAGCATTTAGCCTTTTAACAAACTGTTTTTGCTGTATTTCAAGTTATATTAACCAGGTTCAGCACTTATTAAAAGTGAGGAAAGGTTCAAAGTCGTATAAATGACTGACTTTTAATAAAATTGGAAAATTAAAGGTTTTGGAGTTATAACAGTTTGTGAATGGTGGTAGTCGTAGTGGTTGTTGGTCCAGTATTGTGCTTATGGTACAAGTGTGTTCATTAACATGCACGTGTGTGCACGTGTGTGCACGTGTGTTCGGCGACTCGCTTCCGTCATCACTGTGTGTGGAATGATTGGAACAATATCTGAACTCTGAACATTGTAAAGCGCTTTGGGTGACCTTGGTCTGTAAAATGCGCTATATAAATAAACATTACTTACTTACTTAAGTGTTAAGCACATGTGCTAGTTTTCAACACTAGTCCACAGGGGCTTTTACAGATCAAATACATTTCAAACAATTACAATAAAATGTGGACGTGAGAACAACTCTGGATCTTAACACATGTTTGAGCTCTCTGCTGAAGATGGTCATGTTAGTCTGTAGTTTTAGTCCCTGTAGTTTTTAACACTGATACATTTGATAGTAACAGTATCTGTGGTGCACCGTGAAATAGAAAATGCCACCTGCACGTTGGGCTTCTTATGGAAACTTTTCTCTCTAAAATTGAATCTGCCAGGGTTTGTCTTGGTCCTGTCTGCAGTCACTTCATTGTGTGCATATGCATGGCAGCCATTAAGATATTTGTTAACACTAGGACCGCCGTGCTCTAAACATACCTTGCACCGCCCCCTGCGGTCAGTTGACCGCTTGTGTATTTTGCGCTGATACAGCCTTTTGCCAAATTGATTGTTCACTAAACCAGAACTTGATGTTGCAAGGAAATCGTGATCATAATGAAACTGTGTAAATTATTTGTCTAAATATGCTAAGTAATTGTAATTCTAGCCAAAATAAAAGGCTAAGACGACACATTGTGCGTGTACTGATCCATCAAAATTAGGATGACTTTTCAGGCTAGATTTATTTTGTAACTTTGCAAACAGCTAAAAGGTCGGTCACTATATGTTAAATTGACTCAGTAACAATATGTAAATTCAAACAATATAAATGATAGTTTAGAAAAGCACAGGACCATAACGTCTTCGCGCTGCTGTATGCGTCTATACGTCATCTCCAGACTGTTTTCTCTTTCCAGCCGAAGTCACCGTGGGAAATATTTTATAGATAATAATAATAGAATTCGTATTGACACAAGATCATCAGCTAGGCTACCATCGCCAATGTACAATCTTCCATTTTACACGGGACACGTTAGAAAGACAAATATATAATATATATATATTTGTATTTATTTGAGACAAGCAGTGCTCTTTATGATCAGAACAAAGATATAATCATTGCCTTGCAGTGCACGCTGTGCAGAATAACACACAGTGTTATCTGGATGAAATCAGAATGAGATCCTTATTGATATGATATGAGGGCCGCTTCTGCCCCACAGCCGCTCTCCTCCTGCAGTGTCCGCGGGTGACGAGAGGCCTCACAGCGCTCTATCTGCACTCTGCCTTGATAGTTCATCTAATTGTTCTATTTTATTGCGATATTGTATTCTGCTGTATTGCCTTCTTCTATGTATAAATATAAGAATGTAATTGATGATGAATGAAAAGGCAGAATGGAGAGACAACGCGCACACAGACACCTGCGTATGGCTGGCATTACGTGGCTCATGTGCGTTATTGCTTCTGGACTTGTTACAACACTGCTGTCTGTGCCGTGAATGCACTATGGGTTTACATTCAGATTTAGAATGTTATAGGTGTTCTCCCCGCTGTCACTTTTCACCTCAAAATGTGACATCTCACCTCCGTCAGACTGTTCTCCTTCAATGTCTTGAAGCACTGTCAGGGCTTCATACCGTGTACTTGCATTCACAGCTAGTTGACATGTAGCTAAACATGGAGGCACATTAGATGTTGCTGGAGATGCTGTACACAGGTTTATCTGAGTGTTCCTCAATGATGGTGGTAAGAGTGGTGCCTGTACACTGTCAGATGTACTGTAGTGCTAGAGAAGGCACACTGAGCTCACTGGGATCAGCTAATACTACATTAAGTCTAGATAATGTACCATAATGTACGATCATAGTCCACTCACATACTTTTTTTGAGCAGAGAAAATGTCTGCTTACCAGCTCTTAAAAATGTTTGACTGTGTTTGACTTGTGAATTTGACAAAACAAAAACACTTTAGTGTGTGAGGAAGTTGATGTTGTCAATATGTTTCAGCGGTTCGGGACCCCCTGGACGCTCTGGAGGACCCTGACCCCTCGTCAGACGAGGAGGACGCAGGTGAGTTGCCGGTAGGTAGGTATTTTGACATAATGCGTGAGCGAGGCTTGGACGAGGCTTCTGATGAAGAGGATGAGGCTTTTGATGAAGAGGATGAGGCCTCTGATGAAGACGACGAGGCTTCTGATGAAGAGAATGAAGCAGACTCTGGCTACGGCAGTCTCTCAGAGGAGGACGTCAGTGAAGAGGAAGACGAGGACACGGAGGGTGAAGAGGAAGACGAGGACACGGAGGGTGAAGAGGAAGACGAGGACACGGAGGGTGAAGAGGAAGACGAGGACACGGAGGGTGAAGAGGAAGACGAGGACACGGAGAGTGAAGAGGAAGACGAGGACACGGAGGGTGAAGAGGAAGAAGAGGACCCGGAGAGTGAAGAGGAAGACCAGGGTATTCCTTCACCCCCCCGTGGGACCCCCCTGCGGACGTGGAGGATCCTGTGGAGGGTCCTCAGCCGCGACCAGCGAGCAGCAAGCCCTCCTCCAGCGCCCTGTCCCGTCTTTGAAGAGGAGCGTCGTCCAGGGGGGTCCAGACGCCACAGGGATGAAGATGAAGAGGAAGAGCCCATCTCCAAGAGGCCACGCTTCTCCAACTCTGAGGACATCGAGGAGGAGCCCACCCCCTCCACCTCTGCTGGGACGTCCGGGGGATTCGTCCCCTACTTCCAGCAGCTCCCCCGGCTCCAAGACTCTGATTCTGACTGAAGCTCAGCCTGAGACTGGAGAGAAGGCCACGCCTGTTTCTACAGCACTGTGACACATGTGCAGAGGAGGTCACAAAGTGCTTCACAGGGACACACGCGCCACCATCAGCCGCCCATTTCTCCTCTGGACATTTATTTATTTCTTGATTGATTTATTTATTGGGCAAAATGTTGCCATTAAGCCAAAAAAAACAAAAAACAAAAAAAAAGATTCCCCTAGCACAAGGGTTTTCAGCCTTTTGACAGATATATGTTTATCAAACATCAACTATTCATTCATTAGAACACAAAAGGATGAATACTGCGTAGTCACAGTTATAAAGACACTTGTAGATAAAGCCTTTCAGAGGACACTTTGAAAGGCCTGGAGAGCCACTGGTCGCTCCACACTATAGGTTTAAGACCCTTGTTCTAGGATCAGTAATAGTTTGTTTCAAAAGAGGAGAAGGCAAAGAAAACTATGTAGGACTTGCATAAACTTCCTGAGCAGTCTCCAGAGCAGAAGCACATTGAGCATGAGCAGTAAGTCCACATATGATCCTCACGTGAGCAGAGATCTCACTCTGTCTTCCATAGTACTCCTTGCTTTCTCCTGTGGGGAGTCGCCCAATAACCAGCCCTTTGAACTTTATGTAAATAAAGTTTGTTTATTGATTTATTGATGGTTGCCGGTGCGATACCCACTGCTTTGATGTGCTTTTTTTTTAAATCAAAGGACAGAAACACTATGTAGGAACATTTTAGACACAGATCAACTTTGACAGAAAAAGCCACAAGTGACACAATGTTTTGATTATATTTGAGAATGGATAAATAAGAGCTTACGCTGACTCTAGTGTGGTTTCCTGCATAGTACGCCTGGCCTTGTGTTCACTCTAGAGCAGGGATGCCCAAGCTGGGACCCGTGGGCCACATTGGTCCCTCTGAGGGTCTAATATGGCCTATGAAGGGTTGAGGACATTGGTCATTAGTCATTCCTTTTGGTGCAACACATAATTATCTTTGGCCCTCTGCCCACCAATATAGTTTTAGCTGCAGATTGAACGCTTGGCCACCCCTGCTCTAGAGCTGAGGAGGATCAGCAGGAGAGGAGGTAGAGTGCCATCTACAGAGTTGGGGCTGTGATCCCTCCTCCTTCCAAAGATTCTGCTTTATCCGTTGCTGGGTTGCGATGGCAACAGTCTAAGACTCTAAACACAGACACCCGGGCTCACTCCGAAAGAAGGAGCAGCGTCTGCAGTGATGCTGCCTCTGTATGGGACTGTTGTGATGAGGAGGGAGCTGAGTCTGGAGATGGCCTGGGAACGCCTCATGCAGCTGGAGGAGGTCCGTGTGAAGTGTGAAGAGGGGAGTCTGGGCCACTCAGACTGCTGCCTCTGTGACCCGGCCCAGGATAAAGTGGAAGAAATAGGATGGATGTTTCCAGATGAGTCCAGAACAAGTGACTGAGGGATGGAGAAAGCGCAACATAAGACTGCGCTGAACAAATCCAAATGTGGTCATAATAAAAAAAAAAACAATGTCCAATTAAATTTTACTTTTATTTCTTATTTCAGTAATAGTTTGTGTTGAAGTGCTGTGTTACTTGTAACCAAAAGAGAACAGTCACACACTATTTTATAATAATTGTTCCTGGGGCCTCCTAAAAACATTTACTTTTCCACAGATTGTGTAAAAATGACTGTTTTCCTTCAATGACTTTTAATAAGTACTATAACAGTTGATTATATCTTGATGAAGCTCAGTCCAGAACCAGTTCAGAACCAGCACCTTGAAAAGGGGCTTTAACTGCTCTTTTAAGATTGTTTGTAAGCAACAGAAAATGGCTGAATTGGAATTTCCTTTAGGTTAAAAGATATAATCCTCACATTTCAAAAATTAAACATAGATTTATAAACAAAATAATAATGTCAAACGCTGAGTAGTTACACTTCCACAACTAAAAGCTGTCAAATTGACTGCTCTGGGAGTTCTGCTGGTAAAACCGTACATTGGGCTTATTCAACATCACCCTCAGTCTGTGCACAAGTCTCTCCATGATCTCACACCAAAGCACATCTGTGACATGTTAATGCCATATGAACAAGCTCTGAGGAGCACAGGGACTGGACTCCTGCTGGGACTCTGAGGAGCACAGGGACTGGACTCCTGCTGGGACTCTGAGGAGCACAGGGACTGGTTTCCTGTTGGGACTCTGAGGAGCACAGGGACGGGCCTTCTTCAACTATGCCGGAATTGGAAGAGAAGAAATATAAATAGACACAAGAGTAAAATATGGAGGAGTTTGGGAGAGGTTTGTGGTGTGTTGTGTAGAAATAAACAAAGTAGATTAATGTTTCTGTATGTGTGAATTATACACACCAATATATATATTTTTTCATATAGTTCTTACTACTGTAGTTGTTGTTGTTTAAGTTTTTCTAATCATTTCATTTGAAAGAAATAGCTTGAATGGATTTCCATGAAATAATATAAACATAATATTTGTATGATGTCCGGACCCTGAACTATTGAACTGATCAAGTAAGTGGACCTCGTGCCAATTTAATTGGGGACCCCTGGTCTAGTGTTTAGGTTATGGTTTTGTCAGGTTTGCGGTGTCGTGGAAAAGTCTGTACCCCTTACATTTGATTGTTTTGAGTTAATTCTCTCCTCTTTTGGATAAGACCTGACACTGTTCTCCCTGTGCTCCAGGACTGGTTCTGGTGGAGGTTTGAGTTCCTCACTGCTGCACCATCACTCCCCTCACGTGCTGTGGTATCTTTGCACTCACCCTCACTGCATGTTTAGTTATCCTAGATCTGGTGTGTGTGTGTGTGTGTGTTTTTGGGGGGCTGCAAGATTCAATTCAACTTATTTTTGTATAGCCCTAAATCGCACCAGCAGTCTTAACAAAGGACTTTACAAAGTTGTCAATTCGCCAAAGACAGATCAGGGAATCGAACAGTTTAAACACAGGAAAGGCAAGAGTAACAATCACATAGAAACCCTTAGGAAAGTGATTGTTCTACAGATCGCTGTTTTCAAAACAACGAATCTGCCCTCCTTGGCTGAAGTATACGCTCTTTTACAGTTAAGTCATTCACAAAATCTCCAAAAGAACTCTAAATGCATGGATCACAATATCTGCCATCACATAATTAGATTTACATTATCTATATGTGCACGCTCAAAGTATCGGGACCACGGCTTTGAAAAACAAACCATGAAAAAAACAGTAATGACACTAAAGAGCTCGCGCCTGCCCCTGCTGGCTGAACTCAGTATCATGTTTTTGACTTCCAAGTTGCTGGAGCAGAAGCCTCCTTCTTATCGGCTGTTCCTTTGCTTTACGCTTCTTTGTCTGATGGCTGAGGTGTGGGGTGCGTGGGGAGCTCAGAGCGGCGTCACACACACTTCCATTGCTACAATTAAACGCATCGTACTGTGGAGAATAGAGAAAGTGCAGAAATAACGCCAGAGAATTGTGTTTTCGTCTCTGTGACAGTGTGGCTTCATTTGACGCTTATAAGAGTGATCTGAGATGTGCGGCCAAGAGAAAACCGAGCAAACAGATAAAATACATACATCAATAAAACGTATTTCAACACTATAGGACTCAAACCGTTGGAAGTCTGAAAAATTCCCCAAAGAATCAAAGGTTTCTCGCCCATCATCTGTACTTCTTAGCAGGTTTTCCCGACGTTAATCCAATGAATTTTTTCAAGGAATGAAATCTCAGCACATTGGAGATTTATAACCTATGGGTGTGGTTGGATGTGCGGTCTGAGATTTCATTCCCTTGAAAAAGTTCTTTGGATTAAGGACGAAAGGTCGGGAAAACCTGCTAAGAAGTACAGATTATGGGTGAGAAACCTTCCTTTGAGAAACCTTCCCCAGAGAATGTTTAGTTTTTCACCAGATTTATTAAAAGAAACTCATTTATACATTTTTTAACCTTTAATCTCTTTTAATAAGTGCTACAACTGGTGATTATAACTAAAATACAGCAAAAAAGGTGAAATGCAAACTTCTGACAGTGTGTTGTTATGGTAACTAGCACTGGATTTTCTCTGGTTGAAAATGAGTTAAAGCTGCACTAACTGACTTTATTTTCGTATTCATTACAAAAATGCAATCCATATCCATGCAGTGCATTGGGATATACGTCCTTTTGAAGAAAAAGTAGCGCAGGTTTGTGCTGGCGTGTCATTATATTTTAGATCGAGTTTTTGTGCAACAAGGAAGAAAATTTGTTTCGGGACCAGATTGTGACCAATCACAGCGGACCACTGGCCCCCACTTTCTTGAGAAATCTACAGGTCTATGGTTAGCACAGACAGCTGAGGTAAACAACAAGCGGCAGAGGCTAACCTGAAACTTCCCGTGTCTTCGTTACCGGTTACTGCTTACTCAGCGAAAAATGTGCAATCCATACATAGATCTATCCATATTGTGAGACGCTAGCTCCATAAACAACAGTGGGTGTGGGGTAGTGGGGGGCGATAGCTTTGTGGGAGGGGAGGAGAAAGAGCGAGGCCAAAACCGCTGCTTTTAAATCCCAAAGTCAGTTAGTGCAGCTTTAAAGGTAGAACTCCTCACATTTCAAAAGTAAAAAATTATTTCATAAAAAAAAAAATATATTACATAGAAATAAACTACACAGAGAAACAGAAAAAGTCCCAAAGTCATAAAGACCAAGAATATACATGAGATGAGTAAATACACTTCCAAAACTAACAGCCATCAAATTGACTGCTCTGGGAGAATTCTATACTCTTGACATTCGCTGTTATAGACAAACATTCCCGATGATGGTATGGTACAAGTGCTTTTATAGTTTCATTTTTATTTTACGCCATTCAGAAAATCTCCAATAGATCTGTAATGGATCACAATATCTGCTATCACATAAATAGATACACGTGTGTGTGTGTGTGTGTGTGTGTGTGTGTGTGTGTGTGTGTGTGTGTGTGTGTGTGTGTGTGTGTGTGTGTGTGTGTGTGTGTGTGTGTGTGTGTGTGTGTGTGTGTGTGTGTGTGTGCAAGATCACACACACCAACATTATTTAATACGATTTAAATTCATGTTTTATGAGTTAGGAGATACTCAGCCTCCACCTTCTTTTATCTGCTGTCTCTATGGATTGTGTGTGTGTGAGTGTCTAAGATGCATTAAAAAGGATATGATTGGATTGTTGGAGCAGGTGCACTGCTTCACCTTCTCCTCATGTGTCCTGAGTCCCTTGCGTTGTGTGTATATGTTTATTTATTTCCCCCTTGATGGGGATGAATTCTTTCCTATGACAGAAACAAAACAGTCTTTATTTTCCTCGTGGGTTTCAATTAAATCACAAACGTGGAGCGTTCATTTATGGCAGGTCAGACTTAGATTCCATGGGGTCAAAGCTTCATGTGCACTCTCTCTCTCACGACGGGGAAACGCGATCCAGGTATGAAGAAATTGAGCAGGACAACACCGCGCTCTAGTGGCTAAAATTAGTCATTGCATTTTGGGATTTGTCAAAACCACAAATGGAAACCGAGAAAAAATTACCCAAAAAAAGGGTACATTTCTATTATCTTCTTCTTGGCCTTTGTAGTTTTAATTGGAATTTATCTACAATTAGTAGTATTTCCATGTGACAAGCAGGTGTTCAGGGGGACGACAATTGCACTAGTGGCATGGGGGAAACCGGAGCACTTGGAGGAAAGCTAGACGCTGAGAGAAAATGCAAACTCCACATAGAAAGCTCTGGAGGTGGAATCAAACTCAAGACCTTTTAGTGCGAAACATAAGTGCTGGGTCAATGATTTAATATCAGATTTGTAAACATATATAAAATTTATTTTGGAATTGTGAGACCAGAGAAACCAGTTCGTGAGTTAAAGGTAGAACTCACATTTCATACATAAAAGATAATTTCATAAAAGTAATGACAGAAATGAACTACATAGAAACAGAAAAAGTCATAAAGTTATGTAAAGCGCAAAATGTACATGAGTAAACGCCGTGGTTTTGACTGCTCTGGAGTTTTGCAGTAGAATTCTTTCCACCCGATCCCTTGTTGGAAGTCAGACCAGAATGGGCAGATTCTCATGAGGAAAATATAGGATCCCTATCTTCTGTTACCTTCTCACAGAATGCACATTTATCCACATAAATCTACGCCTAAAGGTCGATTGACACATTTGCTATATCTGTGGAGAATATTTGTAATTTTTGTATGATATTACATTTATTATTTATGACAACTTTCGGTCTGGACCATGTCTGGACAAGAAGTAAGGGTCTAGTGCTAAATCAGCTTGTCGAGACTATGGTCAAGACGAAAACAAAAGTCTAACTTCAGTTGACACACGGAATAAGGTATGTATTCATGTGAAAAGTGTAAAGATAGTAGACTTTGATAAATAGTCAATTAAAATCAGATAATGAGTACACTGGCGATTTTGCATTTATGTTTCCAGCTCTTACGTTGTTACGTGATTCAAGGAATGGACCAAATGAAATGTATTTGACCCTCAGTTCTGGCTTAAACCTACAAATCAACTGGATGCTATACTTTAATTAAAAAAAAAAATGTTTTAATAAAATGTGTGCCATTGAAATATTTACAGTCTGTCGCCATAGATTAAACGACTACCATAGACTGTATATCGACTACGCGCCGGTGTGACGTCATGACGCCTCGCCCCCAGGTGCTGTGCACACGTGCGTCGCTCTTGTACTTGTCTGTGGATTTGTTTCCGAAAACAATAGGATTTATATTTAATATTTCTATTTCAGTATGATATCTATGTTAGCTCATTTTAGCTTCTGTTAGCTCCAGACATTATTTATTATTGAGTTTCAGTCCGTAAGCCGCGCCAAGAGGTAAGGTAGCATTGGGAGCTAATATGCTAACAGTCTGTGATGCTGACGCGTTGCTGCCGTGCACAGAGCATCAGCATGGGTGGTTGTACTTTACCAGTACTGTGCCTTTACCAGTCTTGTTGTCGTAGTTAACCCCGGGAGAGTGGAAGAGGAGCGGTCATGCTCACTGCGGTTCGCTGCGTGTTTACCAAACTCATGTCTCCTTTCTGGAGGTCTGTGGAGGAGGACAGCTGCTCAGACGGACCCTTCTCTGGAGCTACAGGTGGGATACACGTGTCTATTCTCTCGGCTTAAATTTAGGAATATATATATATATATATATATATATATATATATATATATTATTTATGGTAGCAAAATTCTGGGAATTTTCTGAGAGGAAAAGGTTCCATGGGAATAAACTGGGAAAGGAATCTGTTGAAAAAAAATGAAATGCATGCTTTCTTATGACTTCTGTTCATATTTATGCTGTAATATGATATTTAATAATACCCTAAACCTCATTAATTCCCTGTTAATTCCCCTAAATTCCCATTCATTCCCATTATTCGCATTCTTCCCATGGAAATGCTCAGTATTCAGCCACTCTACCCCAAACCCTGGAACACCATCGATTCACCTGTGACATCTCGAAATTACCTGTTCTTGTGCTACCCTCGGGTTAGCGATGAAACGTAGGAGGAAAATGCCCTAAAATAGGGTCTAAAACTGTCTACATCAGGGGTGGCCAACCAGTCAGAGACTAAGAGCCAATTTTTTTTACTGTGTTACAGCAAAGAGCCACATCATACAAATGTGCACTACATAAACATCACCCCAACCCTTACACACGCACGCACACGCGCACGTACTGTACGCACACGAGCAGACACGCGCACACACATGCAATCTGTCTGAGCAGAGAGGTGTGCTCTGCTCAGACAGATTTATTGTAAATGTCATCAACATGATAATGACAGAAATTGACTCGTACAGTACTAAAGGGCTGGACTCTACTCTCCCCGGTTTGCAGGCGCTTCCACCGCTCGCTTTAGCCGCTCCCCGGTACTTTTTATTAATGGTTTGGCCCTGGTTCTAACCGGGCGAGTCGATACCAGAACAATTTCACGTCAGCGAACATCAATTATGATTCCGAAATGAATGCTTTCAATCTCTAACCAAGAAAAAAAAATCAAGTTTCAACCCAGTGTTCAGCAGAAACACAACTGTCTTTAGTAAAAGATATAGATTTGACACATAACACCAACACCACTTTAGCTGATTTAGAACCACAGACACATGCTCAGTATAAGACCAGATACTTTTGCATTTGATTGAAGACAGACACTCACCAGGCAGAGTTGGCTTATCTCCTGGTGTAATGCTAGTTGTTGTTAGCTGGTTTTAGCATGTTAGCCGGTGTTAGCCGATGTCCGTAAATGTAATCCATTTGGTCAAACCACCTCCAGACTTTTCGGGTCTGCCTCTACTTCTGCTGCTGCGATCTTTCATTTCACGGTTGTCACTTTTAAGCTTTTTAACTTTTCTCTGCATTGTCATGTTTGTGGGAATCATTCTGCTCCGTCCTTAGTGCTAGCTCCACAAACACCTTCTGGTTTCTGGTGGAACCAGCGAGATCAGGCTGGTGTCCTCTCCTCAAACTGAGGAAGGTGTTGCCCTCATCCAGCGACCAAGGAATTGTTTTCCGTACGGACGTCATGGTTCGAGGCAACGTGTTGTTTGTTATGATATTTGCTACAGCTGAGGTAGCAGCTGCAGAGTGATTGACAGCGCATCTGACCAACAAGAATTGACGTTCGCCGACGTCAGATTGTTTTGGTGGCCTGGCTAGTGGAGTGAAGTCGGCCTTTACTATTGGTCAGAACTACATATGGAATGAAAGGCAGCGCCACCACCGAGGCGTTTTTGACGCTTGTCGAGTGAAAGCCCGAGAGCCGCACGGAACCAGCCAAAGAGCCGCATGCGGCTCACGAGCCGCGGGTTGGCCACCCCTGGTCTACATGATCCAGGGAATCGGCTCTAAAAGACCAATATTCTTCAAAATTATGTGATCCAGACAATTTTCTAATTGAAATGTTCCCTATATATGTATATATATAAAGTAGCTAGATAAAAGATGAACAGCACCAAAGCAAATGTCTTCCTTCTTGAAGCTGCAAGATGAATCGTAATCACTGAAATTGTTGATTAATTTCTTAATAAACATCACATTATCTGGTTGCAGAATATAAACCTATGATCATCCCTCTTTAAATCACTAAATTCATGATATGAGAGTTTTATTTTCAAAAACATATATCTCTGTTTTTAACATTTGTCTAAAAGTTGTCTCTGGTCACTCTGCTTCTCTTTCTCTCTCTGTTGTCTCTCTCTCTGGTCTTTTTTTGATCTCTCTTTGGTCTTTCTCTGGTTCCTTTCTGATCTTTCTCTCTGGTCTCTGCTTTGTCGCTGGTCCCTCTCTGATCTCTTTGGTCTCGTTCTGATCTCTCTCTGGTCTCCCTCTTGTTTCTCTGTGATCTCTGGTCAGAGTTGGGGTCACTTTCTATTAGACTTTGGTAAACTGTTCAGCACAATACTTTTCCTACTGACTGAAACGCAAATATCCTCTTTCTGATTTTAACTTTTCCAACTCAAATTAACCCATATTTGTAGTTATGGAGGACATTCGCCACTTGAGAAGCAGCGTAGTGACACAGCTGTTCCAGGACTACGGCATGATCGACGGTGCCATCTACTTCACCACCGCTGAGGTCCTGGGAGGGATTCCAGTCAAACAAGGAGACCTGGTCAACTGCATCGCGGTTCGAGACGGCTCCGAGGGCGGCTGGAAAGTATTAAGGGTACGCAACTGTCTCCATGTTTGCCGTCTTGCCTTGCATGGACTGATTCTGGATTTGATCACATTATCCCCATTTTAGTATCGAGTACCGAGGCAAGATTTAATAGATGGTACAAGACAAGTGCTTAAAGGTATTTTCTACTTCTGGGTGGATCATCAAGACTATTGGTCCTCCCAATTGTCAATCATTCTGGTGATACATGCTCGTCAAATAAGACCAGAGTTGAAAAAAATCGTCCTTTATGCCTAGATAGAAACATAGATAATCACTGTGCATTAAAAAGAGTGAAGGTTCTTTAATCCTTCAGTCGTATTCACAGCTAAACATTTTAGCTGCATGAATTTGAAAAGCTGCCTATTTGACCTGACTCTGGGACCAGCAGGAGACCAGACCCTGTGCCCCAATCCAATCCACTTTATTTATATAGCACATTTAAACAACAGTTACGTTTCCAAAGTGCTGCACAAAAAAGTATAAAATAAATAACAACTTATCCTTAGCTTCACCAAGTATAAAAGAATAAAAATATATAAAACAGATTAAAACCATAAATAGAAATAAAATAAAAACACAGAGGACCACACAACTCACGCAGTGTTAAAAGCCAAAGAGTAAAAGTGGGTCTTAAGACGAGACTTAAAACACTCCACTGTGGGGGCCGTCCGGACATGGAGGGGAAGAGCGTTCCATATATATCAGCTGCGATGTCACCCACATGGATCAGTCAGGGGGGGGTCAGCTAGAACACTGTGTCCCCCCCCCCCTCCATGAAGAGCCATTGATAGAAGAACATAAAGAACATCTGTTTGGATGAATGTTATCAGTGACGTCATAAGCGATGTGTGTGTTTCAGGTGGAGAAGAGCGCTGATGCCTGGGAGGAAGGGGGGCAGACGTCTTTGGAGGCAGATACACAGCAGCTCCGGCCACTCATCGGCACCGTCACCTCCTACGATGGAAACGGAGGCTACATAAACCAGAACAGTCTTCACAAAGGACTGTCTCAGTGACGGTAACAGCAGCACAACAGGGGGTCATTTATGATCCCAACTCTGACCTGGAAGTTAGTGTGAGGTTGGAGTGTGTGTGTGGCCCCAGTACAATAACAATATGTGTGTTTGAAATATGCCTTTTGGACTGAACTCTAAAACACAGGGACCAGCCTTCTGCTGGGACTCTGAGGAGCACAGGGACCGGCCTTCTGCTGGGACTCTGAGGAGCACAGGGACTGGCCTTCTGCTGGGACTCTGAGGAGCACAGGGACTGGCCTTCTGCTGGGACTCTGAGGAGCACAGGGACTGGCCTTCTGCTGGGACTCTGAGGAGCACAGGGACCGGCCTCCTGCTGGGACTCTGAGGAGCACAGGGACTGGCCTTCTGCTGGGACTCTGAGGAGCACAGGGACCGGCCTTCTGCTGGGACTCTGAGGAGCACAGGGACCGGCCTTCTGCTGGGACTCTGAGGAGCACAGGGACTGGCCTTCTGCTGGTGTCCAGAGTCAGGACTAAACAAGAGGAGGCAGCGTTTCTGATAAAGTCATTCAGTCTTTCTGAAAATGCAAGACAGGTTTCTACTCAAAATGTTAAAATCCAGGTTAAAGCAGTTCTGTTTAGCTGTGCGTACAACTGAAGGATTTAATGTACTGAGATTGTTTATTTCTATCTTGAGATAGGAGCTATACCTGTTTCTGTAAGGTTTGAATGTTTAGCCCTGCCCCCAACTCGCTCACAGGCTTCTCATTTCCCCTACGCTCTCACACCACGGAGCCATCTAGTTTTATTTACGATCTATATGCTAACATTAGCATGATCGCAACCTCTTGTACGCTCTACCACAATCACTGATGAAATGGTACAAAAGCAACACACTGCTAACAAAATATATAACTGAAAGATTACCACTAGTTTCACGCTTTAGTTCTCTCTTCTCTTCCTCACTGTTGTGTGGTTTGGGCTGTTTTGCTGTGTCTGCAGTTACAGCCAGAGGAGTTATAGCCACTTATGCTAACATGCTACTGTGTTTAGCAGCGCTGTAGAGGCTAGAGGACGCAGCCTCGTTCTGTGATTGGAGGAGAGCGGGCGTCACGCTAAAGCCTAGTTTATACTCGCGCGGTGCGGAGCTTACGGAGGTGACGTGACGTCACTTGCGCAACACGTTGGTCACCGCAAGGCCCTTACGTTGCCTGCCCTGCAGCATCAACATTTTCTAACTACGTAAGGGTCTACGCTCCGCTGTGATTGGTCCGTGTGTGTGTATTGGAAGGAAGCATGAAGCGGCTGCAGCAGGAGCATGGACGAGGCACTATGGAGCAGAGAGCTTTGTGCTTCGAAGGAAAAGCAGTTTGGGCTCAGAGCCTGATATACAGGAGACAGTGGACTATCTAACATATATATAACTTATATCTAACATATATATAACTTATATCTAACATATATATAACTTATATCTAACATATAACTTATATCTAACATATATATAACTTATATCTAACATATATATGTTAGATATAAGTTATATATATGTTAGATATAAGTTATATAACTTATATCTAACATATATAACTTATATCTTTTTTTTTTTTTTTTCATTTATTGTTGAGAATAGACATACAAAAAATACAATACAATACATACAATACGACAAACAAGAAGCAAACACAGACAACAAAGACAACATAGGTGATCAGTTTCAGTGATATTTACAACGTAAGAGGAGAATCTATACAAAGAGGGGAGAGAGGACAGTGAGACCAACAAGAAAGAAAAAGAAATCGTTGCACGCACGCGCATGTGTGTGGATGAGAGTGAATGTGGCATTACAGAAATCTTTTCCTACGTACAGAAGAGGGGGAGAAGGAAAGACAAAGTGTATATCTACACATACATACATACATACATATATATATTCATGCATATATACATACATTCACACAAACAATAATTATAAACATATAATAGTAAATTTAAACATATACATATAAATATATATATAACATTTAAATTATAATAATAATGAATAATGATATACGATTGTTGCATAATAACATTGATAATGATTATAATAAAGATGATGATGGTGATAATAGAAATAAAGTATAACATCCGCAATAATAAAATTAATAACTGCAACAATAAATAAGCTTGTTTGGATTGAATGTGTTTTTAAATGTATTTATTTTTTATAGATGTGATCTAATTGAATTGAATGTTATTATATTATTATACATACATATATATATATATACATATACCGATCATACACTCCTCTTATCCATCTGTTATGGTGCATTTGTTTGTTTTTGGTGTTTTTTCTGTGTGTCATGTGTGTGTTGCATTAAAAGAGATAGAGGGGTATTTGTGCCAGACTAGTCTAGAACAGACACCCCACTATCGTCTGGGTTGTGTAAGAGTATTATCTATTTATTGAATAGGGTTGCAAAAAAATAAATAATAATAATAAATAAAAAAGGGATAGATAAGAGTATGTTTTGTCAATGCCCGTGCAGCAGCCTAGATCCAAAGATTCCTATGAGGTAGTTCGGTGGAAACAGTCGGATTGAACCCATAGGGTTTGAATGTTAGTTTTAGTTTTAGCTTATATATGTTGAATGTATTACAATGTTATACTATTATACAGTATTATACTTTATCACCATCACACCATACTTTACTATTATATCCTATTCCTACTGTATTATTTTATCATATGTATACTGTTTTACTATATCAAATGTATACTGTATGCGGAGAGATGAGAGGATGAAGTGAGACGAAGAAGGAGAGGTCTATGTGGAGTGGTATGTGAGGTGGTTAAGATGTTTTTTTTTTTTGTTTTTTTTAAGTGATGCTTTCTGTCAGGGTTAGCCAGGAGAGGTTTTCGCTGAGATGATCATGTGTATTTGTTGTTGAAGAAAGTTCAGATGATATGAATTCTGTGAGTAGGTTCTTCCAGTGGGCAATGTGTATGGTTTTTTTTGTCTTCCAGTTTATGAGGACTGTCTTCTTGGCGATTGTGAGGGCAATAAGCAGAAGGCGGGTTTGTGGGAGTGTGAGGTTCAATGCAGTTGTGTCTCCTTGCAGACAGAGAGCTGGTGATAATGGGATGTGGCGGCCAAGGATGGCGGGGAGAGTGGTTTCAATGTTATCCCAGAGTGTCCTAACAGGTGAACAGGCCCAGAGTGCGTGCAGGTATGTATCTGGTGCGTTCTGTGAGCATTGTGTGCATATGTTTGATGTGAAACCCATTTTGTGTAACTTTTCACCCGTGTAGTGGAATCTGTGAATAATTTTATATTGGATTAATTGGATGTTTGCATTTCGGGACATGAAGTAGATGTTTTCAAAGATCTGGGTCCAGAAATCCGCATCGGGGATTAGGTCTAAGTCTTTTTCCCATTTTAGGGGAGGCAGGGGGAGACTGATATCTGACTGTCAAATTTTATGATAAATTTTAGATAATAATTTTTTGTGGGTGGGGATATTTAATATTTCTGACAAAGGAGTTGGTAAGGAGAGATTTAGGTTATTTAGATTTAGGTTCTTCTTTAGAGATGAATTTAATTGTGCATATTGAAGAAAGGAGGAATCCCCGATTCCGAATTTCTGGACCAGAAGAGGAAATGAGGTGAGAGTGTTGTCAGAGAAGATGTGGTGTAGGTGTGTGATGCCGTGTTCGATCCATGTGCTGAAGTGAAGTGGTTTATTATTGCTGATGAAGTCCGGGTTGTTCCATATTGGGGTGAAGTAGGAGATTGGTGTTGTAATTGAGTTTATTTGATGGAATTTCCACCAGGCTGTCAGAGCAGCAGCTATAGTTGGAGTTTGGAAGAGAGTGTGTTTTCGGATGGTTTGGCTGAGGAAAGGGAGATCTTGGAGTAGGGTGTTTTGACAGTGTTTGTTCGATATCTAACCAGGTGTTATCAGAGTTTGTAGGGTGGGTCCATTTGTAAATGTATTGCATGTGTGTGGCTATGAAGTAGTTGAAAAAGTGTGGTGCTTCGAGGCCTCCTAGAGTTTTGCATTTTTGCAGGGTGGATAATTTGATTCTGGGTGTTTTGTTTTTCCAATAGAATTTTGATATGATTGAGTCTAGAGTCTTGAACCATTTTGGGGGCGGGTGGGTTGGAGTCATGGAGAATAGGTAATTGACCTTGGGAAGTATTGACATTTTGACTGTGGCTATTCGACCTATGAGTGATAGTGGGAGATTTGTCCAGCGTTGAAGATCGTTATCTAGGGTTTGGAGTAGTGGAGTGAAGTTGAGTCTGAATAGCTCTGACAGCCTGGGGGAAATGTGTATGCCCAAGTATGTAATATGATCAGTGACAGGAATTGGTACATTACAGGCAGCCACATCCCAGCTGCTTTTTAGTGGAAGTATTGAGGACTTTGACCAGTTTATTGAGTAGTCAGAGACTTTTGAATATGAATTTATAAGATTGACTGTGATTTCTATTGAAGATGTGTTGTGTAGGAACAGGAGAATATCGTCGGCATAGAGGCTAATTTTATGTTGAGTGTTTTGGGTTTGAATTCCTATAATGGATTGATTTTGACGGATAGCTGCAGCGAGTGGTTCAATGAATATGGTGAAGAGGAAGGGAGAGAGTGGGCAGCCCTGCCTTGTACCTCTGTGTAGTGTGAATCTTTCTGATGTTATTTCGTTGGTGATATTTGATGCAGAAGGTGAACTGTAGAATAATTTTATCCAGTTTATGAATGACTCCCCGAAGCCAAATCTCCCCAATGCGGCAAACAGGAACGGCCAGTGTACTCTGTCAAAAGCCTTTTCAGCATCGAGGGAGACTATAATACTGTTTCTATTGGATATTGATGTGTGATGAATGAGATTGAACAGTCTGCGTGTGTTAGTTGATGATTGTCTGCCTTTTATAAAACCAGTTTGATCAGGGTGGATAATTGATGGGATTACTCTCTCCAGTCTATGTGCCAGTGCTTTTGAGATGATTTTTATGTCTACATTTATTAAAGAGATGGGTCTGTAGCTTGAGGGGTGCAGGGGGTCTTTATTAGGTTTAAGTATTACAGTGATTGAAGCGGTATTCATGTTTTGAGGGAATGTGGAGTTTATTTGAGATTCGTAAAGCATGCGGGTGAAGAGTGGAGAGAGGATATCCCAAAAATGTTTATAAAAAGCAGGGAAGCCATCTGGGCCAGGGGACTTGTAGTTAGGCATGTGCTTTAGTGCGGAGAGAAGTTCTTTTTCATCTATTGGAGCATCCAGTTGGGAAGTCTGGGCGTCTGTCAATGTAGGAAGATCTATGGATTGTAGAAATGCATGGATATCATGGGGTCTTGAATTAAGGTCTGATGAGTATAATTTTTTGTAAAAGGTTTGGAACGTTTTATTGATTTCATCTGGTAAGGACGTTGGCTTCCCTGCTGAGTTTATGATAGCAGGTATTGTTGTTTTATCCTTGTTTTTTTTCAACTGATTAGCCAGGAATTTGCCTGTTTTATTGCCATGTTTAAAATGTTCCATTTTGTGTTTTTTCATGAGAAATTCAGTTTTTTTATTAATAATTTCATTTAATTTTGCTTTGCCTATCATTAATTCTTTTTGGATCGCTTCAGTTGTATGTATGATATTCAGTTTTTCGAGTCTTCGTATTTTGTTTTCTAAATCTGTTTGTTGTTGTTTCTCTTTTTTGTTTTTGTTGATTGAGAATGATATAATGAGAGATGTTAGCACCGCCTTCCCTGTCATCCACAGCACAGATGCAGAGGTCTCCGGGGAGTCATTCAGTTGTAGAAATACTGCCCACTCTCTCCTGAGAAACTGGTCAAAGTCCTTGTCTGCTAGGAGAGAGGTGTTAAAGCGCCATCTGTTGAATGATTTAATTGGGCTATTGTGTGTTGATTTCAGTGTTACAGAGATTGGTGCGTGGTCACTTATTGTTATGGGATGGATTTTTGTCTCAATGATGTCTGAAAAAAAAAAGTTGCTTGTCAGAAAGTAATCAATGCGTGAGTAAGAATTATGAACTGGTGAAAAAAAGGAAAATTGTTTGTGGTTGGGATGTTGGAGCCTCCAGCAGTCTCCAAGACCACAGTCACTCATAAACTGCAAGATTGTTTCTGTGGAGTGCCACACACGTGGTGTATTTGTTGTGCGGGATCTGTCCATTGGGGGGTTTAGTACTGTGTTAAAATCTCCTGCCATGATGATTGGGGGTGGGGAAGAAATGAAGTGTGTGAAAAGTTGATGGAAGAATACTGGGTTATCGAAGTTTGGACCATACACATTGCCCAGGGTGACTTGGTAGTTTGTAATTGTGATATTTATAATAATGTATCGCCCCTCTGGGTCTGCTACTATAGAGTTAAGAGTGAATTTTATATTTTTGTGGATTAAGATACCGACTCCTCTGTTTCCTGTTGTAACTTGCTAAAAATATATGGGTGAAAGATTTGGATTGAAGCGAGTCAAGTTTAGACAAGTGAGTTTCTTGCAAAAAACAGATATCGGCTTTTAAGGTTTCTAAGTGGGTTAAGATTTTGGCCTTTTTTGTCTTAGTTCCCAGCCCCCGTACATTCCATGAAATAAGGTTGAGCATTGGGGTTAGAGAAGAAATCTGAACTTTCTACTATATTCTGCGTGTGTGAGTGCATGTGTGTGTGTGTGCGTGTGCGTGTGTGTGTGCGTGTGTGTGCATGCGTACAGTTCACATAAAACACATAGGATAGGAGAGGGAGAACACATAACATAAAAGCAAAACATTTGCAATAAGGAGGGTCTATGACCCGAGGGGTTATCATTTAGAAACAGATAGTGGAGACCAAGGTGCGTATTTACATTCAGAAGTGAGAAGTGGGGGAATATACATTTTTTTTGCTAGCATAACCATGGGGTTTTTTCCTTATCCCTATACAGTTGACCATCAATATACAGCTTGTCTACTGAAATGACAGCCTTTTTTCCTTCCATCATACTTTGTTTGCGGATAGGGAACAGTATTTTGCGTCGTTGGACAATGTCCTGGGGGAATTGGTCGTTCATTTCGAAGTGAGAGCCTTTCAACTGTCTACCTTGTTTCTGGATCAGTACTTTATGTTTGAAATGTTCAAATTTTGCAATAATGGGGCGAGGTCTATTGTTGTTTTTCTGCCCGAGGCGGTGTACTCGGTGAAAGCTGATGCTGTTGACTGTAGCGGATGGGAGTTTTAGTTTTTCGGAGATGAAGTCCTTGATGATTTTTTCTGGGTCGTCGTTTGGTTGTTCTGCAATTCCTGTGAATACTAAATTGTCTCTCATACTGCGGGCTTGAATGTCCAGAATAGTCTCTTTCATTCTTTTATTGTCTGCGGTGATTGTGGTGAGTTGTGTTGTTAAAGATCCTACCGTTTGTTTTAATGTATTATTTTCTTTTGCGAGTGTTTCGATCTGCTCCTGACTGAATTCGAGGCTATGGCGAACGGCTTGAAACTCTATATGGAGTACTTCTATTAGCGCAAGTCTTGTGTCAAGGGTGGAGAGCTTACTTTCAATGGATAGGAGGATGTCTGTCATATCCTTACAACAGTTCTGCTTGTGTTGATCCGCGGATGGATGTGTTGTGTCTGTACCTTCGGTGGGAGAATCCGGTGGACGGGGTCTTTTGGACAGCTGGGATGGGGTTGCCGTATTTGACGCCTTTTCCTTGATAGCGACGGGTTCCATGGTGCAGTAGTTGTCGTAGAAGAGGTTGATATATTGTTCCAGATGATCCAGGTTGATGGGGATTTAGAGGAGAAAGGGAGAAGTCTGTGTTTGTTTCTAGCGACCGTGCGCCGCCATCTTCGTTCTGCACAAGTCTCGTGGGTTCTCGCGTTACTCAGGCATCAGCACCTACTCAGGCATCAGCACCACTCAGCCATCAGCTTATAACTTATATCTAACATATATATATAACATATATCTAACATATATATAACTTATATCTAACATATATATAACTTATGTCTAACATATATATAACTTATATCTAACATATATATAACTTATATCTAACATATATATAACTTATATCTAACATATATATAACTTATATCTAACATATATATAACTTATATCTAACATATATATAACTTATGTCTAACATATATATAACTTATGTCTAACATATATATAACTTATGTCTAACATATATAACGTATATATAACTTATATCTAACATATATACACTCGTAAATCGTTCGTGTTTGTCTCAGATATTTACCACTATTATTGTTTTGCTGTTTGTGCTGAAAACTATTTAATAATAACTATGTTTCCAACAAGAACTGTCTTTATTCACAGCATCACAGTTGAAATGACTTATAAAATAATGAATCCATAAAACTATCACATAAACCTACAGTAGAAACACGTGTAATGAGCTCAAACAGCTTTGTTTGTTATTGTTGTTCTGAAGAGGACAAAGTAGCAGCGTAAATGGGACCGCTCCTGTGTGATCGCCCTCATGTGGTTTGTTGTGGGATTACAACATTCTCCTCAAAACGCCGTAAGGGGAACGCGCCAGTATAACATCAATTGTGCTTACGTAGGTCCACCGCAACCGCTAACGTAAGCCACGCCGCGCAAGTATACACTAGGCTTTAGTCTCTACTCAGCACTTTTTACGGCTTGAATTCATACACAGCTGAATCAATGAGCTCAAGTTTTCAATTAAATTACGGATTAAGATACAACATGTATGTAGTAATAAGCATTTTTATGAACTCATAAAAAAAAAATTGAGTATAGCTTCTTTAAGCACTTTGAGTTGCCTTGTGTATGGACTGTGCTACACAAATAAACTTGGTTTGCTACTAAAACAGTTGTAGTACTTGCCGTTCATCTGGGCTTTTGAAATTCTATACAATAAGGTTTACTTAATAATTGAACTCCAATCTTCCACTGACAGAATATGATTTATTGGGCAGTTACTTTTACTCTTTGTTGTTTCTTCTGACATTTGTACTGTATGTCGTTTGAGTGTTCCGTCTTCTCGCCCGCAGGGTACGAGCCGATGAAGGGGGATTGGGTCCAGGCCAAATACGTCATTAACCCGGGCCAGTGGACCACACAGGCTCGCTCTGTGGCTCCCCTGCGCTACAGCCGCCTGGACAAGGTAATGCGGCAATTACTCAAATTCGGGTCATTTAGCTTTCGGCAGCAGTCGATGATGGAGTCAATTCAGTTTCTTATCAAATCCCACATGTAACAGATCCCTCCTTTTGTCTGGTGGGATCAGTCTTTTGTAGAATATTTTAGGAAAACCATTAAAGTAGCACTACTTCTCTAGTATATAACCTCTGGATTTTGTCGCTGTTTCCCCAAATAAGAACAAAACTTGAACCTAATGTCCAAACAAGGCTTGACACACTTCAAATGCAGTGTTCACCATTCATTTTGTACTCCTCTCAATTCAAAACTTTCTCTCTCCCAAATTAAAAAAAAAAGTCCCTTTAGAGTCTAATGACAATATTAATAATAATAATAATAAACCGCAGGGTTTCCATCTGCAGGTGGTCTTTCTACCTCAGGATTTCTACCTCCCACAGGTGGACTTCTATCTTCCGCAGGTGGACGTCTTTCCTCCGCAGGTGGACGTCTTTCCTCCTCAGGTGGACTTCTATCCTCCGCAGGTGGACGTCTTTCCTCCGCAGGTGGACGTCTTTCCTCCTCAGGTGGACGTCTTTCCTCCTCAGGTGGACGTCTTTCCTCCGCAGGTGGACGTCTTTCCTCCGCAGGTGGACGTCTTTCCTCCTCAGGTGGACTTCTATCCTCCGCAGGTGGACGTCTTTCCTCCGCAGGTGGACGTCTTTCCTCCGCAGGTGGACGTCTTTCCTCCGCAGGTGGACGTCTTTCCTCCGCAGGTGGACGTCTTTCCTCCGCAGGTGGACGTCTTTCCTCCGCAGGTGGACGTCTTTCCTCCGCAGGTGGACGTCTTTCCTCCTCAGGTGGACCTTGTGGATGTCCACTCTCCCTCTTCTCCTGTATCTTCTTCCCCTCTAGATTCTCCCTACTTTCTTTGTCCTTCCTCTCCTGATGTGGATCCCTCGTCTCCCTCTCGCCCCTTTCTTGTCTTCTTTTTCTTCCCCAGATTTCCAGAGCCTTGAAGAGTTCCTGGACTTTTGGCTGCAGACTCTGGATCCAGCTCCTGCCTCCCCCACTAATGCTCCTCTTCTTTTCCCTCCCATCTTTGGTGCAGCCGTCCCCTCTCCTCCTGGCACTGCTCCTCCGTCTCCCCTCCTTGCTTCCCCCTCACGCTCTTTCTCTCCCTCTCCAGATGCGGAGGCGTTTGTTTCATCAGTGTCCAGAGCAGACCCAGGTGAACCCAGGAGGACAGACATCAGTGTCCAGAGCAGACCCAGGTAAACCCAGGAGGACACATCAGTGACCAGAGCAGACCCAGGTGAACCCAGGAGGACAGACATCAGTGTCCAGAGCAGACCCAGGTAAACCCAGGAGGACAGACATCACATGTTCTTTAATAATCTGTTCTCCCTGCTCCCTCTTCTTCCTCCCACTCTCCTTCCTCCTAACCCTCCCTCCCCCTCTCCACCCTACCCCTGTCCACCACCCTTCCTCCCTCCCCCTCTGCCATCACCTCCCTCGTCATTTTTTCCCTGCTCATCTCTCGGTCAGCACTAGACCATATACGGAAGCGGAAGTAAATATAACAAACTGCCTATTCATGCCTAAACTTGAATAGACAGTTTAGGCCTATTCAAGTTTAGGCAGTTTAACCCTAACCCTAACCATCTTACTCATACCACCTAAAACTTAACCAGTCACCACTTAAGGACTTTTTAGTCTAAAACAAATTTGAAAGTAGGATTGTTACTTCCGGTTTCGTCCCAATTCCGTATATGATCTAGTGCCGACCCTCATCTCTATCCCGGTCTCTCTCCTCATAACTCCATCTCTGCCCTCTGAATTCCCCCATGCTTCTTCCACAGTTTGTCCCTTTTCAGATCCCCCCCCTCTCAGGAATCTCAATGGCAAGAGTAGGACAAACATCAGTGTCCGGAGCATTAACGGCACAACAGGAGCCTGCCTGAGCCACAATGTCTGCTACTGGCATTTTCAGTGGCAGATGTTGTCTTTAGTGGCCTTTTCAGTGGCAGCTAGAAGATTAGTGGCATTTTTGTTGGAAGCTAGTATTTAAGTGGCTTTCAGACATCCTTTGGAAATTCAGCAGGGGGCATTTTCACCTGCTTGGTTTTCTGCATCGAGATCAACAATCAGGGAACCACCACCTGCCCAATGCCACTAAACTTCTAGCTGCCATTGAAAATGCCACTACACCTCTAGTTGCCAATTTTTTGGCCGCCTCTGATCAGCCGTGGCAGCTGCCACGGCTGATCAGAGCAGACCCAGGTGAACCCTGGCGGACAGACATCAGTGTCCAGAGCAGACCCAGGTGAACCCAGGAGGACAGACATCAGTGTCCAGAGCAGACCCAGGTGAACCCAGGAGGACAGACATCAGTGTCCAGAGCAGACCCAGGTGAACCCAGGAGGACAGACATCAGTGTCCAGAGCAGACCCAGGTAAACTCAGGAGGACACATCAGTGTCCAGAGCAGACCCAGGTGAACCCAGGAGGACAGACATCAGTGTCCAGAGCAGACCCAGGTAAACCCAGGAGGACAGACATCACATGTTCTTTAATAATCTGTTCTCTCTGCAATAACGTGTATTTGTGCAGATGCAGAGAGGTGCCTGCAGAAACACTTGTATTCATTGAGTGCAGAGCAATAGTTGCTGGATCTGAAAGCTCTGAGCTCACAGGACATCCAGGACAAGGGGGACATCACACAGGACCTGATCCAAGACCCGGACCAAGAGCAGAACTGCAGGTAAGGGTGGTCTATGTATATATATTTATACATATGTATATAGAGTGGGGCAAAATCATATTTGTCAGAGTCTTTATATCAAGCTAAAATGAACAGATTCATTTGTATAATGGTGCAGAATATAAGTGCTCTGTTCCCATCATGTCTATTTCCTGGTCTCTGAGTCTCCCTCTTGTGTCTTTCAGACTTGGTGTTTTTTCTGGTGGGATCTCTGAACACCTGACTCCTACAATCAAGCTCTCCAGGTCTCACTGCCAGATTGTTTTCTGGAGTCTTGCCACGTCCCCACCTGCTTCGAATCCTCAGTCATTGTTCCCTGTCCCCAAGAAGACCCGGATCACTGGACTTAATGACTACAGACCCGTGGCTCTGACATCTGTAGTTATGAAGTCATTTGAGCGCCTGGTCCTCCCCCACCTCGAGTCCTTCACCAACAGATCTGTAGACGACGCCATTAACCTGGCCCTCCACCACATCCTACAGCACCTGGACTCCCCGGGGACCTACGGCAGGGTCCTGTTCGTGGACTTCAGCTCTGCCTTCACCACCATCCTGCCATCCCTGCTCCAGGACAAGCTCTCCCAGCTCAACATGTCCAATGTGTTCTTTCTCCCTTGCTCTTCTCCCTGAACACCAACCACTGCACCTCCTTGAAGCTCATCAAGTTTGTGGACAACACCACCATCTCCAACTTCGATTGAGTCCGCCTACAGGAGGGAGGTGGACCGGCTGATCTCCTACAGGAGGGAGGTGGACCGGCTGATCTCCTACAGGAGGGAGGTGGACCGGCTGATCTCCTACAGGAGGGAGGTGGACCGGCTGATCTCCTACAGGAGGGAGGTGGACCGGCTGGTCTCCTACAGGAGGGAGGTGGACCGGCTGGTGTCCCACAGGAGGGAGGTGGACCGGCTGATCTCCTACAGGAGGGAGGTGGACCGGCTGATCTCCTACAGGAGGGAGGTGGACCGGCTGATCTCCTACAGGAGGGAGGTGGACCGGCTGGTGTCCCACAGGAGGGAGGTGGACCGGCTGGTCTCCTACAGGAGGGAGGTGGACCGGCTGGTCTCCTACAGGAGGGAGGTGGACCGGCTGGTCTCCTACAGGAGGGAGGTGGACCGGCTGGTCTCCTACAGGAGGGAGGTGGACCGGCTGGTCTCCTACAGGAGGGAGGTGGACCGGCTGGTCTCCTGGTGTCTCCTACAGGAGGTGTCCTGGTGCAGTGGTAACAACCTGGAGCTGAACGCCCAGAAGACAGTGGAGATGATTTCTGAACTTCACGGAAGAGCACAGTCCCCCCCACCCTTGCCCTCCCTGATTGACTCCCCCATCAACTCTCCCCCCCCGCCCTCCCTGATGGACTCCCCCGTCACCTCTGTGGAGTCATTTCGTTTCCTGGGCACCACCATCACCCAGGACCACAAGTGGGAGCCGACCATCAGCTCCTCATCAAGAAGGCCCAGCAGAGGATGTACTTCCTGCAGCAGACTACACAGACTACAGCGCATTGTGCGCTCTGCAGAGAAAGTGATCGGCCACAGCCTCCCAGCGCTGCAGGACCTCTACGACGCCCGAGCTTGAGGCCGTGCTGGTCGTATCACTGCTGACCCCTCTAACCTGCACATGGACTGTTCCAACCTCTCCCCTCTCATCAGCACATGGACTGTTCCAACCTCTCCCCTCTCATCAGCACATGGACTGTTCCAACCACTCCCCTCAGGCAGGAGACTACGGCCCATTCGGACCAGAACCTCACCTCATAAGAACAGTTTCTTCCCCTCTGCTGTTGGTCTCTTGAACACTTCATAACCTTGTCCCTTAATGCTCGTTACAAAGCCACCTTACTGCCCGTTACAAAGGCACCTTACTGCCCTTTATAAAGCCACCTTACTGCCCTTTATAAAGTCACTTACTGCATTTTATAAAGTCACTTACTGCCTTTTATAAAGTCACTTACTGCCTTTTATAAAGTCACTTACTGCCCTTTACAAAGGCACCTTACTGCCGTTTATAAAGTCACTTACTGCCCTTTACAAAGGCACCTTACTGCCTTTTATAAAGTCACTTACTGCCCTTTACAAAGGCACCTTACTGCCCTTTATAAAGTCAATTACTGCCCTTTACAAAGTCACTTACTGCCCTTTACAAAGGCACATTACTCCCTTTACAAAGTCACTTACTGCCCTTTACAAAGTCACTTACTGCCCTTTACAAAAGAACCTTACTTCCCTTTATAAAGTCACTTACTGCCCTTTACAAAGTCACCTTACTGCCTTTTATAAAGGTACTTACTGCCCTTTACAAAGGAACCTTACTGCCTTTTATAAAGTCACTTACTGCCCTTTACAAAGGCACCTTACTGCCCTTTATAAAGTCACTTACTGCCCTTTACAAAGTCACTTACTGCCCTTTACAAAGTCACTTACTGCCCTTTACAAAGGCACCTTACTGCCCTTTACAAAGTCACTTACTACCCTTTACAAAGGCACCTTACTGCCCTTTACAAAGTCACTTACTGCCCTTTACAAAGTCACTTACTGCCCTTTACAAAGTCACTTACTGCCCTTTACAAAGGCACCTTACTGCCCTTTACAAAGTCACTTACTACCCTTTACAAAGGCACCTTACTGCCCTTTACAATGTCACTTACTGCCCTTTACAAAGTCACTTACTGCCCTTTACAAAGGCACCTTACTGCCCTTTACAAAGGCACCTTACTGCACTGCTGTACATTGTATATTGTGTGCACAGAGCCCGAGTGCACTTGTTTATAGTAATAATCATAATACTTTTAACTAAAATCTTAGAGCTTTACTTTAGAGATGTTTAGAAATGTTTTATTTTGTCTTATTCTTGACTTTTGACCTGATTGCACTGAGAGCCAAAGCCATTTTCCAGTCTGTGACTTCCTGTTTCTTACGTGTCAATAAAAATGGTTGTGATTCTGATCGTTACGTCTCTTCAGTCTCTTCAGTGGCACAGACTTATCTTTAGCATGAATCTAGTGAAACCTCAAACTTTAGCTTGTCTTACCATTCTGTTCCTTCTTATTCATTCAAATGGTGTTTTTTCCCAAACCAGCTGCTCCAGAGACCCACCAGCCAATCCAATCCAAGCACTCCATAAATGTTTTCCCTTTGTTCTAACCTGCAGTGTTTTCTTTGGGCTCCTATTACCAATCTTTATTTCAGACTCAAATTCAATGGCTCCATATTCTGAAGGAAAACAAGCAGAAAATACAATATATAGAGTCAGTCCAAACAGGTCTATAGGTGATGGAAGAGTGTTTCAGCCGCTTTCTCAGAGCAGAGCTGCAGTCAACTTTTGACTTAGATTTATTTTTTAGTTTTATTACATGCAGGAAATGGTGATAATGTGATTACAATGATATCAGGGTTTATATAATTATGTGTGTGGAGTCATCACGGTATTGTTGAGGAAACTTTTACAAAAAGACTAAATATTGATTCTGTTTTCAGACACATTGCAAACATCACACCTCGCCTCATTGCTCTGATTGGACAGCCCTTTGCTTTTTTAATTGAAAAATGTTCTTTACAAATCACAAAATGAGTACATATAACAGAAACATGTGCGATATGCAAGTGTAATGCCAGAGGGAGTTTTCATATGCTGAGATTTTTGTCACTATATTAAACGTATGTATTATTGTCATTTATGCACTGATTTTGCAATATGATGATGATGATGACCAATTAGTTCTACAACACAAGTGCATAGGTTTCTCGATAACTTAGCACATATAATATATATAATATATATATATATATATATATATAATGACAATTATTTATAAATGAGAATCTAAAATCACAAGAAATTAAAGGGAAAGAAAATCCAAACAAGCTATCGCTTAGGAATCCAGAACAGGACAAAAGGCCTATTTGAGTTTTGCAAAATAGTCTTTTGTGTATTGTATCGTGACTCCAGCGTAAAGAGGCTGAGAGAAGGTTGTCTTTACTCTGTGAATGAGGCTCATGGTTCTTGATGTTGTAAAATGCCAAAACTCCTGCGCTGTGGTCCAGGAAAACACCAATTCTTTTTGAAAGTGATTGCTCTACTTTTACTCAACACTCTGATGCCAAAAGGAAAGCCTGTTTTAAGTACAATATAAGGCCCAGGACTTGTCATTGTATCCAATTTTACAATCATCGAAGTTTCCTTTTCTCCTAATATTTTTGTAGGATACTGCAACTACTTTGTATTTTTCCAAACTCCTCCTCCCAGTAACAGCGACCCATCAAACTGTCTCTGCTCAGGGCTCGGGCGAAGGGACTGAACCTGTCTGGGTGATCTGGTTTCTTGCCTTCACACGAGAATGCAGCCTATCTGTTTCCACTCTACGATATAAGACATTGGTGAGCTGTGTTTGGGTCCAGGACGATCTCTCGTGCATAGTTGAGGAACTCTGCTCTGGTTTTGGGCTCCGTCTGTGCGGTCCTGCACAGAATGTCCTCTGCTTGTGGATGGTCTTGTGTAAAACCATGAGATTGTTTGTAGTCCTTCTGTGAGAGTGAGCTGGAGCAGGTCTGTGAGCTCGATCACAGCAGAGGCAGCCTGCTCCAGGAACCACGTGGATCCTGAAAAACTGGGGGTTTGGGCTGCAGGAGGGGGCAGGCACTGGGGCATCTGCGGGGTCTCAGAGAGTTTCCTCTTCAGCTCTATGATCTCCTGCTGCAGCTGTGCATGAAAGGGTTTCATTTGAGCCTCTTCTCTTTGCTGCAGGGTCCTGATTTGTAGGGTCACATCATTATGTAATGTGCACAATCGATCTGAAGCGCCCCCCACTGTGTATCACTGCTTCATCAGCACAGCGCTTCAGGGACAGAGCCTCCTGCTGAACCTTCTGTTGCCCGGCCTCCTTCACCTGAATGCCGAGGAGGATCGGCTGTTTCCAGAACTCTGCTGTGCACTGAGGGGACCTCTTCAGCTGCTCCACTACCTCTGCCATCACAGTGAGGAGCTCAGGCCCAGGCCTGAAGATCCGTCTGCACTGAGGACAGCTCTGTTCCTGTTGGTCCCAGTGCCTCTGGACACATACTCTACAATAGTTATGTCCACAAGGAAGAGTGACAGGCTCCTCTTGCAGTTCCAAACATATTGCACACAGTAAAGCTCGATGGTCGATCTGAACGGCTGTCTGCTCCATCTCTGCTCTTAGACTAATATGTTAGTTTCAGTTCAGAAACAGGAAGGGCACTTATGTGTGAAGATATCTCTGGGGAGGAGACAATGTTCATCTGAACCAGGGCGCACACAGTCAACACACTTTCTAAGACCCACAACCCACTGAGTTAAAAGCCAAAGTAAAAAGATGTGTCTTAAGAATCTCCGTCAGAATATCTCCAAGAGGCAACAAATACACTGAGAACAGTAGCGGATTTTCAACAAAGAAATGGGTTGATAGCTGTTGAGCTCATGAATATCCAAGTTGGATTTGGATATTCTACTGCATGTTTAGAGGAAGAAGGAACAACTCCACTGGCCAGGCTTCCATTAAGAATAGACAGAACATGAGGCGCCAATAAAGGAAACTGTTATTTTTTTTTAAGACAAGGGGGATCACATCATTAGGAGAGGTTGTAAGTTTGATCTGATCCATGAGTTTTACTAGTAAGGGCAAAGTAACTGTGAGCCAACTAATCAAAAACAACAGAGAAAATTGTAGATGTGCCAGGATCATAATTGGGATGGGAAATCAGTGCCCGAGTACTGGCTACCTTGTCAATGAATTTTTTTTAAATGGTTTAAAATCACAATCTTGTTTCTATACCCTTGGTGGTAAGTAACAATGGCTCAATAGCCTTGAACTCAGTCCTAGATTTACATCCTCAGACCTTTATAGACACGGTAGATAAGTAGATACCATTCTTGCATCTAAAAAATTAAGTAAAGGTACGTAAAAGTAAGTAAAAGTACTCCTGGAATCGAATCCTGGCTGGAACAGGGTATTTCTAGGGTCCAAACAGCTTTGCGAGACACATGCATCCATCTCTACATACACAGTACAATTAACATTACAGAGCACAATCAAATTCTTTTCTTTTCTTTTTGGTCTGTCACCACACTTCAGAGATAAGTATCACCATTGTAACTATCTAAGTCTATCGTTTTACTAATTATTAATTTTAAGTTTTGTTTTGTTTGCAAGTCAATATAGAAGTCAACAATGTCATATCACTCAAGACCGTTGATATTTTATTCATGACCGTACCTATGACAAAAGCAACAAGAATAAAGGTTATTATTTAGTGTATATTTCTACTTTTGAATTAGAAAATTTGACTTTTAGTAAATTGACAACAAAAGTGAAGGCATAGGGAGCAGATCAAGCTCTCCAGACACATTTAGTTTGGTTTAGCATAGGATTAGTTTTCTATGTATAAATCATGGATCTATAATAGGATAAAAATCTGTTTAAACTGATAGTGTTTGGGATATTTTGTGTAATGACTAACTGTAAAAACAAAAACGACAGTGGTCTCTCTGTGCTACTCTGCGTTTCACCAGCAGAGGTCACTCAGAATGTCATTTTGAAAACGGTCCATTCTTTATCTCACAGACAGTAACAACGTGAAACACAATAGATGTGGATCAATTCATCAGAAAGCCTGTAGATCATAAAAAAGTGTGTCTAAATTGAGCAACATTTCGCGTCTATGCCATAGACAGAACATGTGAAATTGGTTTATAGATGATAACTGTATTAATAACATCTGTTTTTGAGATACATTGGAGCTTTATTATATACAGTCTATGATTGGAGCGCACAGGGAGATGAGGTGGTTGATATTTACACTCTATGGTGATTACATAGAAAATAGTAAAATGCCAAATCTTGTTTTCCTTTTCCTTTATTATCAGCTACAATGTCTCCTCGGAAAATTATATAAACAATTAGAAAAAATGAAAAAGTGGGTAATTCTCGTATTGGATTGTGGAGTTAAGGCTCTGCACCCACGAATGAGGCATCGGCCCATTCCAAAAATACTGCTGTAGTCCATATAAGTTGATCCAGGCTATGAGGAATACATGCATTTGTAGTGACTAGTGTGTTTTATGCTTTGAATGTTGCATAAAAAGTCAAAGCAGGTAAATGTCAGAGTCGTGCTTCTGTCTCTTGCATATATAATTAAAATGTCATATTAGGTGACTGGAGAAGCTGTCTGCGCATGCTCCTGACACACTGCACCTTCCTTCGCCTTTGTAGTTGTTTTGGAAGGCCATAATTGTAGTCCAAAAGAATCGTGACGACAATGGTGTGTTCAATACTCATCGGGAATATTGGTTTTCTGCGTTCGCTATGATAATGATATTTTCTAGAGGTACTTTAATTTTGGCTTGCTATGTATATGAAAAGTAAATGAGATATTGCATCTCCAGGGGTATTCCCTAAATAAAATAAAATAAAATATAAATATTATTATATACTATTATTAAAAACTGTATAATTAAATACTAAAATATAAACATTGCCAAAAAGAAATGTGTAAATAAAAATGCAGGTACGTGAAACTAAAGCAGCTTCTTTTTGTGTTTGCAGAAGAAGTTTCAAAGTAGTCTGGAACATTAGGGGCCTGTTTCCACTCTTCCTCTCGATTGGGAGCATTTTCACAGACCCTGTTGAACTGGTACCAGGTTTGCTTTAGTCCCTGTATGGATCTGGTACTCATTTTGATATGGAGCCATTTTGTTGTAATTTGTGTTTCTATTTGCAATACTCCACTCGGTTGCGTTTCCATTACACATAGCATCTGGTACCTTATTCAACAACCTATTCACAACAAAGCATTCTCCAGGAAAATGCTGAGGTTACCATGGCTTTCCGCAGCACCCTGGTCAAAAACTGACAGTTGTAACAATGTATCACCTGTTCTGTCTGGGCCAAGCCAGGTACTAAAGGTAAGTAAGTTAAGCAGTCCATGTTTGACAATAATATTTTAAAAAACACTTCTAAAAATGCACACTCATTAACCCAGAATATAGCATAGAAACTGTATGCAAATTAGACAGGAATTTAATTAACTTTCTTATTTGATACTTCTCTGAGCTCCGGATTTCAGCGTTAGTTTTCCTTTTTCCGAGGTTCCGTGAACACCCACAGAATCTTTGTGCCAGCGGAGCCGTGCGGTCGCAGTTAGCAACGGGACCGTACAGCAACACACCACCGAGTCACGGAAAAACCCTGCCAAACACAACGAATACGAACCACGAACAACCCAGCGCCTGCCATAACACCGTTTTAAAGGCGACAGACGCGGGATTAAAATGGTAAGGACGCGTTTTGTGCTGTTAGCTGCCTGCTGATTCCAACGACTCCGATGCTAACTAGCCCGCTAAGCTAATGCTACTTTTAGCTAGTGGACTGTTTTCCTGACTCATTATTGAGAAGCCATTTTACACCAGCGGCTCAATCCTTCCCAATTCCCATATTACTTGAGACTGCAGCCTTTAATACTATGATTACAACAGTGGGTTAAGATTTGTTGGATGTCTGATCAGCCTTGGTTCGCCTGCTTGTGACTAAAAACAAGCCGTCATGAACCCAGGCTGCTGTGTTAGCCTTGAGCTAAATCAGTGGCGTAAGGCAATTACATTCAAGGGCCCCCTTAGCTAACCACACAATTTACACAGCCATATTATACCTACTTCTAAACTATGCATTATTGCTATTTCCATATGATTTATTCCCTCAGAAACCAGTGATTTTAATCTACCCATTGCATGCATTTCTTGTTTTATTTGATTAGAGACTTGTGAATTATTGATAAGAAGTATTTACATCTATCTTTGTTGTCTTCAGGGCTCATTCGAACATTGAGATGCAGTGTCAGATACATACATTGGCCAATATCCGTGTCTGTAACCTGCCAACTGCTGCAGTGTGATTGCTTAATAATGTAATGTGGGTCATTTTTGGTGAATGGACAGTGTTGGGGAGAATGCATTGCAACATGATTCTGTATACAATGCTTTTGAAATGTATTTTGTAACGTATTTTGTGTGTGATATGCTTCAACCAGTGTAGTGTATTCTGATTGACATATGTTCATGGTAATGGCATAATATTGTGTAAAATAGTGGAGTAGAATGATATAAACTTGCTTTTACTGTTAGGTCTGCGTTTTTCAATGCCTTATTGGGTCTGGTATCTCATCATACTGTACGTTTGAAGTGTTATTTATGTGATCAAATCCATAGTCTATTCAATTTTAGACTTTTGATTTCAATATACGAATACTTAAAATACCCGGTACTGGTTAGAGGCTTGTCCAGGGGCTGACAACCCGGATTGTGAAACTGTTTTGATCGGCTTCAGGCTGTTCTGAGCTCTAGATTGGTTGGTGAGCTGAAGGTGGCTGAATGACAATGTTTACAATCTCACTAGCATTCGTGCCATAAAAGGAATTTTTCGATCAATCAAAAATAATGTGTGCATGTTCAAATAAAGTAAATACCTGTCTACTAGAGGTTCTGTACTTTTCAATGAGGTGCAGCGTAATGGCAGGGCTTAAGTTGGCTGGATGTAATTGTGTCCATGATCTCAAAGTAGGGCTGGGCGATATGGCAAAAAAGTAACATCTCGATTTTATTTCCTGCTTTGGACGATTTCGATTTTAAATCGATTTTCATGAAAGTTTGCCCTTAAAAATATTTGTAGATCTTTCCGCTCAATAATCAAGTTTCAAAACCATTTTTATTTTGTTTCCCCCAATACGTATTATAAAAGTCTAGTACAAACTGTGCTGATATTGCAAGTATAATTCATGTGCTGCTGGAACTCTCACAATATCCTTCATTCGATTTCACGATTTTAACATTTTTCACGAATTCGATTTTTTTCAAAAGCCGATTAATTGCCTAAATTCGATTTATTGCCCAGCCCTATCTCAAAGACTACTTTGGGTTGCAATAGGGCCAAACTCAATTAGAATTGAGGGCTACAATTTGCCCGTGGCCCTTAGTTTGGCCATTTCTGACTTTAAGAATGAAAGCTATATTTTGATAATTACTTTCCCAACACTATTAATGACACTGTTATTCTTTTATGTGTGTCATAATGTATTATTGCATGTTTATAACATTTTGTTTTCAAATTATCCAAGTAAAAAAAAGGTGCACTTTATTAATCCCCATAGAGCAATTCACCCTCTGCATTTGACCCATCCTGATGCCACTCGGGCATCCATCAGGAGCAGTGGTCGCCGTAGTACCGTAGGAACCATTTCCAGATGTTTATGCTTTGCTTGCTCAGGACTATAGGAGCTGGAGGATTTACCTCTATTGTACATGTTTTTAGTAGTTGAGTACTTTAAATTTTTTTTAACCAGAATATTCTGTCAGCGTTTTGATGAATGTCAGCATTATCAGATTTATTGTTGCATCTTATACATAGTTCTAATATATTTTTGCCATGTGTTTTGCCAGTTGACAGCTGAGAGTCCTGCTTTATGTGGGTACGCATGTAGATTTGGGAAGCACATTGATAATATTTCCTCTTGAATGTCATTCTAGACTTCTGCAGGTGATATTGTTTCATTAGTCTGGAAGTGCCCATTCCTCATTTTTATTTGTGAAGCTATTATTAATAATTCACTGCTGTCCATATGTAAGAAAAATATTGACAGTGAATATGGATATTATTAGTGATTGATTACAAACTGTTCTGAATGAGCACCATGGCCATGTTATTAATTGACATTTTGGCTTCAACTGAACTTAATTTGACTACAACAAGGAGAAATAATAAATCTATACGCTTTTGTTGTCCTACAATCATACTAACAATAACTTTTTACATTTAGAACTTCTCTGTGGCTAACAACAAAGAGCATTGCATAAAGTTGCATTGCAGCATTGGATGAAGTTGCTTTTGGCCCTTAAGGTTTGGCTTTTGCAAATGCTCTTTTCTGGAACAGGCCGGTGTAGATGCTGCGATGCGTTCATGACTTCGGGACATCACTGCTTCTTACTCTCCTCCTTTACCTGGACTGACCCACTTCAGTTGCTCTCGATAAATGTGGGAAAAGTCAGACATGAACAAGTTCACACTTCGCCCGGTAGTTTTAGTCTAATGCAACTATTAGTAATATATTTTAATAGCATCAATAAGAGTAAAAATGTCTGCGTTTTGAGCTCAATCTGTTTTATATCCAAATGCCAATCTTCTAGGTCAATTGAATTTCCTTTTCCCTGAAACAAGAATCCAGGTTAATCCATTTTGTAATGTCTTTAGAAATACAGGTAAATGTCACAATTCTATCATTTTAAGGGAGTTTGTCAGTCCATACTGGTTTCAACAATGCAAATATTTGATTACAAGTATGCTGTTTTTTATACAGAGCTGCTATAAACACAGACTATTGTAGATCTGCTTGAGAAGTATTGAAAGTTTTTATAATTCCTTTAAAAGTATGTCTTTAAATTTGAAATGCGTCTGTATGAATCTTAAAGGGGCTTTGTCGGCACGTGTGAAGCAAACAGTGCAGTGTGTTCTGCAAATGTAGGGAATGAGGCTGTAGCGTCTGAGCTCTGTAATCAGATTACACCTGCTCAGCTTCCTCCACAATTCAACATTTTGAAACAAACTTTCTCCTTTGTCTTCCATCATTTTCAGAAGGTGTTTTTTTTTTTTTTTTTATCAGCAATGTGAAAATGATCCTGTGACATCACCATCCCTGTAGAGATCATGTAGGATTTGAGCAGAATGTGTGACTGGATAACTAGTGTTGGCCTTAAAACCCCTGAAGTGATATCTACTATATTAGTTCTGTGAACACTAACACTCTATTCAGTTATTAGATAATCTTTTCAAACGTTTGGACTAATTTAGAAGATAATTGTGAGTAAATATTGTCCTGTGGTGTGTGTATATTTACTGCCCCCCCCTAAAAATATCTTCTTCCTTGAAAACTGGGTCGTCACCTTTTGAAACTAAACCTTTTAATCTTTTGCGTCGAACACAAATCTTTCAAACGTGCTGATTTTTGCTTCCAGTTTCCTATTACACCACACCTTCCTGGACCGACTTGACCAAGACCCGAGTGAGTGACATCAAATGTAACCATTTACAGTAAAGGCTCAGCGCTTAAGTTTCCGGTGATGCATATTCATTACAAATTTATTCAACTCAAAATTGACAATTTCCTTCTGCTGACAGAAAATGGGAAGGATTAAAACTTGCATATTTCTGTTATTGTTGTTCCAGTGTTATGTGAACATTTTTCTTTTCAAATACACTAATATTTTTGGGGCCATCTGCTGAGTTTCTGCATGTTTACAGTGTTTCCTATGAAGGAAGTTTTGATCAATGAAATTGTGCTTATTTATAAAATTGGCACGTAAACTAACTAGGGATTTAAAAAACTATGAATTTTCATGACCGACCACCGAGCCTCTTTAACCGGTTGAAACCGGTTAACCGCGTAGTTTAAAATAGTCCACGTTCTTTGAAATAACAGCCATTTTGAGCCGCGTACTTTTCATAAGTGGAGCTCTGCGTTCTACTGGATCAGAGTTGAGACAGCGGCGCCAAAACCCGCTACAGCTCCGGCACCTTTGCGCACAGAGAACTGCTTTTTTAATCTTCCCATTCTGCTGTGCTGCGGGTTAATACCAAAACTTTCTAGCAGCAAACGACGGCTCGTTCACATGGTCAGAGCAGCGAGTGACGAGCCGCGTCTCACAGGTCTTCACAAAAGTTTAAATACAAGTGATGTGTGTGGAGCTGATCCCGAGGACCATAAACACAAACATGTTCCATGTGGTTTGACTGGAGCCGCGTATTTGCGCGAATCCTTTGGGCTCCGTGACACAGAGGAGCGCGACAGACCGGTATGTGTGTGTGTATGTATGTGTGTGTGTGTGTGTGTAAATGTAAGCTCCAATGTAGTTCTGACCCGCGCCAGTGTGCAACTTTGACGGTAACAGAGGGGAGAGATGATGCGTGTGGATGTTACGTATGGAGAGGGGGAAAGTGTGTGTGTGTGTGTTTGTGCGCGCATATGTGGCTCGTGCGGCGTGAGAGTCGTCCCGGAGTTTATAATACGCACACAGCTAGATACAGACCCGCTCGTCACACCGTGCAAATAGGGCTTAAAATAGCGTTATTAAGAGACCTCCCCTCTCCCCTTTTTCTCTTTTTTAACCGACAGCTTTGACCGGTTAACGCTGTGACGGTCAACCACCGGTTAACCGGTCGCCGATTTACATCCCTAAAACTAACTATGCTCTGTTTTTATGTAGCTGCACTGTGGCTATTGCTTCTATTGTATTGAATGATTTATACAAAATATATTGCAGTTTTTTTTAACAAACATTTCGACCATTCATGAGCTGTAGTTAAAAAAAAAACTTTTTGTGAAGCCACTAAAGCTGCAGAAATCTGACCCGAGCGCTTTGTCCGCCTGTCGCCACAGCAACAGCAGGTAGATGCACCTCTGGTAACGCTGACACAAATGACTTCACGAAGAGAAAGTTACGCATCTGAGTGGGCGATTGTTATTGACCCCAATGAAGATGTTTTAGTGACTGCGCCTGCTGTTATGGCTGCAATTCGAGTAAAGGAAGCAAAAAGGACCTCTGCTAAAACATATGGTTCTGAAATGGTAATCAATGTTTAGGATTCAGCAAAGTATGAGCATGGATTGCAATCAATGTGAACAAGTGTGAGATGTGCCTTTCTCAATGTGCACGGTTCAGTGGGTAACGTGTGTGTGTGTGTGTGCGGGCATGCAGCGGACATGGGAGCTCGTCGTTGAGTAAACGGCTTGAGCCTGAGAAATGAACCAATGAGAATTAAAGAATAAAAAGTACGGTGTACGAGCAGAGCAACCAGAGCAGGATACAAGTGAATGTTGGAGTGTTTTGGCCACAAAATAAAGTGTAACTCTTGAACAACAGTTTTAAGTGTTATTGTAATAGCACCACACTGCGACGGCGAGGGTCAAACACAAGGGAGTTATCCCCGTAGGAATCTCATCCCTTTGGCCCTGGAGAGACAAATATCCCCTCGACCACAGTCCGGGGACTCGAATGAAAGGTGTAACGCAAGCAGGGAGAATGCGAAAGTATGCAACAGTAGGGAGAGATGTAGGGGTGGGAACCTAAGGGTACCTCACGATACGATACACGATACAAAACTCACGATAACGATATCACAATAACGATTATCAATATATTGGTCAGAAATATACAATATGCCAATTTATGGCATAAATAAAAGAAAAAATACACTTTATTTCATGATAAATGGAATGGAGGCGTTTTTTTTTTTTTTTTTTTTTTAAATCGATATTGATACTTGGTCAAAGCATATCGATAATCGAATCGCGGGAAAAATTGATATATCGTCACATTCCTAGAGAGATGTGTGTGGAAATGCACGTTACAGCGGGCGCAGCAGGCCCAATTGAACCGGACTTTAGATTGTGCTTGTGACCGCAGCCGAAACCCAATCGTCTACAGAAAGTCTATTATAAAACTATATAAACTATTGCAGATTGATAATGACTTTTATTACTACTCCGAAAAGTGAAGCGTTCCGTTCACATGTTGTTAGTGAATTGCAATTGGAGCAGAATTAAGTCAGATGAGCACATTCCCAGGGGATCTGTTACCGCTGCCATTTCAATCTTCTTTCTGATGTTAAAGAGAAATTATGGTGCATTGTCAATGTTGTTGCCGAAACATGTATATTGTATTCAAAAGAAAAAACATGATCTGATGAAGGCAAGAAGCCGAAATGTCAAGAATAAATACAATTTTGGACATCTGAGCTGAGTGCAACGCTTCCCTGTTTTCTGACATTTTGATTCTCACATCTGCACCTAATTATTTAAATTCTTTGGTCTGCAATACCTGCTCTTTCTACGTCGACGAAACATGGTTATAAACAAAATTGCACACAAACAGCAGAAGGTGAACCGCGTTACAGCGAGAGACCACTGTAAAATTACTCTAAATTGGAATTGAGTTTGGGTTAGGAAGGTGCACTGTTAGGAATGTTGGAGACATTTCTAAAACTCATGTAGTAGCAGTGAAATGGTTCATTAAATAATTGCTTTGTTTTGACTCAAAGTGATGGCTCCCATTGGAGACACATTAAGATGGTTTAATATTCAGTTTTCTCCTATGATCGTGGCCAAACAGTCTGAGCAGCCAGTGGGAGCCGTTTGTGTGGGCAGCAAGGCTAAATTTAACCACCACCGAAGGAGCACTGCCTTAAAATCTGCTCCAAATGTTTAAAAACGTGAATCTAAATCTGCTCCGTTCTTTCTTTAGACATGATGCAAAGCCAAATCTTCATTTCTTTCTTTCTGTTCAACAAACATTGTACAACATTTCATAATTATTCATTTTTGTGTCTAGGCTTAGCAGGTGCACCAGCCTTTACACATTCTGCTGTTGTGTCTATGGGCAAAACACACTCTGCTCGTTCATTAAGAGCATATGGAAGTGCATTGAATTGAAAAATCCTACAGTAATTGTATTTAGTCTTTGAAGTGATTGTTGATTAAGAATATAAAAACTATTGAAAATGCTTTCTCTGGTCTTTCTGGTTTCTCTGGTCTCTCTCTCTATGGTTTCGCTGGTCCTAACCGGTCTCTGGTCTTCAGTCTGTCCTCAGCTCCTGAACCGGACCGTTCTGTCAGATCTGGTGCAGCAGAACCTTGGTATATAATGGGTGTTTCTGTTGCTGCATCAGTTTGTGAAGCTGCTGTGAACTGGACTAATCCCTCATTAAAGACGTGACGTTGGGTCTGAGGAGCAGAGCCAGGTGTCGCTCCATAAACCCGTTTAGTACTTCGGCCCACATCGCCAACGGCACTCGGCACATCGCTATTAGTTAGTTAGTTAGTTGGAGTTTGTTTCAATGTCACTGTGTCTGAGGTTTCTTTCATTTCTCCTTTAAACATGATTATTCACAACATTGTCACACATTCCTATTGTACCAAAGAACCAAGCAATTATTAGCACATTCATTAAACGCACACTGCTCTGTCCCATTGTCTATTTTTAGTAACTTAACAACTCGCTTTTGCATGTGCTCTTGAGGTGATGGTAATTCCCACATTTGTTGTATTTTCTGTTAAGATTGAATGAGGAGCGATTTGAACTAAAGTCTGTTGTCATCATGTTCTTGTCCTTTGCTCATCGTTTGGCCAAAACCAGTTTTTCTCCTTCAGGAAACGACAAAGGCTAATCTAATCTAATCTCGTCCATTCACAGCTCTGCGTAACATTATCGATTTGAGGACAGTGTAGTTTCTATGAGTGCGCCACACGACTTTCCTGCTAAAGGCTCCGCTTCTATTCTAATGTTGTTTTACTTGGAACGTTCCACACTATTCCACTGAACTACTCAATCTATATTTGAGGAGAACAAGTGGCTGTTACAGGCTGGACTCAGTGTGTGTCTGACAAATAGAATATCTGTAATTAAATAATGCTAATTTTTATGCCATAATGAGCAAAACTGTAACCTCCTCATGGAACCAAATTGATTTTTGGACCAATACACAATACAGGATCTGCTGTTGTTTCAGTCTGGCATGTCTAAATCAATGCTGTCAGGCCAATTGCGGCCAACAATGTAATTTTATTTGGCCTTTTGCCATGCTGACACAAATTAGTCTTTGAGAACAAGTTCCCCATGTCATCCAGCCAACTTCAGCACAGTTGTAAAGCGCCGAACCTCTTGAATTTAGCCGTTTATTGTTAATGCTGATATTTTTTTTGACATTGTCACTGAATTTCGTTAAAGGTGCTGGTGAGTTGGACATTTGTCATTTAGCCAACTTCAGCATCTATATTGATAATCATAAAACTCACAGCCCGAATTCATTCAAAACCGTTTAACAATCTGGGATGTTGGCCCCTGGACAACACTGGTGAACTCTTGTGGCCCTCTTACTAAAATGTTTGGACTCTCCTAAATCTAACGCTCCTCTCGTCTTATGTCCGCAGGTCGTCTGGTAGATCGCAGCGCATTTGGAGGCGTGGTACACGGCGCCCTCTGGTGGTAGAAGTGGGACACACGCTGAGCCGTGGCCCCATGGCACAGTGAGGCCTGAGCGAGAGGCAGAGACACCGCAGCGACCGGAGGAGCAGCAGCCCAGAGGAGCAGCACACGGGACCACCATGTCCTCCAGCCGCACCCAGAACCCACACGGACTCAAACCCATTGGGCTGGACCAGATATGGGACGATCTACGAGCCGGGATCCAGCAGGTGTACACGCGACAGAGCATGGCCAAGTCGCGCTACATGGAGCTCTACACGTATCCTTCACTGCGGAAACATGAGGGAGCATGACCTCGCCGCTTGGATTTCTCTCCTCACAAGGATTGGATTTACAAATGTTAGTCTGACCCATGTGTCTAAAGGAGTGGGTGGTCCGCTATTTCTTTTATTGGTTTTTTGTATTTATTTTGAGACAGCTATTTGTTTCACAGTGGAGGCAGATGATATTAACTCCAGCAAATATGAATTTCAAAATTTGTTTCATTACAAAATAATCAGTTTTACTTTGCATGTTAGTTTCACAAATGTATTTATATATTTATAATATATATATATTATTTCTTTTTTTTTTTTAAAGTGACAGGAATATCTTCCGTCACAATATGGCATTTATGTATCACACTATGTAGTGTACTATATTATATTATGGTATGAACCATATTGTATTTGTTGTATTGTGATGGTATTGTCCAGTATCAGGACAATGGGCGTATCAATATCGTCGCCATATTGTCTTTGCAGAAAGAATCATGCGCCGTGTGGCACTCGTGATGAAGCAAAGACTAGTCCTTGCTTTCTGGTCCACTCTGCTTCAAGAGTTAATGGCCGAAACAATTCCTGCAATAAATACTAGCAATGTGACACTGTGTTTGTAAGGCCAAGAATCAAGTTGCGATGTGCTTTGATTGATCTTTATTTTGTAGCAGTAGAAGTCTGTGTTTGTTCCTTGACCTCTTCTTTCAGACATGTCTATAATTACTGCACCAGTGTGCACCAGTCGAGCCAGGGCCGTGGCTCTGTGCCTCCCACCAAACCCTCCAAAAAGACCACGACTCCAGGAGGAGCGCAGTTCGTCGGCCTGGAGCTCTACAAGAGGCTCAAGGAGTTTCTGAAAAACTATCTGACCAGTCTTCTCAAGGTACAGGGCCCACATGGTGCATAAGGATAGTGAAGGCGGGAACAGCAATTATTGAGATAATGGTCTACAAATAAAGTTATGGAAATACACATATTCGCTCAAATATTTCACAAAACCATGTAGATGTTATTGTTTCAGATGGAATTTCTAAAAGATTAAAGACTAAACCAGAGTATACTATATTGACAAGGCTCAAATAAGCAGAGTAGATTTTTTTTAAACTATTATAACAATTATTTAGTTAAATAATCTCCATTTCTTTATGGGGTAATCCTCTTTTTACAAGATGCTGGAAAAACATGATTAATAAAGGTTTTGCAAGAGTAATATGCAGAAGACTTCTTATAATTTCCTCTCCTTGAGCTTACAAATGATTCCCGTTTGCCTCATGATGGCGCTGTAAATGATGGATCCTCACTTTCAGGACGGAGAGGACTTGATGGATGAGTGTGTGTTGAAGTTCTACACGCAGCAGTGGGAGGACTACCGTTTCTCAAGTAAAGTGCTGAACGGGATCTGTGCCTACCTCAACCGCCACTGGGTCCGACGGGAGTGTGACGAGGGCCGCAAGGGCATCTACGAAATCTACTCGGTAACTGTCACCACAGGAGCGCTCCTGCTCTCGAGTTTACCAACCCTGCAAGAGTTTATGATTATTCAGATTGGTGGTTTTAGTTGTGTATTGCTTGGATGACGCCATTTCGGTCAAGTATTAGCTTTTAGTTGCCGTTCAAATCTGTGTCGCCTTCCGAGCTCAAAACCACCAGCATACTTCCTTTGATCTTCCTGTCCTGCTACTGCTAAGAAGTAGCACTAGTAGATGGGTGAGAAAGCTTCCTTTGCTTTGTTATTAACCATGTGTTATTATTTGTTAGGTCTGAAATAAGGCCATCAGAACATCAATTCTAATGAACATAACCAGAAGGTTTTTCCAGACGTATTTTTTGCCCCAAAACAAATCTTTTCATAGTTGACTATGCTCTTTAGGCGACAACTTTGCTTAAATGTCTATCTTCTTTGTCGGTGTACCTTTTATTTTTATTGCACCACCTTGGCAAACCCCAAGGTGCCAGTACCCTCTTAAAATGATTTACTAGCATTATAAAGCCATATGTCTGTGTGCTTCTCTCAGCAACCTACAACCTTTTTTATGAATTAAATTCTGAAATGCAGTGAATGCATCACTGCTTCTGAAGAAGATGACAAAGTCTGGGATCGCGTCTTAAATTCAGACAGAAGACATGTTTTATTGTCGATGGTAGAGACAGCACGAACAAAGCACACGATCACAGAAACAATAGAATGCAAGTGTATTATACAGAGCGGAGGCATGGAGACCTCCAATCAGCAGCTTCCACGGTGTGCTTGTAGCTTGGCCTTCAGATAGACAAAACATGAAGTGGAAAAGTACAGGCTTCTGCACATTGATAGATTGATAAGTTTAACTTTAACAAAAGTTGCTTCAAAGTGTTATGAAATCTCACATTCCCCCCTCTGGTCATACATTCACGTGTGACCATCAGGATCGATAAACAGCAACATAACATCATAACTCAATACTTCAAAAACTCATAAACTCGGTACTTCACTCTGTACTTCAATAAACTCAGAACTCGGAATACTTCAAAAACTCAGAAAACTCATAAAACATGTTCAGATCTTTCATAAAACTTGTCAACAATCTTCAGTAAAATACCAAACTTCATCAGTCGATGGTGGTTCCAGATATTGCTTTGAAAACAGTCTCTCCCACTTCTCCGTGTTGGTTTCTTCAGGCTGCATTTGTGTCGAGCCATGAATTCTTCTGTGACGTGTCTTTCAATCACACGTTTCAGCTTTAGTGTCCAGATTCAGCAATTCAATTCAGTCCAAATTATGTCCAAATTGTGTAATCCAATTTTTCCAAATGGTGTCCATGCAAAAGAGGACGCTGTCCATGTCTCAGCAGCTCACAGCCTGACTGGAATCAGGGGCTGTGCAGATTGTCCAAGTGTGCTGGTCCAGATGCATTCTCTTGGGGTTTTTCAGTTTTGGCTTGAAAAAAAAAACCATTTTTGTGTAAAAAAAAAAAAGTCTTCTGTTCTGTAGATGTTACAGACAAGGCCCGCATCCTTCCACCACCTGAAGAAGATGACATTGTCTGGGATTGCGTCTTTCATTCAGACAGAAGACATGTTTTATTGTCGATGGTAGAGACAGCACGATCAAAGCACACGATCAAAGATACAAGAGAATGCAAGTGTATTATACAGAGCGGAGGCATGGAGACCTCCAATCAGCAGCTTCCACGGTGTGCTTGTAGCTTGGCCTTCAGATAGACAAAACAAGGGAAAAGTACTGGCTTCTGCACATTGATAGATTGATAAGTTTAACTTTAACAAAAGTTGCTTCAAAGTGTTATGAAATCTCACACTTCCATTGTCTCTTCTCCAAAACATTTTAACCTTCCAGACCAAGAGACGAGTTCAGTTTCTTTTATCTTTTTAATCATTTAGGAGGACAACTGCTTTGCACAAATGAATAACGTGCTTTAATAATTTGAGTGTGAAAGATTCCACTCTGCTCCAGTCTTCACTCACTTTTCCTCCTTCTCTTCTGCAGCTCGCACTCGTCACCTGGAGAGAGTGTTTGTTCAGGCCTCTTAATAAGCAGGTGAGTGTTGACTCTTCATATTAACCGCAAACACGTCTCATCACTTATCCACCTGCGGCACTCTTGAATATGAACTCCCAATTCAATGATTTTTCAGGTAACTAATGCAGTTCTGAAGCTGATCGAGCGCGAGAGAAATGGAGAGACCATCAACACGAGACTGATCAGCGGCGTCGTCCAGTCCTACGGTGAGAACTTAAGACAAATTACAGAAGTACAGAATATTAATAACACATATTATGGAAACAAAATGGCTGAGACGTGTAATTATGCGATTGTTTGTAGTTTTGGTTTAACAAACACATATCATGCTGTTTAAGTAGTTTTTCTTTTTATCTTTAAAACCACGCTACAACATTGTTTCCTTGTCAAAAAAGAGACCTCGATTTGTATTTAGCTTCAAACATGCTTGTTCAAGTGCTGACTGTGGAACGCTACATTTCACACATCTCTCGTGTCATTGTTGGAGCGCTGAAGTTTTCTGCGCTGGTTTTAACACATTTTTCATGTTCAGACCCGCTCTGAGCATTTGACTTCTGATGTTGACCACGGCAGAGCGGCACAACGCCTGAATTGTTAGCCTGCAATATTAATTAACAGTAAAGTATGGCTCTCGAATGACCTTTTATTTATTCTCTTTAAAACATTCAAATATTTGTATATTTTCAAATATGTGATAGAACGTGCAATTTCACCTTCTCATCAAAAAACAAAGTACTTTAAGGCATGTCTTTTTAGATGTTTTTGGGATTAAAATCACGTTTTCTGCTGCGGTTGAGTTGGGGATGTGCACTTTCTGCCATCTATGTGCAGTGACCGTGGCTCCTCACAGCTTTCACATCCGAAATGTACATTTTCACCTTTGAATCTAATCGCATCTACAATATTTGTTGACAGCTCCTAAAGTAGTGACAACAATTACAGTGTATGGATCGTTTAATCACATAAAATACCAATGCATACGTTTTCAGAATCATGTAATCATTTGATAATACCTGTCTTGTCTCATACAGCATTTAGTCAAAAACAGACACATTTTCTTGTCCATTTTCAGCCCAGAGCAATGATTGAACTTCTTCTCTTTAGAGCACATAACGGTTGACCTGCCATCATTTCAATACGTCACAAGAATTGACTTTTCTGCCGTTTATCATCATTCCAACCATTTATCTTTGTGTGCCGCAGTGGAACTGGGTCTGAACGAGGAGGACGCCTTCGCCAAAGGGCCCACGCTGTCGGTTTACAAAGAGTACTTCGAGTGCCAGTTCCTCACAGACACAGAGCGCTTCTACACTCGAGAGAGCACAGAGTTCCTCCAGCAGAACCCCGTCACGGAGTACATGAAGAAGGTCAGTAAGCCTCACTACAACACTTACACTTACAAAACTGCTCTGAAAAAACCAATGCTTTCAGCTGAGGGCAGGACGATGAGTGGACTGAAAGCATAAAGTAATCTATCAAATCAATGTCCATACAGTGAGGATGTACTTATTTATGTCAATTGTGGACTTTACAATTACATTTCAAATAATTATAGTTCTGCCACACAAATCAGAAGGACAGGAAAGAAAGCAGCTGACAATCTTCAATGTTGACTTGTTTTAAGGGCCACAGTTTGTAAAGTAAATCATAATAATAATTGAAAGATAAAAAATACCTGCAATTTCTCACTTAAAGAGAAAACATGTGCCTTAAAATATGACAGAAGCTGCTTGTTTGCTGTATTTCCCTTTTGTGAATTTTAATATTGTTTTAGTTACAGAAGTCCATGCTGCAAAAAAATAAAAATACAGATATGGGAATCTCTGTATGCCTCAGAGGCAGACAGGTCGGTTCTCCATTCTCTGGACGGTTGTCAAGTTTAGCTTTTTTTCTGTCAACTTTATCATTCAGAAAGTTGGGTTTTAAAAAAATGTTTCACAAATAAATATCTTCCTCCATTTCAAACAGTGGGGAAAGGAAACTAAACTGAATTTAAGTAAAAAAGTGACTTCATTGTGTCTCTCTCCTGGCTGTAATGTCTCTGGTCTCTGGTCTTGTCCTGCAGGCGGAGGCTCGTCTGTTGGAGGAGCAGCGGCGTGTTCAGGTCTATCTCCACGAGTCGACTCAAGACGAACTGGCCCGAAAGTGTGAGCAGGTTCTGATCGAGAAACACCTGGAGATCTTTCACACAGAGTTTCAGAACTTGCTCGACGCCGACAAGAATGAAGGTACAATTTACATTTTCTCATTTCCGTAACTGAGCCAAATTAAACAATATTTTTACCTTTAGTTTTACAGAACTACTGGTAAAGAATATTGTTTAATTTGCTCAGTACATATGGTCTGAAAAAAGACTTGACTTTGACTTGAAGAAACCTGCAGCTCCCCGGTGTCTAAAAAGAATTTTCACTGTGCCTATGAAATGTTTATCTGTTGAAATATTGCATGAGAGGCCAAGGCCGAGGAGTCCATATCATTTCTGCTGATTTGAGTGGTTTATAAAGTGGAGAGGATCTAATCACGCTGCCGTGTTGTTTCCAGACTTGGGCCGCATGTATAATCTGGTTTCTCGGATTACGGACGGTTTGGGGGAACTGAAGAAACTCCTGGAGAGTCACATCCACAACCAGGGCCTGGCCGCGATCGAGAAGTGTGGAGAGGCTGCGCTCAATGTACGCTCTCCACTCACTCACTCATTACTCTGTCTGTGTGGACGCTAAGTTTGTTCTAATACCGTAAATGTTTGTTGTCTATTAATTGCAAAACTACGGTAATCACAGAAAATACAGAGAAATTTGTTCATTTTCTAGAATTCCATTTGTTTTAGGACAAAAGAAAAAAAAAAAAAGAAAATGTCAGTGTTCCCCTGTTCCCAGTTAAATATTTGATCCTATGTCCTTTAAATTGGATCTTATATTGTATGATAAAGTCCTAGAGCTACAGAGGACAAAAACATGTTATAAACTACATTGGCGTTTTGCTCATTCACAATATATTCTGCACATCAAAATAACCCAAACTTGACTTACTCACCACACACTTCCTCTCCAGGACCCCAAAGTGTACGTTCAGACGACGCTGGACGTTCATAAGAAATACAACGCGCTCGTGATGTCGGCCTTCAACAACGACGCAGGCTTCGTGGCTGCACTAGACAAGGTACAGAGAACTAAACATTCTTGGGTAAATCTGTCCTATTCAAAAATCCCACATGTTAATCTGAAATAGTTTGAAAGCACCTATTCTTTTGTTGGTAAAAAGTAAACACAATTATAATTGGTCTGTCACAGTAAAGGGGCGTTCACACCGGACTTAACTTCGGCGTCAAAAGCGTCAGGTTTCCATTGAAAGTGAATGGTGAAGCGCGTCAGGTGAAGCCGAGAGCCCCGGCGTCACTTGACGCGCGTCAAAAGCTTCAAGAGTCGCGCGTACTACGCGCTCACTTGAAGCTTTTGACGCGCGAAACGCTCGCGTATCAAAACAATCCCTCTGACGCCGAAGCTGAGCAAAGCTGAGCTTTTGAAGCTTTGACGCGGGCTTCAACCAATCAGGAGACGAGGAGCAGCAGCAGCAGAGGGTCTGTCTCTGTCATGAAGAGAAGTCATGCTGCTGCTGTTTTATTGTCATTATTGTTATTAGTAATATTATTTGTATGAGTAGTAACATTCTGAGTAACAAAATCATTGTACACATGCTGTGTAGTAAACGTAGTTTATTTAAAATAAGAACAGGCTGACGATGAGTCTGGCTCAGAGCAAGGCAGCTCCAGGCGGGCGAGAGCCGGGGAGAGGCAGGGAGAGGCAGGGAGAGGCGAGCGAGAGCCGGGGAGAGGCAGGGAGAGGCGGGCGAGAGCCGGGGAGAGGCAGGGAGAGGCGGGCGAGAGCCGGGGAGAGGCAGGGAGAGGCGAGCGAGAGCCGGGGAGAGGCGAGCTCTGGGGTTTGAGAACTCAGACTGGGCAAGTGACATGCGGAAGTGCCGCTGAAAGCGAAACTCCTCCGTACGCAGCTCCTGGAGTAAATGACGGAACTCTGCAAACACTGCAGCCTCTCAAGTCTGTGGTGAACCCAGAACATGTTTTGTTGAAGCCCTACAACAACGTTATTTTGCTTTATATAACAAATAAAGGCTCGCTGCTCATTGAAAAATCCACCGCTGTCCTGACTACAGGCAACAGAGAAGCTCCTCCCACCGGCGTCAGGCGCGTCACTCGCGTCAAAAGCTTCAAGCACCAAAATGACAAAACTATCCCGGCGTCAGTTGAAGCGCGTCAAAAGCTTTTTGAAGCTTTTGGTCTGAACGCGCCTTAAGGCTCTGAAAATTGTGTGTAGTGAATGAGGTGGAGACGTGAATTGCAGCATGCCTTTTATTTTGGTTGTGACGAGTATGATGAACAATGAGAGCCCAAACATGTAACAAAGTATAATACAAGCCTATATTTGTATTAGGGCTGGGCGGTATAAACGGTATAAGCGGTAGACGGTATAAATTTGGCCCACGGTAGAGATTTTTGTTATACCGGCATATTGCGATAGGTCATTATGTCATTAAATTGCGCAGGCTCTGACGCCAGCAGAGAGCATCAAAACAAACCGGCATTCAGCAGCATTAGCCTAGCACTATTAGCCTAGCAGACACCACTGGAAACAACGAACAACAGCACGGCATTCACACCGTGTTTCTGTCTCTGTATTGTTGTCACAGCGGCCCCAGCAGAGGTAAATACACACACAGTAATCACAGTTTAAGAGTCTACCTTTTGGCCAATCAGTGTCAAAGGGGCGTAAGCTCGAAGCGCCATCGTGTGCCGTGTCCGCAGCATCATCACAGCAGAAGTTTGGGAAAGTTAGCGTCAGATTCGGACCTCCGCGGTCAATATCTCACGAAAGCTACTTTGTTAAACAAAATTATTTGTGCCAAAATGACCATTTACATCAATTGTTCAAATCCAATGCCCTGTTTTAATGAACATAAATCCATTGAATCATCCAGTTCACTGCAAGCGCAGAGAAAAGCGCTTAGGGAGCGTCAACAAATGGCAAGACCAGCTTTGTAAACGAACAGCTTTTACTGAAGTCATGCACCTGCACAAAACTCTCAGACACTATAAATAATGACCATGTCAAACTCCTACAGACTTTGATTTCAACATTTGTGAGTTTTTTATATTTTAAATGAATGCATATGTTTTTCTTTTTTAAAATTGCTTTTACAGTGAATGGTATTTACTGTAACATACATAAATAATGTATGTTATTTGTCTCTTTATTCGTCTCACAACTGATTTTCTAACTCAAAAAATATATATATTAGATTCTAATATATAAATAATTAACAATCTTGACTATTTTATGCAAGAACCTGCTAGACCTATATTGAAATTCACACACCAAATTATACCGCGATATATACCGTCTACCGTCTATGACCCAAATTATACCGCGATATGAATTTTAGGCCATATCGCCCACCCCTAATTTGTATTCATCAAATCTGTAACTGTTAGTAATCTTTAGTCATCTTTATTTATAAAGCGCCTTTCACAGACCAGAGTCACAAAGCACTTTACAATTGTTGTGGGCGTTTGTCTCTCACTACACACACTTTTTGCTGAAAAATAAATAAAAGGATAGGCATCAAAAAGACTGGAAGATCACTAATAACAACCAATAACACTAGTAACAGGTGTGAAAACCTGTTTTGCGTACGGATAATTCTGTATAATCGGCTGAAGGCAGCACAAGGCGAACTCGATTTGACACTAAAAGATGCTTTTACAATAAATCCCTTCTCAACTAATTTTACCGACTTACTAAGTTTTTTATGTTTGCACCACATATAATTGAGTGATGCCTCTGCTTCTAGGCTTGTGGCCGGTTCATAAACAACAACGCGGTGACCAGGATGGCGCAGTCTTCCAGTAAATCTCCGGAGCTTTTGGCCCGATACTGCGACTCACTGCTGAAGAAGAGCTCCAAGAACCCAGAGGAGGCGGAGCTGGAGGATACGCTCAACCAAGTGGTGAGAGGAAGGAACTGCATGCACTAACAGAATTGGTCAATAACTGTTTGTAGTTATCGACCAATTCTGCATTTTTTACAGTATCACAACATTGTTCACTCATAAAAACATTTGTGCCTGAGGTTCTTTTATAAGTGCCTCCACTCCTTTATGCTTCAATTTCTTCTTAAAAAATCATCTCTGACATCGAGTAGTTCCTTGTCTTTTTTAAAACACAGGCTCTGCATACGTTTACATCAGCACAGAATGTAATGTGCCACTTGATGGAGGCATTTCATTATTAAAGATAATTTCATTATTTAAGAAATCTGCCTTTACTCTCTGTTAGGAGAGGGCTACTTTGTATTACATGCATTTAAAGACTCTTTTACAACAACTGAACACTGAAAGAAGACTTAAACGAGTAAAACAAGGAAATTAAAAAGAATTTTGACTATACGTAAATACATATTCACATATATAGGTATAATACATACATGTATACACACACGGATACAAACACACACATTTACACACATATTTACTGACACATATTTGAAGGACAACGCTAAGGTCCATAAATATGAGTAAAGCTGCTCGTTTCATTGAGTCCATAAATTTCAAAACCTGTCCCAATAGTTGCTGTAAAATGTATCTGGGTTCCTTCACACCTTTTTATCTCTCGATCTCAGATGGTCGTGTTCAAATACATCGAGGACAAAGACGTTTTTCAGAAATTTTACGCAAAGATGTTGGCGAAGCGGCTGGTGCATCAGAACAGCGCGAGTGACGACGCAGAGGCCAGCATGATCTCCAAACTCAAGGTGCAAACCCCAGACTCTGAAAACCTTTTATGTGCATTCATTTATGACACAATCACACCCCTAACTGCTGCTACCTCCTGTGAATACTGTGCAATAATGCTGAAAACAACACTGACATTTTGCATGTGGCATGATACATGATTTAGATACATAATTCTCACCATTAAAGCTGCAGTTTATGAAGAAAAAATGAGATAAGATTCATTTAAAGAGGGAAAGAGAAGTAGCGAGACGTAGTAACCTCACATCAGCTTTTTTAAGCTGTGATTTTGCTGCTAACTTTTGACCATGGCTTGTCATCAACATGTGCAGATGTCCCAAATGAAGTCCAGCTGAGTTTCTCCTTTTCATACTACATTTTCCATAATTTTTTTATGTGTTTAAAAAAAAAACATTTTAATATTGAGAATCTGTTTGTGATGTTTGCAGCAAGCCTGTGGTTTCGAGTACACGTCCAAACTCCAGCGGATGTTCCAGGACATCGGCGTCAGCAAAGACCTCAACGAACAGTTTAAGAAGCACCTGACAAACTCGGAGCCGCTGGACTGTGAGTGCAGTCTGTCATTAAACTGTTTCAGAAGAGTCTGGGCTTCAGCTGCAACGTCACGTGTCGCTGTAGAGAAACCAAAAGTACAGATGCTGCCTCTTACTGCGCAATTAGGAAGTTGAAACAGACACAATGAAATCTATTCACTGTCAGGAAGTGGTTCTCCTAACGTGGGATCACAGTGTTTGTTTTTCTAAAGCTTTCTGTAATTCAATAAATTGTTTTACCAGTAGTAAATAGAAAATCTGCAATCAATTCACACAGCAGAAAAACAGACATTTCTGCCTGAAAACCCCTTTCCTAGCACTTATAAAACCATTTATATTTTAACCCACCTTGCGACCGACTGTAGTCTTTGTGCTAAGTGTTAACACTCTGAACAAATATAGCCATAATACAGACAGAAATAAAAACAAACCGTTTTATAAACCATTGCTCACATGTGGCTCAGGTGAAGGTAATAAAAACACACACAGATCTCTCAGGAACATAATCTTTCATAATGACACCGTATTGAGCAGCGTAAAAGACCCAAAGCTCTCACCATCACAGGTTTGAGTGTTGCACGCACTGCTCTTTTCTTTTATAGGAGGTCCTTGTTAAATATATTTGACAATGTCTGAGCTTGTTTTGTTACTTCTTGGGGCCGCAGTGGGAAAAGGCATGAAGACAACAGCCATAAAAATCTTATTCTAGAAAAAAGCTTGATGATTAATGGTGAAGTGATGTTGCTGCAGTGTTTTAGTAAACCAGCCCCAGTTCGCTTCAGTGAGATCATAATTCCCAATGAAGAGGTCATTAACTGGTGTTCTGTGTTTCCTTTAGTGGACTTCAGTATCCAGGTCCTGAGCTCCGGTTCCTGGCCTTTCCAACAGTCATGCACTTTTGCTTTGCCCTCAGAGGTGAGTCCACAACTGTATTTCATTGATGTTTTTGACATGATTTTGCTAATCATGAGTTATTATACATTGTGCACATGTTGATCCTGAATGTGTCTTCTGCAGTTGGAACGCAGTTATCAGCGGTTCACAGCGTTTTATGCGAGTCGACACAGCGGCCGGAAGCTCACGTGGCTCTATCAGCTGTCAAAAGGAGAACTCGTCACAAACTGCTTTAAAAACAGGTGCGCCTCTCTCCACTCCAGCAGACTACTCAAAGGACCATGTTTTCACTCCGTTATTACTACTTTCATATTCATCCGTGAGTAGCGCCTCAGCTCAAAGATCATAGCCACCCTCTGTGTACCTCTTCTGCTCCCGTCTTTGAGCTCCTTCATTCAGACAGAGATGCAGTGTTCTCTGCGCTGTAAAGAAAAAGCTTGTACACGGCCTCTACCTGGAGCTGAATCAATCATAGTCCCTCGGAATTCTCATGAGGTTCTTTTAACCCTTTGATCATTTCCTCAACCATTTAGTAGACCATTTTGAGTCACTGTATCTACCTGAAGCTTTGAACTGAAATCCACCTTTTTGGGGCATCGCACTTGGTTTTAGGCTCTTTTACCATAAAACGGCATCTAACGGCAACTATTTGGTAAAGACCTACAAGACAAAAAATTGGGGTTAACAAAACAAACTTAAAAACATATATTTGTGTTATTAGTGACCTACATATTATATAATCCAAAAAAGTAAAAACTACATTGCTTTCTTCAAGGAGTTAATGTTAAAGTGTAGAGAAGCCAGTTACTCCTTAGGACCACATGTTTCGGGGGCAGCTTTCGCCAGAGATGTGGTGGCGTCTGTGGACCCTCAGACTGACCACGCTGAGAGGGGCCTTACCCCGGCTCATACTTGGGACCAACTTCTCCAGCGTTAAATCTTTAATGGGGAAATGCAGTAACGTGTGTAACATAAAATCACTTCAAGTTTAACTCATTCATACTTTTTCCATTTCTCTTTGTCATGTCACTTCTAAACGATGCAATTGTTTCCGTTTCTTTATAATTCAACATGGTTTGGATTGGCTCCACTTTTCCTTTGGAGTTTAGTTGTTTGGCAACCAACGTTATTTTTATTTAATTATACATTTTGTTTGTCCCAACAGAAAGTATTGTAGAATAAATGTAGACAACGTTTTGTGTTCTGATTTTATTTCACAATATTTTACTTTTTCAAGACTCTTTTTGTTGGAACAACCAATGTAGTTAAAACAAAGTGGCGTACCCCAACTCCTGATGACTGACTGTAACTGCATCGATACAGTTTCTTCCCACACTGGTCTCAATCGGGGGCCTGCTGTTCTGAGGCCTGTGGAGTTTGGGACCTGCGAAGCTTGTAAACAGCAGATGAAATAAAGTGTGTGTTGTGTTCAGGTACACGCTGCAGGCCTCCACGTTCCAGATGGCCATTCTGCTGCAGTACAACACAGAGGACTCCTACACCGTCCAGCAGCTCACGGACAGCACGCAGATCAAAACTGTAAAGACCACTCTACTCTGCTCTTGCACATTTACGTTTGATTGCATGAAAACCTATTGTAAAGATGGAAGAGCACACAAGTATTAGCGACACACTTAACACATATCAAGTATTTCTAGGAGTGCACCAATCCAGCTTTTTCAATTGATCTATTTATGCAAGTTTTGTAGCTCGTGCTGTGACGCAAATGTAGTGTGTTTACAAAGCAGTTATGAAAAGCACAGAACCTCGCCTCTACCCTAACCCACTCTCATTTTATTAAAGACGTAAACCCACGGCAGATTGAGCTGTGGAAACCAGTCTATTTGGACCTACTGTTTCCTCTGGCATGTAAAGTGGATACTCCTGAGACGAGGCCAGCAGATGCATTTAAGATGTATTTTCAAACATAGAGAGATGAAGTACAGTCCCCTCTGCACATGTTTCATTACAGGAGACAAAAAGGGAAACATTATGCATTGAATCGTGCTGCAAAAATGAAATGACTTAAATCCCATTCTCAAAGTGAACCAGGTCAATTACATTTGCCAAAAGTGTTTATACCGTATATGTCTGCAAGATTCTAAACTTTAGTCTAAACAACTTTCCACAACCGTAAAAATCCACAGAAATATTTCAACTTTCATTTTGCACAAACGTGTCTTTTAGTCTTTTGTTCAGTAAAATATTTTAATAAATGGTTCATTCGTTTGTTTTGCAGGACATGCTGGTTCAAGTTCTTCAGATATTATTAAAGTCCAAGTTACTGGTGAGCGACACACAGATCTAAGTCCTGACATTCACCAAATCATCTGCAGAAATGTCAAACGTTCGCATTGTTCTGACGTTATTGAAAACACGTGTTCTTCAGGTTTTGGAAGACGAGAACGCAAACGTAGACGAGGTGGACTTCAAGCCGGACACCGTCATAAAACTGTTTCTCGGATACAAAAAGTGAGGAAATGCATTTGTTACAGCAGTGTAGATGAGGACGGAAGGTAGGCAATATAGTTGTTTAGCACATTGCATACATGGACAGCAGCTCCGTGTTTAACAAAGACGATACAGCATAAGAAGTAACTCAGAAACACACACTAATAAATGGACCCAAACAAACGTATAATGTCCAAATATTAACATGTATTTGTATCTAGCATAATTTGTGAACAAGGCAATTTAAAGTTCATAAAATTTGTTGAAGATTTTCTTTAGTCAATATTGTCTGCTATTTCTTTAATGGTTTTTATATCTTTTTATTTTTAGTAAAAAGCTAAGAGTAAACATCAATGTCCCAATGAAGACGGAGCAGAAACAGGAACAAGAAACGACCCACAAGAACATCGAAGAGGACAGAAAGCTGCTCATTCAGGTGAAAAGGAAATGTCTTTGTTTTTAATGGGGAAATGTAGTGACAATATGTTGCACTCATTAATGCAAGTCCCGTAAGAGAGAGCCCTGCCATTCAATTTAGACACTCAGCAAATGTGAAAACTCGACATAGTACCAAACTTCTGAGAGCAAAGAACTAGAACATTACATACTCCCTTTCTTCTGTCCCCTGCTTTAATCGTTTTGTAAATTACTGAAACTATATTTTTTTGTGTGATAGATTTTCACACATAGTCGACAGAGGAACATCATGCCCTCTTCAGTTTAATGCTTACTGTAGTCCAAATTTGAACTCTTTGAGAACCACCAATCATTGTCTGCCTTTTCCCTGAGTAGTTTTATTCTGTGTTTTAGGCGGCCATCGTTCGCATCATGAAGATGAGGAAAGTCCTGAAGCACCAGCAGCTTTTGGCCGAAGTCTTGAACCAGCTGTCGTCACGATTCAAGCCCAGAGTCCCAGTCATCAAGGTAAACACATGTGTGGAGTGACGGCTCCTTTCTCCTCTTCAGCTGTCTGTGAAGTGCTTCTGTGGTTCCAGTCTGTTGTTGTTGATGTTGCTCCAGTTTCACTGTTAACCCTAACTCGACTTGGTTTCATTTTGCTGTTCATTTTATTTTCCCATTTGCATGCAGCATTCCAAGCACATTCCTCATACCCAGTTTCTCTGAAAATAAAACTCAAATCTGCTCATTCCCACTGTCTGTGTTCAGTGTGAACACTCTTATAGCTCGTTGCTCACATGTGGGTCAGTTAAAGGTTTTAAAACCCCACACAAGTGGTACATGTGACAAATATATACTATACTATACTATACTTGTATAATGAAAGTTTTCCATCAGAGTGTGGGCTTCTGCACATGCTGTTCTTTTCTTCATGAATTTTCTTCATGAATTTTCTTCAAGATTGATTGATATGTTTGTACTGACCCTTATTTTCACAAGCTACTGTCTTCCCAGTCGTGAAAAGCCGACACCGGTCCAAACAAAACCCTTCCCACTGTTTTCACAAGTCAAAAAAGTATCTCAAAACATCCATCCATCCATCCATTTTCTTCCGCTTTATCCGTTGCCGGGTCGCGGGGGCAGCAGTCTAAGCAGAGACGCCCAGACTTCCCTCAAAACATAGTGAGGAAAATAGTCAGCAAATAGAGCTAAATATATTTTTTAAGCTGCTGTCTCAAAATATCTTCTATCAAAATGTTTATTTGACAGATCTAATTTAAACAAACAAATAGTTGAAGCAAACTTGACAATGTCAAGAGTCATCTGCATAACCTTCTATGATTGGCTGTGAAATGGGCCTTGTTCTGACTGTTTGTCTCCCTCTTGTGGACAGAAATGCATCGACATCCTGATCGAGAAGGAGTATTTGGAGCGAGTGGATGGAGAAAAGGACACCTACAGCTACCTGGCCTGAACCAACACACCCGCACTTTTTCGCCTCACCTGCCGGCTCTCCTCCCTTTTTATTTGTTTATCTTATTCATTTTTTTATTTCATGTCTGAGTAATAACGTGTGAAATCCTCTGAGCGTCGGCAAACAAATCCAAAAGGGGGCGGTCTCTGTAGAAAGGACCTTACAACGCGATCCCTGCCGGAATGGGGAAACTCAAAAGCCCTGGTGTTTGCCTGTTTCATCTAAACTCAAAAATCCTCCTTTCCCCTTTGTCGAAATGTAAATACGCTCCACAGACTCTCAAAATGGAGCCCTATCCCCTTATTTACATAGCGCAAATGTAATGAATTTAGCCAATCAGAGGAGGGCCGCATCCAAAGGTTTTCTGCATGCTACTGCGCCTCAGACAGTGACGACAAAATAAAAAGTTATCGCGAAGTCGCTGGCTTGGCCCACGCAACAAAAACGAGCGAAAAGAGTGAACCGCAGGAAGGAGGGGCCGGAATCTGTTTTAAGAAGTTCATGCAGGAGATCTGTTTCATTACTGAACAGTGGACATTTGTATAGTGTGGTTCATTTTCTAAATGTGTGAAAAATAAAAACAAGTAAAGATTTCTCTAACGCTCTGTTCTCTCTGTTTGGAGTCCAGTCTCCTCTAAACTCTTATCATTTTGTTCCTTACGAATGAGCAAACATGAAGAGAAAAATATCGCTTTATGTTTAATTATCAAGAATCTGTCTGAATATGTTGAAATGACTGGTTTACAAACTATTTTAAAATACTACTGGAATTAAAGGTGCATTGTGAGACTTTTCTCATGGGGTCTGCTACCTGCTTTGTTTTCATATGGTTATATTTGCCTTATTAATGATGGAAGATGTTAACATTTAAGTAGGGATGTTTTCACTGCTCAAAAAACTTACATTAGGTCAGCTCTCCTCTCTCTACTTATGACTTATCCTTGTGAAGTCTCCAATGTAGATCAGTTATGCCATACTGGTGGAAAATTCCAGACAATACATTTAGATGGACCCAAGCAGACCCTCAACTACCAGTGACCATTAGAGATGCATTTGCTTGCTGGATCAATCAATATTTTCAATTTATCATTCAAAGCCTTGTCAATGCAGCAAGTGAATACATCTTTGTCTTAACCTGGACAGTAATGGTGACTTGTGGTATTGCTGAAATAATATGGTTCAAATGTAAAACAAGTGATGACTGATGTGTTCTGCGTGTAAGTCAAAACTCAAGGAAAGTCAACAAGCAGATTTTTTGTTTATTATTATGTGGACTTGCTTTGCAGAGTACTTCACAACTGTTTCTGTTGCAACAATAGAAAAAAAGTTAACAAATCAGACCACAATTTGCTATCTTCATCTTATTAGAAAACATGTTATCTCTTGCACACTTGTAAGAAGGCCATTTGAGAGTCACTGTTTGAGTCTTGAGGCTGTGATTGGCTGTTGAGAAGTGGTCCTCTTTACTGTCACAAATGAATAATCTAAATGGGCCATTACACGCATGAGAGAACTAACAGTAGAACCAAGCTGTTGAGATAAGAACTTCATTGATTTCACAATGGAGAAATGTACACATGGAGGAACTAGTTACATGGAGTACATTACTTATGTATTGAGAATTGGGTACATCAGCCCTATAGATTAATGCCAGCTGATGGGAATGGCAGTCACATACTTCTGGTTCACTAAATTATGTTTTGTTGACAGCACTTAATAAGCATTCAAAACATTGCAAGGTTATGTGAATATTTTTCCAAAACTACAAGCTTGTACGTGTGTTGTGTTCATTGCTTTTGCCAAGTTGGTCAGGTTGGTTGAACAGATCTCTGACGTCGTAACGTGAAGGCCTATCCAACTGCAGAGGGGGCGTGCTCAAGTAAACTCATCGACCCTTCCCTCCTCCGTCTGCGCCTTTTTCATCAAAGTGTATTTACCAAAACACACTTTATTTTAACGGATTGAAATGTAGCCACTCAGATCAAACTTATTTGTCTTTAATCTTCGCGCTTTTAGTTTTATATTAATCCAAATATACTGTTTTACTGCTGCGCATGCGTACAACCTGAGTTGACAGGACAGCAGAGCAGCAGGTGCCAAAGAGACATGATTTATTACCCAAAATAATACATTGGATCTTACGAATACAATATGAAAACATGATTTGGAGTCTTATATTCGCTGTTTTACATGTGGTCATAAATAATACTAAATCAAATAATTTAACAAGGCAACTGACAAGCGTGCGAGACACTTCTAGATTTGCACCAAAACGGCACAGCAAGCGGAAAAGACACATTAGTTGCTCTTTAGCTTGTTTTTATTGACATTTTGGAGAACAAAGAAGCCGTGCACATGTCTCCGTTTCAGAGCCCCATGCCTTTCACTTCTTCTCATTGGCTGATACTCAGAGAGAGCTTGTAAAATCACCACGAGCCTGCTCTATAACGGCTGATCTGATTGGCTCGTGTGGTTTCGCGCGCTTGAAGGTACCGCTGCCGTAGTGGGCGGTGAAAGCGGGCGATGAATGCAGTTTTTGAACCTTTGAGCCGAAAAACATCAAATTTTTGACTTTATTTGCGCCTGGCATTGGATAAAACAACGGGATCACACGCGTTAACGTTTCAGCATTTGAGATCATACAATTTCACGCAGGGAAAAGTGCTGTTTCGTCTAATTTTTAACGATAAATCCAGACCCTCGTTGTAAGGAAATTGGGTGCTAGCCGCGAAGCTAACCGGAGCTAATCGCGGAGACAAAAGACTGTTTCGCCTTTTGTTCGCGTCTCTATCGCTACAATTTGCGTTGGATGAGTGCTGCTTTTTCTGTACAGGTAAGGCAGAGTGTCAGCGATGTGTTTTTATGTTTCAGAAGGTTTTTCGATTAAAAAAGGAGCCGTGGTTGCTCTTTGTTAAGTGAACTGTGTTAGCGGAGGCTTGCCGGGTGGTGGTGTTGTGCCAGATTTTGCACCCCTGATAAGAAGTTGTGTACAGTGGAATATTGATAAAAACAAGAATACGTAAGGACCTGACAGTGGTATAACTGTTCTGTTGTGCTGACTTTCATGGATACTTTGCCATATTGATATTTTAAAACTGTTTTAAAACTCAATCAACAAACTCTTCACACTGGAGTTATTTGTTTTAACGCTCTTTCCGCTTTCATGAAGTCCCTGTTCACACCCCACGTCTTTGACTGTTTCTACTGCAGTATATTTTAACACTTACTGCCGTAACCTGTCCAAGTAATCACACCCACGCGGTTACATTAGGAGTGTATTGATTATTACGATTAGTGAATCGAGTTTTTATGAATGCTCACGAGATTTGTCATTATGTGACCTATACATGTAAAGTGAAGCCACTAGAGGATGTCCTTATAGATTTTTTTAAGATATATATGTGTATATAATATATATACATTTTATTTATTTTGCAAACCGACAGTTTTGTTAGTAAAAACCTTATAAATTGTGTACGTCGTTTACTTTTCTTATCACATCTGTCAACAATTTGATATTTTTGTTTACCATTTAGAGTCAGACTATGCATGCTGTGCAGAGTCATACTGATCGCTAAACTGTACAGGAAATGTGTTCTCAACCATTTTTTGTTGTTTCCCTGTGAGCAGTGCTGCCACATGCATTTCCACTGCCTCCTGGCCTCCAGATGGTTACCATGGAAATGGATATATACTTTAACAGTAGAATGATAAACATAGATCAGCTTACAAACAATGCACATAACATTAACACACATTTGGAAACCATTTATCCTGCTTAAGGTTGTATGTGGCAGTTTCTGAATGAATGAAAAAACTTATTTCAATTAGGCTAATCTATGAGTAGTTTGGACTTGGATCACAAGACAATGCATATGGCATTTATTATTAAAGAACACAACACAATACAATTTATCCTTGTATAGCCCTAAATCGTTTTAGAGGATTTGAAATTACCAACACAGATCAGAGAATTAACAGTAAAGACAACAAAAATATAGAACACATGGTATTGGACCATAGGGTGTAGGGCGACAGTAGCTCAGTTGGTAGAGCATTGGCAAGACACTTAACCTCTGGGAACACCTGATGCCACAGATGCTGCGGCTGTAAAGTGCCAAACTGCCGTTGTGTCCTTAAGCAAGACGCTTCACCCCCATTGCCTAGAATGAGTCTGGTGTGTGTGAAAGGTTGGTGGTGGTCGGAGGGGCCATTGGCACATACTGGTTGCCTCGCTGTGGCTACAGTAGTAGTTTATCACCACCGTGTTTGAAGTGAATGAATAATGACATGTAAAGCGTCTTTGAGTGTCCAAAACAGCGCTATATAAAACCGATGTATTATTATCATAGGGAGAGACCAATGTTGATAAATGTCCGTACATGTTGTAGAATGTTGAGGTGTCCTGGATCATCACCACAGTCCTTGTTAGACACTAACTGTCCAACAGACCCGCCTGCATTGGCAAGGAAAAATCCAGTGGGAAAAAAGTGAGAGACCTTGAGAGTCGGATCTGCTCCACATGGATGGATGGGCTGTAGATCCAGGACCTAAGCTACAAAACAAGGACCAATGAGTTCATGAAAACTAAGATGAAGATTAACTCTTTCTGACTGTTGCACTGAGCCAAAGCAATTTCCAAGTCTGACTTCCTGTTACTTAAGTGGCAATAAAAATTATTCTGGCTCTGATTCTGAATCTTCATAGAGCTGAGTTGTATTGTTTGAACAAACATACTTAATTGAGGTTGTTTTAGTCTCCAAGATTATTGGACAGGAGTTGACTGTTTCCATAATGTATTCGTTGACAGATCTGGGACATGTTTGCACATTTATTAACATTTATGGACATTGGTAATCCACTCCCTTTATGGACCAATGTGTTTGATGGCATTGCATTTCCTGTGTTTGATTCTCTGTTCTGTTGTTGCGAATCAAAAACTTTGTAAAGAGATATAGCCCTAGTTTCCGCAGTGTAGTTGATGGTGTTCCCTGCCCGCAGTTGGACCATGGTGCTGACGGGGAAGCGCTCGGAGAAGGGCCCTGCATGTTGGAAGCGCAGAGTGAAGTCTGAATACACACGGCTGCGGCAGCTCAAGCGGTTCAGACGAGCGGACGAGGTCAAGGTAACGGCGTCCACACACCACTATGTGTCTTTTAATGTCTTGCATCTCACTCACCTCCGTCCTGTTTTCAGACCATGTTCAACTCAAACCGCCTAAAGATCAACGAGCGCACGGACCTCCTGAACGAGGAATGGAAGACGCGGCGCCTTCAGCCGGTGCACATCATGACGTCTGTGAGCTCTCTGCGGGGGACCAGGGAGGTGAGGGTCCCTTTAGTGGTGGTGGAGGGAAATCGATTTTGTTCAGCAGCATCTCAATATTTTGAGCAAGCAATTCAATTTATACAATAGACAGGGATGTCACAATTACTGGTGTAGCTGTAAACCCTGGTTAAAAAATGTACTATAATATTTACCGTCAGAATTTTAAAAAAGGATACCTCTGTAGATTACCGTGCCGCAGTGTACGGCACATTGAACCTTCCTGTGTCTGAGTTTGCTGAAGTTGCCGTGCGGATGCATTCTCAGAGACTGTGAAGGTTCTTTTTACAGAACACATGGCTTGGTCGGAAAGGGCGTTTTCAGAAGTTTTTAATTAAAAACTCTCAGTAGAAAAAACAGTGGGAAATTACAAAACACGTATTTACAGAGAACAGTGAAAAGTCTTCAGGCGAAAAGGATATTTACAAATAAAAATATACACGACTTCTGCAATAAGTCTCTTTTTCCCTACTTTAACACTCGCTCCTGCAGTCCACGTTACCTTCACTGTAACCGAGTCACTACTGCCATGGGGCAGACAAGCACACCGTATGTACCCTGTCGGCCCCTCCCACATTACAAAACCAATCATCCTAATAACAAACCATATCTACAATACATGGCGCTTTCCTTAGCTTCACGATTTCACATTACAATTCTACATTGACACATATACAATGAAATAAATTATGAGCACACTACAAAGAGTCCAAATGTCCATGCAAATGAGCTGTGGTCCACATGACCCACAGGCAGGTGCATTTAATCCTATGGCTCCTTGTGTCCGGGTTTGCCAAAACGCACCATGGAGACGCCACGACCACGCCAGCACACAGGCGAGTGAATGACACATGTAACAGATTTAACACACCATGCAACGCTTCCAAGTGTGCACCCTGAAGACGCGTTCACGCACGCTACATGTCACAAACACAGTCCCTATACGAGCAGTAGTCAATGAATGGGCTTGGCCGTTGCGCGCAGCCACCATGGCACCGGGCGCGCGCATCTTCACATGCGCTCCGTGGGACAGCGTGCTCAGGGACGGGTTCACCCCGTCACAGAAACAACAGCCCTTAGGACATTTATCAGCCTCAAAGAGAACAAAGTCTGAGATGTGGGCGTATTTTGGATTTTTAAAGGGACATCTGATGGAAGACTGCTTGCAGTATGTGCAGGAAAAGTTTCTGCGATGGGTCCTCTGTGTGATCATTACCCACAACAACTCTATAGTAAACACCGCAATAATACCAAAAACCGTGATAATTCTGGTCACAATAACCATATGGTTAAATTTTCATACCATGACACCCCTGACAGTAGAGCAAAGTATCGCAATATTTAATTAGTTAGTAATTAGTTTCAGAATCATTTTTATTGCCACCTAAGTAACAGGAAGTCAGACTGGGAAATTGCTTTGGCTCGGTGCATCAGTCAGAAAAGAGAGGTAGAGAATAGAGTAAGGCATAATAATAAAAAATAGTTTGTTCTGGGAATTTACATGTGAGGTTTATGCTCCTCTATGATGTCTGCTTTCTGTGACTTTCTGTTTCTATTGTATTTGAATGTAAGTGATGTGCCTATGAGCTCGTCATTCATGTGATCGGTCGTCTTCAGAGAATAACGATGTCTTGTCTGTAATAAGGTCCTGTGTCCTGAATGTTAAAGGGTTTTCTTGCCAATTCCCACTTCTGATCTTTAGAAGGAGAACTTGGGGCGTTTCATTGTAATCTGTTCAAAACTGAAGTATTGGTCGTCTGTGTTGCCTTCAGTGCAACGTGGACAGTGCGTTTTCAGAGTTCCCGCGGCAGATGATTCCTCTGAAGACTCTGAACGCTGTGGCCTCGGTCCCCGTCATGTACTCGTGGTCTCCGCTGCAGCAGAACTTCATGGTAACTTGTACAAAACATATGAACGAGCTCAAATGATTCTGTCTTCACAACGTACGACTTGTACTTCAAAGGTGGAGGATGAGACCGTGCTGCACAACATCCCGTACATGGGAGACGAAATCCTAGATCAAGACGGAACATTCATAGAGGAACTGATCAAGAACTATGACGGGAAAGTTCACGGGGACCGAGGTGAGGCACAAGGCTTTTCCACTCGGACGGAACCTGGTACTTTTAACTTCCTTTGCACATGTTATATTAGTTTGCACATAGTGGATGCACAGACTTTAGGGGCTTTTTTAGACTTGAGAGATTTGTTAGAAATTTGATGTGAAACTGTTTGAAGACTCTTCATAAATATACACATTCTCTTCTTCAGTCGTCTTTGCTTTGTTCTCTCCGAGTCCACCATGAGTCTGTTATCAGCAGATCATTCAAGCAATGTGTCTCTTTTTCAGAGATGCATATTTGAGTGGCTCAAAGTAAAATTAAGTTTTTGAAATAAAAATAATTTAAACATGTAGGAATTTCAAAGAAATATCATGCATTTTTTTTGTCTGTTTTAAAATACTTTTTACATGCATGTCATCAGAATTCTTTTTATTGCAACAGCTCCTGCAAAGTGACAGGAAGTGACAAACTTGATATTTTGTAAATTATTGATCGAAAGTTTTGCAAATAGTTAATAATAATTAAAGTGAAATACACCTGCCATGTGAAAGTAAATAATGTAAATTGAGAAATTAGTAACACTTGTTTTTTTAAGTATTGGTAAAAACTGGTTTTCTATTGCAGAGTGCGGCTTCATAAACGATGAGATCTTTGTGGAGCTGGTGACTGCGTTGTCTCAATACAGCGACAACGAAGACGACGATGAAGAGGAAGAGGTGGAGGGCGACATGTGCGACAGTAAGGAGTGCCCAGAGGAGCCGCGGGCGAACCACGAGGGTACGGCGCCATCGACCATTACACGATGCACTCTTATCAAAAGAGGAATGTATAAAAATATGTATTTTTATGAATTAGGATGCTGTATGCTTTATATTGATCACGTCACGCTGAAAAAACCCCGCCAGAGTCTTACTTCCTGTTGTGTGCAGGTCGGACCAATAACAACGTCTCTAAGAAGTTTCCGTCAGACAAGATTTTTGAGGCGATTTCCTCCATGTTTCCGGACAAAGGTTCAATCGAGGAGCTCAAAGAGAAGTGCGTTCATGAGTGAAAGCTGCCGTTTCTGGTTTACCCTCAGTCTCTTCGTAGATGCCCGCCACCTTCGGTCTCTTGGTAATGTTCCCCTTTCCTGTGGCAGGTATAAGGAGCTGACGGAGCAGCAGGTTCCAGGAGCTCTTCCCCCAGAATGCACTCCAAACATCGATGGCCCCAACGCGCGGTCGGTGCAGCGCGAGCAGAGCCTCCACTCCTTCCACACGCTGTTCTGCCGACGCTGCTTCAAATACGACTGCTTTCTCCACCGTATGTCCTCCTTATTTTCAACACATGCTCTGCTGCTGCAGCTGTTATTGACTCTTCTAATGCCACTGTCCTGTTTTCAGCTTTCCACGCCACTCCAAACACCTACAAGAGGAAAAACCTGGAGAACCTCGTCGACTCCAAACCGTGTGGCATCGACTGCTACATGTATCTGGTGCAGGTGGGTTTTCACTCGTGTTCGTGTCACAATCGAACAAGCTCTTTTCTTTCTGAGGTTACATTCATTAGTTATGTATCAGTACTCCCATCGTCTGAGTCCTGGCTCTACAGCTGTTTTTGGCGAAGCAACCACTTTATAAAGTCCTCAGACTGCTGTTGTGACTTAAAGCTGCACTAACTGACTTTATTTTTGTATTCATTACAAAAATGCAATCCATATCCATGAAGTGCATTGGGATGTACGTCCTTTTGAAGAATAAGTAGCACAGATTTGTGCTGGCATGACATTATATTTCAGATAGAGTTTTCATGAAACAAGGAAGAGAATATGTTTTGGGTCTCAGATTGTGACCAATCACAGCGGACACTGGCCCCCGCTTTCGTGAGAAAAGCCACAGGTCTCTGGTTAGCACAGACAGCTGAGTTAGCACAACAAGCAGCAGAGGCTAACTTCCTGTGTCTTGGTTACTGCTCACACAGTGAAACAGCCATCCAAAAGAAAGTCTCGTCCTCTCCGCGCTTCCCGGTTCTGTTATGCTATGGTCCCGCCATCCACGGCATTCTAATGCCGCCTTGTTTCCCCTCAAACGGCTTTACAGCCTCGGCTCTGGGCTTAGTGCTACGTTCCAGATGCGTCAATGCTGCGGGGAGTTTTTTGCTTTTTTTGAACCAGCATAGTTTTGCCGCTGTGGACATTTGAATGCACATTTGAATGAAGTTCGTTTCAGCTAACTTATGGACTCTCTATTTTGCTAAAATGTATCACTCTAAGTAGAGATGCACCGATCCAGCTTTTTTACTACCGATACCGATGCCAGAGCTATGGGTATCTGCCGATACCGATATTGACCGATACCGGAAATGATCATGCTAAAATGTATTTAATAATTGAACTCTTTGTTCACGTAACTGCAAAAGCAGTGGATGAACTAAAACGCTAAACTTTCCAGATAAAAATGGATTCAACATAAATGTGCAATAATGCAACTGTAAAAAGCTGCTCAATGTTCACATTACCTTATACATTTATTGAATAAAATGTACTTATATTAACTGTTTTAATAAAAAAACACTTACAACAAACAAAACACGCTGCATGAAAATGTAAATAAATAATAGTACCGTAGCTTTAACTGGATTTCAGATATGTATTTGGCGCATGTACCTGGGTTCCAAATGGTCTATGGGGCTGCGAGCTCAAACTGATGAACTCCAACACTTTGGGGTTGTTGCTGAAAAGCTTTTTGTGACGCCGCGTCAGTGTCATCTGTGTCTCGTTGTTTTCACGTAATCTCCTTTCGATGCAAAAACTCCCCATGCTGTTTCTCGTGGTGCTTAGTCGTGTTGTATTTTGCTAGTTTACCGCCGCGGGAACATTCTTTCCTGCGCTCCATGCTGTGTTGTTGTTGTTGTTGTAGAGCGCCACGAGGAAGTGACGTGTACGTCAGATCTGATAAATTACTTTTAATTCATTCATTTTATACGTATATGTACATTATGCACAATGTATTTTAAGACATTGTGCGGTACCTGGTATGTATTCAAAAATATATATAATTTATAAAAAAAAAAAAAAGAAAAGAAAATGGATCGGCAGCACGGCGCCTCTCTCTACGCAGATATCCGATCCAGTATTTTTTCTGGTATCGGCGCCGATATCGATACCAGTATCGGATCGGTGCATCCCTAACTCTAAGGCAGGGGTGTTCAATACGTCGATCGCGATCTACCAGTCGATCGCAAAGGTAGTTTTGGTAGATCGCCTTACATAAAAAAAATAACAAAAAAACTGTTTATGCATTTGCGTGTAGACAGATAACCGGAGTTTTGCGTTTTCGCATGCCACAGTATGCCCCCAAAACAACAAACAAAACGTGCGACCTCTGATCCCTGAAGCATGGAGCCTTAAAAACTGTTCACTGCTGCGAGCGGTTCGCAGCAGTGAACATCCTTGCTCCACATCAGAGAGCAGCAAAGTGATCACAGGGACTCGCGCTCGAAAACAACCAACACAGGAGCTAAACCAGGATCACACCAGGGCTGAGGACGGGGGTCAGTGCTTGTAAACATCTGTCTTTACCCTTCTTTCTTCTATGACTGTAGAAGTGCCGCTACAGAAGTACCGGCGTCTGCATCAAAGCTCCGTCCACTTCTGTGGTTTTTCCCCAACGCAGGACGTGAGGACGCACATGTTTGGAATGTTATTAATGTGATTGAAAACGCAGATGTTCGGTTAGGGAATGGATGCAAATTATTTAATATATTAAGCGGTGTTGCATGTACATCAACATACATTGTAGATATAAAAAATCCTCAATATATTTGGAAATAAATGTTTTGCATTTTTGTAGTAGGTAGATCATTTTGACTTGATCATTTTATAAGTAGCTCGCACTCTGAAAAAGTGTGAGCACCCCTGCTCTAAGGGGTGTCAAATTTTTAGCCTAAAAAGGAACTGAAGAAATGTGTTAGCATTAGCCTGCCTCCGCACTCTTCACTTTGCTGAGATACTCTTCAGTGTTTTTGTGTGGCATAAGGTTGTAGTAACCGGGAGAAATAACTGTTAAATACCTTTTTTAAATGCCAAAGGTGTTCTCAAACCAAGGTGTTTAACCAAAGTGATAAAAAAAAACTAAATCAGGCTGTACAATCTAAGCAGTTAGCTCACTGCTGCGGAGCTTCCACTTGTTACAGCTAAACAAATCACCGAAATGATTTATAAAGGGTCACATGTTTCGCCTCAAATGTCGTTAAAAGTAACATTGGTGCCCCATTTATTATATTGATTAGAACTGTCTTGGACGTGGTTCTGTTGATCCCAGAATGACGAGTTCCACTGTAGTCACTGTAACGGTCACTAATTCCTCCTCATTGTTGAAAAAAAGGACTTACTTATTCAAACTCCACAACGTACACCGCATTGAAAATTATTTTCACTCATAATAAGAATGATACTAAGCTGGGGAAAGCTATGTGTCGTTTTCCCGCATCGCCCATTCTAACAAATAGGACAAAATCATCGTGTAGCATGAATACTGTCATACTTGATAAGTGGTAAAAGTTGGTTACATATGTTTTATGGTAGCCCTGTAACCTTAGTATTTGGAAAAAAAAAGAGGAAGAAATTCAGCATGTACAGCATCTCAGAATTATTTTTTTAAAACAAATCAATATCGGCCATAAAAGAAAAATGAATACCGGATATCAAAATCGGCCAATATTTTCATATCGGTACATACTTACTGGTTAAGTATTTTGTCCCAAAAGAAAGTTTAGTAAAAGTATAATAATGTGAAAATCTGACCAAAACTTGCTGTCAATATCCTGTTTTAAAGATATGTTTTTCATACCTGTAAGAAAGAGCCCTGTTGGTCACTATTTGACGCTTTGGACTGAGAGATGTGTGAGGGTGGTCCTCTCTTTTTAACTTTTTTAAATCTCAAAAGACTGATGTGATGGAGGCCAATGCAGTGATGGAACCAAACTGGTTTAGAACCGGGAACTAGAGCCATTGATTTAATTACAAATGTTAAATTCAGTGATTTCAGTGATTTTAGTTGCTTTCTCATGTTACAGGACGGCATGGTGAGGGAGTATCCTGCTGGAGTGGTGGGCGAGCGAGTGAAGACTCCGTCCAAACGCACCATGCCCCGCCGCCGCGGTCGCCCCCATAGCAACAGTCGCCCTGGGACCCCCACGGTCGGCTCGGAAACCAAAGACGGCGACAGCGACGGGGACGAGTGCGAGGAGAGGGAGAGTGGAGGAGCGGAGGGCGAGCGAGAGACTGAGGAGGACGATAAGAAGGACGACAACACCAGTAGCAGCTCAGGTGAGTTCATGCCTGCTGAAAGGATTTGTGTCTTGGCCTGTGGGATACAGAATGTTGTGGAGGAATGGACAAAAATAAATTGACTTCATAAGTAGGGATGGACTTTTTCTGGTAAATTTCCATGGGCGTTAAGATGGGGAATTTTGCAAATATTCCATAGCTTGGAATTAATGGTAACGTAGTGACTTCTGACGTATAGTCAGAAGTCATAAGTCATCCATGCAAAATGAATGGCATCTGTTTGTTTTAGTCAAAATTGTGCTAAAAATACTATATTGGTAAGCTTCCTTTTGATTCCCTTAAAATATTAATCATTCCCATGAAAAGTTTCCATCATTGAACATTCCCGGGAATTTTGCACCCCTATTCATAAATGACACAGCGTCAACATTTCAACAATCTTTTGTCAATTGTCTGAGCTCGATGGTACGATGTGTAAATCCTTTGGAGACACTTGTAAAGAGGCAGATACTCAGCGGTGGATGTGTTCTGCCAGAGGGAAACTCACGGTGCCAGACTCCGGTGAAGCTGAAGCTGTGTGACTCGGAGCCGGTGGACTGGAGCGGAGCCGATGCGTCTCTGTTCAGAGTCCTGATCGGGACGTACTACGACAACTACTGCGCCATCGCCCGCCTCATCAGCACCAAGACCTGCCGACAGGTCAGAGCTCTCACTCATTCACAAACACAAAACAGCTGATGTGGATTTCATAGGGCTGTCAAACGATTAAAATTTTAATCGAGTTAATTAGACCTTAAAATTGTATTAATCGTAATTAATCGCATTTCAAACTATCGGCAAAATGATGCCATATTTTTCTGTAAATGTTGTTTGAATGGAAAGATAAATGACAGTGCACATATGTACTGTATTTGTTTATTATAACAACAAATCCACATAAAATGGCATTAACATTACATTTCAGATGAGGGACATTTCAAAACGGTCTGAAATGCAGAATGTCAAAAAATCTGCTTTGCTCACAACATTTTTCCTTTTGGGCACAACCAACATGAACTGGTAGTGGAAGGGAAAAATTAGGTATCCCAGCTTTAATTGTAATGCCCCCGTGTGAGTCTAGATTTAGCCTAGCTTTAGCCACCTGCATGTGTTAGCGGCACGCATGGACTGTGCGGCAGACGCGCAGGAGCAGAAACTCGACGCAGGTAGGACATTGAACACGTTCAGCAACCAATCAGAGCCGCAAGGTGGTCACGAGGTCACTAGCGGTCAGGGCAAGCAGACTGAAAATACTCGTAAACCAGGACTAAACCAGGACTGACAATGGGGGATACAGTACTTGTGAACATATGCCTCCAGCCTGAGTTCTCATTCTCCAGTGACTAAACTAGTGCAGCTAGCGTGTTTGCTGATTACGGAAGTCTCTGTAAGGTTTCAGACTCGGAGACGCTGCAGAGCTACATTCTTGGAGAAGAACTTTACACAAAAACCCGCTAGCTTAACTCCATTAGCATCAAACCCTGCCCGCCACTTCAGACCTGCTTCCGCCACATCCGGCATGCGCAAAAGCAGGGCAGGACTTAATCCACGTCTGAAATTAAGTGGATGTGCGTACAGTGCGCATAGAAGTTGCATTCAAGTGTTGGCGGTCTGAACGCCCCGTTAGAATTGTTTCTTGCCCGATGCAGGAGGCTCTATTATAAGGACAGTGTTGGACACTCTACATTCAACATTTATGGACATTTACCAATATTTATGGACATTGGTCATCTGCCTATTATGGACCAAAACCATGTGTTTTCCATCATTGTATTTCTTGTTGATTCACTGATCTGTTTGGGCAAATTGAACGATTGAATTATAGTCTTAAATCACAACAACAGTTTGCTGTGATTTAGTTGTTTTTTCTACAGATCTGTCGTCACACAAACTTGCAGATGCGGGCAGAGCTTTGGCACAATTATACCAGCGATCTCGTCCACGCTGAGATGGAGCGTTCAGGACCTTCACAATGAACACAATAAAGATATTTATGAACTCTTACTGTAACTTTACTGGACCATCTTTTCGTGGCAGCGGTCCACAACTATTCACCACTAGGGGTGGAACCTAAGGGCACCTCACGATACACGATACAAAGCTCACGATAACGATATGAAGATAACCATATGACGATAACGATATGACTATTATAGATATATTGGTCAGAAATATACAATATGCCAATTTATGGCATAAATAAAAGAAAAAATACACTTTATTTCATGATGAATGGAGATGTGTAATGTAGCCATATATTAAGTATTGATACCAATTTAAAAAAATAATTTGATATTGATACTTTTTTTCAAACGATATAGAATGTAAAACTATCAGCGGACTTTTGATAAATGATATTAGTGACCACCTTCCTGTCTTTGTACTGTATGATAATGACAACCAAAAAAATAATGATGAAAACATGTTTCTGTGTAAGAGTAAAAACAGATAAAACAGTTGAAGCATTTAAAAATGACCTACTGATGAATGATTGGAGCAATATTTACTTAGAGAGTGATTGTAACAAGGCGTATGAGGAGTTTGTGAAAGTGTTTCAAGAAGCAAATGATAAAAAATGTCCAGTAAAAAAATACAGTAAAAAAAGAAAGATCATAGAAAACCCATGGATGACGAAAAGATTATTAAACGCATGTAAAAAAAAGAATTATCTTTACAAAAACTTTGTTAAAAAACGAACAAAAGAAGTTGAAGAGAAATATAAGATATATAAAAATAAACTCACTGATATTATTAGAAACTGCAAAAAGAATTATTATAATAACTTGCTAGAAATGAATAAAAACAATATTAAAGGGTTATGGAATATATTAAATAAAATAATTAGAAATAAGCCCAGAATGATAAATCATCCACAATATTTTAAAGACAAGGATAAAACCATAGTTAATATGAATGAAGTAGTTGAAACATTTAATAAATTCTTTGTTGATGTTGGTCCAAACCTGGCTGCTAACATCACAAATGTTGAGAAAGACTCCTGCTATCAAATAGAAACCAACCCAAGTTCACTGTTTCTGAAACCTGTAGAAGAAAATGAGTTAACAAATATAGTGAGAGGGTTTAAAGACAAAACATCGACTGACTACTGCGATTTGGACATGAGGACCTTAAAGAGTGTTTTTGCGGGTATTTCAAAGCCATTTAAACACATATGTAATTTATCACTACAAACTGGACAATTTCCCCAACACATGAAAGTAGCCAAAGTAATTCCCCTGCTTAAATCTGGAGACAAACATATATTTACAAACTATAGGCCTGTTTCACTTCTACCACAACTCTCCAAAATCTTAGAAAACATTTTCAATTCCAGACTTGACAGCTTCATTGAAAAAAACAATACACTCTGTGACAATCAGTTTGGCTTTAGAAAAAATCACTCAACTTCACATGCACTGTTTGACATAACTGAAGAAATTACTAACGCTATAGACAATAAGAAAAAAGCAATTGGACTATTTTTTGACCTCAGTAAAGCATTTGACACCATAAACCATGAACTATTAATTAAGAAGCTAGAACGCTATGGGATCAGGGGGGTGGCATTACAGTGGGTCAACAGTTATCTAAAAAACAGGAAGCAATATGTGAAACTGGGTGATTTTCAATCAAGCTGTTTAGAAATTGTGTGTGGTTTACCTCAGGGTTCCATTCTTGGTCCAAAACTGTTTAATCTGTACATAAATGACATTTTTAAAACATCTAAAATACTGAAATTTATCTTGTTTGCCGATGACACGAATATTGTTGCAACCGGTGATAATTTACATAAGCTATTTCAAACTGTTAATCTGGAACTCAAAAAAGTAAGTTATTGGTTCAAACAAAACAAGTTATCTCTAAATCTAAGTAAAAGTAAAATCATGATATTTGGCAAAGGTAATTCCAACACTCAGGAGATGATTCGGATAGAGGGTATTGTCTTAGAACAGGTGCAAGAAATCAAATTTCTTGGAGTTATAATAGACAACAGGCTAACTTGGAAACAACACATTAAATACATATCCACTAAAATATCAAAAAGTATCTCCGTAATAGCAAAAGCAAAGCAGTTTTTACATTTCAAAGCTCTACGTACTTTATACTGTTCTCTGATTCTGCCATATCTGAATTACTGCTCTGTGATCTGGGGAAACACTTACAAAAATACAGTCAAACCGTTAGTGATGCTGCAAAAAAGAGCCATTCGAATTATTCATAAAGTGGGTGTTCGAGATCATACAAACGCGTTATTTATAAATTCAAAGATTATGAAGTTTTATGATCTTATTGAGTTCCAGACTGTACAGTTGATATATAAAGCAAGATATAAACATTTACCAAAACAAATACAGAAAAGGTTTCAAGAGCGAACTAGTTGTTACGAACTACGAGAAGAATTGAACTTGATGATACAGAAACACAGCTCAACACTGAAAAGTTTCAGCCCCACAGTTAATGGGGTTCAACTGTGGAATAATTTGGAGCGGGAGATGAAACATAGTCCAAACATTAATGTGTTCAAATTTAAATACAAACAAAAGACTTTCGATAAATATAAAGAGGAGGAAATTATATGTCACTAGGGGGCGCAATCGGGCTAAAATAAATTGGTGTTTGTTTTTGTTTTGTTTTGTTTTTTTTTATTTCTATTTTATCAACTTTGTTTTGTTGCTTATTATAGTCATTATGATCTTTATTGACCTTGAAGAGTGATGTTGCTTTAAACAGTTGCCATTATTTGCCGTTAATGTTGCTGTTATCGTCTGTTCTTTCTTGTTTATTTTTACATTTGCATAGTTGCTGTTCTATGTAAAGTGTGTATATTTTTATGTAGTGTTTTGGGGGTGGGCACCAATAAGCTTTTGCTTCGGCCCACTCCTTTTGAGCAGTACTTGTCTGCTCAAATAAACAAATAAATAAATAAATAAATAAATACTTGGCAAATGCATATCGATAATCGAATCGCGGGAGAAAGTATCACGATGAATCGAAAAATTGATATATTGTCACACCCCTATTCACCACTCCTCACATTTACACACCTACCATAAATGAAACTTAAAAATTCTAACAATTTGAATTCAACATTATTTTATCACCAATCATTGTCAGTGCTCTGTTTCTTTAGTTCACACCAAAGCTCTTGTATTCATGATGTGGCGTTTGTCTTTGTGTCTTCAGGTTTACGAGTTCCGGGTAAAGGAGTCCAGTATAATCGCTCGCGCTCCGACTGAAGACGAAGACACGCCTCCCAGAAAGAAGAAGCGGAAACACAGGCTCTGGGCCACACACTGCAGGAAGATTCAGCTAAAGAAAGGTCTGGCATCATATCCATCTACAAATGACAGAAATAATACTTCAATAACAAGGCTAAGACATTGGAGCATGCACTGACCATGTACTGTTCTTTCAGACGGCTCGTCCAATCACGTGTACAACTATCAGCCGTGTGACCATCCGCGACAGCCCTGTGATTCGTCCTGTCCCTGCGTCACTGCCCAGAACTTCTGTGAGAAGTTTTGCCAGTGCAGCTCAGAGTGTGAGTTTGAGTTTTGTTTTCAATTTTTCTTTATCCATCACTGACATGCCTGACTATGCTGCTATTACACCATACTCCGTCTACATTTGAGTCAGTGAGTAATTCTGTTGAACTACATTGTGTGTGTTCTCAGGCCAGAACCGCTTCCCGGGCTGCCGCTGTAAGGCTCAGTGCAACACAAAGCAGTGTCCGTGTTATTTAGCCGTGAGGGAGTGTGACCCCGACCTGTGCCTGACCTGTGGAGCCGCCGAGCACTGGGACAGCAAGAACGTGTCCTGCAAGAACTGCTCCATCCAGAGAGGAGCCAAGAAGGTGAAGGCTGACACCAATACATCAATGCTACCACTGATCCTGCTGCAGTTACTACTACTACAGTTTGTCCAGTGCTTGCTGCTGTTACTAAAACTACTCAATACAGAGCGCCTAAACGTTTTACACAAAGATTTGTTTTTAACTAAATCCCAAATCCATTTATTCCAAACCTGATAAGACTGTTCAGAGCATGTAATAATGTAATGATAGTTTTAGTCATGTCCAAGCTAAAGTCTTTGGGATCATAGACACCAGTTTACAGTCTAATCCAGCCAACTTCAGCTCAGTTGTGTTGTAAAGCAGAACCTCTAGAATACAGCTGTAATATAATGATTTTGTGACCAAATTCATTTCTGTTAAATGTAGATAAATATGGACATGGCATAAAGCCCAGGACAGTTCAGGTCCAGTCAAAAATCGGGTTTGTGACCTTTTAGACATGCCTGGTCGATATGGTCTCAATAAGAAATGTATCTGGTCTCGGTGGTCGCTCTGGTATCTTACTGGTGTGGATGTGTCTCTGTGCCTCCATACTTTACATGTTATTTCACAAATCATCAAAAACAGTTCTATCCACTATAAATGCTGTGTTTTCAAACTCGCTTTGAGCAATCCTCAGCACACTTAGGATTTTTACCTTTTCAAACAAAAGTGATGGTAAAATATATTTGTGTTTGATTTTCCCCATGAGTTTTTCTGTTAAATATACTTCTTTTTATTGTATGCTTCAGCACCTGCTCCTGGCTCCTTCAGATGTGGCAGGGTGGGGCATCTTCATCAAAGAGCCAGTGCAGAAAAATGAGTTTATTTCCGAGTACTGTGGAGAGGTGAGACTGGCCACAATCGTCAAAAACAACTAAAATCAGGAACTTGCAGTTAATTTTACGTTTTCATTCTTTGTTTCCAGATAATTTCTCAGGACGAAGCCGACCGCAGGGGGAAAGTCTACGACAAATACATGTGCAGCTTTCTTTTCAACCTCAACAATGGTAACCATGGCAGCAGTATTATCATTTCAAGTCAAGTATATTGTCCCAAATCTAATCAAGCTTTTTTTTTTTTTTTTCAGATTTTGTTGTTGATGCCACAAGGAAAGGCAATAAGATCCGCTTTGCCAACCACTCTGTGAACCCAAACTGCTATGCAAAGGGTAAGACCGGGTTTGGAAAGAAATGAGCCGAGGTTTCAGAAGGATATGATTTTTAACGTTGTTTGTTGCAGTGATGATGGTGAACGGAGACCATAGAATAGGAATTTTCGCCAAAAGAGCAATTCAGACCGGAGAGGAGCTGTTTTTCGACTACAGGTTTGGATAAGTATATATTACCAACATATATTAACAACATGATTAGTTCTATTTGGTTTTATTGTTATACTGTTCAGGGTGCTTGTTATTTTCGTGATGTCACTGCTGAGGTCTGACACATAGCTAGCCTAGTGGTCAGCAGAAATGGTTCGTTGCGTGTTTTTGAATTTATGGTCTTTTCGGGTTTTAAGGTCTTGGCAAAAATATATATCAGTTTTTAAAAATTCTGGTAAAAGTCTGGAATTTTATTTTGGAAAAAGAGCCGAATTTATCAACCATAGAATGTTTTGACTCCATGTTTTAGTAGCTACAGGAGACAGGTTTATTGTCAATAGATGAAAGAGAATGAGTCATGGAAGCTAACGATTAAATTGTTAAACACCTCGTCATTAAATCATGTTGTGTCCAGTTAAAACACTTGTCTCTGCTTCAATACAACATGAAAACCTGCGGCTCATATTAAAGTGCCGCCTGTATGTGGACAACTTTGATTTTCTTTTCAAATTTAGGTGGTGGGGCTTATGTACAGGTGCTTCTTATAGTGCGTCAAAACGGAATTTCAGCCAAAAACCCTGGGCCTTTTCCTCCCACACTGAGAGACAAGAGGCTGGTGTCGACACAAATATAACCCGCCTTGTGACCTTGTCTTCTTGCTACATGTTTGTGCCATCTCAAAATGGTGTGGATAAATGTAAAAAATATTATTAGAAACGCTAAAAAGTCGATTTGTAAATAATGAGCTTGTCTATTGATATAAGTTAGATTTGCAGTTTTCTGGTGGATGATTGTCTTTCTCCTGAAATATTGCTCAGTTGATGAACCTGGCGTCCCTTGTGTCGGCAGGTACAGCCAGGCCGACGCGCTGAAATACGTCGGCATTGAACGCGAATCGGAAATCGCCTGATCTACCTCGGACTCTGCGCCTTACTCACCACAAACTCAAAATCAGGAAAATACTGCCACTGTTTCTACTTTTTTAAGTTTTATTTCACCAAACCCCAAATGGACTCCAACATGTTTTTTACTCTCGAGACCAAAACCAAGTCTTTTTAGTTCAATCTTCAGGGACCAACCTCCACCAGCTGTTTTTCACACAATCAACTTTATAAAATGTTCAAATTGCTGCCTCTTCAATTTGTGTATGAGAACTTTTAAGTCGTCTTGAACAAATCCACACTTGCAGATGTCATCAAAGTACCAGCAAAACATTTGATGCCTTGAGAAATTAGAGATTTTATTTAGAAATGTTTAAAAAAGAAAAGTGAAAAAATTTCTGGTATCGCAATGTTTGACTTTGTTTATTTTAATTGTTATTTTAATGGGAAAAGGTCACAGCCTTAAAACATGTTTTTCTTTGTTGGTTTTGTTGAACATTTTACAATAAATGAATATACAAACCAAAGTTCTTGTCTTCTTTGCGCACAACACACATTAGTGAAATTTATAGGGAAAAAGGAATTTAATGTATCCACGTGAATCCAATCCAATGGGGCTGTTGCCATGGTGCTGGAGTGGAGTCGAGTCGGTGTTAGTTAATGTAATTTTAAACAAATATCTATGGCTTGTTGGATGGACAGCCGTTAGACAACACAATATTTTTGATCTTTGAATATGAGATCCTTTTCGTCCCACAATGGAGAAATTTCAATGTTGCAGCGCACAGACAGGACAGTAAGAAGCACCATAGACTAAATATTAAGCACATGGAGCACACCAAATAAATAGTAGCTATGTTGTAAATGCTTCAATACCAGTCTTTCGGGAAAAAAAAAAATGTAGTGCTGTACATATGGAAATGGCAGAATGAATATTTCCTGTATTATGTGTATTTAAATAAGGTGTGGATTTCTTTAAGGAAGATAGGTTTATTCTTATCAGGCTATGAAGCCTTGTATATTTAGATCATCAGACATTTATGTATTTAAACAGCCATCATGACTCCAGATTTTTTTTTCTCTTGAACTACCTATAGATCACGAGTAAATATCCTTACTTATTGGATCCTTATAATGTACTGGATATTTAGATGAAAAAAACCTCGCGTGACCTGAGGGAGGAACGCTCAAAAGCGGAACGTTGACTCGCTGCCTTCTTCATACCCGGCTCCTTTTGAGTGTGACAAACGCGACCTGATATTGGCACCAGCTTCTCCCTTAAATCGTTTCTGTCCTTGCTCTGTTCTCCGTAGAATGAGAAATATGTTAAGCATAATTTCTAACGCACTTTGCAGAATCACAGGCCGAAATGTGGTGAGTGACTACGCTTCAAATCTGCCTCTGAGACCGTTTATTTACCTGGTTTTTTGGTTGACTGCTAACATGCTAAAGGCTAACTCGCTTGTTTGCTACTGACCTTGCCGCCTGTTTTGACTTTAAAAAGACAACAAATTATTTAAAGTGTTTTGTTTTGTTGAATAAATGGATAAAATACTTCAAACTTCCAACACGCCTTTTCCGCACTATGTTTTTGATCACAGGCGAGACCAAAACTAGGTTCTTCACAAAATGCTATTTTAATGTTTCCTCGGTTAATTTATCCAACTAATAACGGGTCAGATATTGTTTCTGAACATTCTTGAAGTTTTTAAGACATTTACTCAACCATTTTACCCAATTTCTTTTCAGGAAATAAAATGAATAGAATGATATCTTTGCAAATGCTTCTTAATAAAACTAGAACTTATTTGTATATCCTTATATATCTGTAGACTATACATAAAAGTAGTTAACTTTATATTCAAATGTATACTACCATCTCCTAATATACATGTTTGTGAAGGTGGAACTGCTGTGTGTTGTGAATGTGATTCCCGTAATGGCATGTTTTTCCAATTGCATTCAAACAAACTGCATGATCTACCCGCAGTTTTAAGGTTGCACAGACAAAAATATAGTTGGGCATAGGGGTGGGCGATATGGCCTAAAATTCATATCGCGGTATGATTTGGGTCACAGACGGTAGACGGTATACATCACGGTATAATTTGGTGAGTGAATTTCAATATAGGTTTAGCAGGTTCTTGCATAAAATAGTCAAGATTGTAACTTATTACTTATTAGTAACATTAGAATCTGATATATATTTTTTGAGTTTGAAAATCAGGTGAGAGACATATGCTGTAACATACATTATTTATGTATGTTACAGTAAAGACCATTAACTGTGAAAGCAATTTTAAATAATATAAAAATATAAAATATATTATATAATATCTGTAGCAGTTAGACATGGTCATTATTTATAGTGTCAGAGTTTAGTGCGTATGCATGGCTTCAGTAAAAGCTATTGTTCGTTTACAAAGCTAGTCTTGCCATTTGTTGACGCTCCCTAAGCGCTTGCTGTGAACTGGATGATTCAATGGATTTATCTGCATTAAAACAGCGCATTTGATTTGAACAATTGATGTAAATGCTCATTTTGGCACAATTCATTTTGTTTAACAAAGTAGCTTTCGTGATCTATTGACCGCGGAGGTCTGAATCGGACGCTAACTTTACAAAACTTCTGAGATGATGCGGACACGGCACAAGCATGGATCTATTTCGGCTCACGATGGCGCTTCGAGCCTACGCCCCTTTGACACTGATTGGCCGAAAGGTAGACATGTAAACTGTGATTACTGTGTGTGTATTTACCTCCGCTGGGGCCGCTGTGACCAATACAGAGACAGAAACACGGTGTGAAAGCCGTGCTGTTGTTTCCAGTGGTGTCTGCTAGGCTAATGTGCTAGGCTAATGCTGCTGAATGCCGGTTTGTTTTGGTCCTTTCTGCTGGCGTCAGAGCCTGCGCAATTTGATGACATAATGACCTATCGCAATATGCCGGTATAACAAAAATCTCTACCGTGGGCCAAATGTATACCGCTTATACCGTTTATACCGCCCAGCCCTAGTTGGGCAACAACTTTACCGACTCTGTAAAGCATTGCATGTTTCTTCATATTGTGCAACCCTATAATGTTTCATAGGATTTTTATTTTCTTTTATGGCATGACACTTGTTGAACTGTGGTGAACACTTGCTCCCATTAACCCTGTGTTTTGTTGCTCCTGCTTTGATCCTAAACTTCTCTCAGAAACCTAATGTTTGTCTGGCCTTTCTCCCGCTGCTCATCCCTCCTGCAAACCGAATCACAGGGAGCACAGACAGTCTCAGAGGTAAGCCGCTTCTCCCTCTTCTCCTTTCGTGCTTCAATCTTGTCGGCAGATTATCCCTCAAAGTGCTAGTTTCCTGCCAAAGGACAATAGATACTGTAATCTAAAAGACGGTTCACTTGTCTCTTGGTACAGTCTCCTTCTCACTGTCTGTAATATGGTCCATGATTCTCATTGACCAGGAGTGGGGTCAAACCATGGATCTATAATAACTGGATAGGGTATTACTAGCTTATAGCTGTCCCACCCATGGGCACAGGAGGCGCCCGTGGCACTGCAAACTAAATTCACGTGGGCTACCCAGAAAAAAGTCCCATAGAACTCAATGTAAATTAAAACAGCTCGACCTCAGCTGACTGAGAACTTGCAGCTTTCATAAAGATCGGATTTTGTGGGGATTTTAGTGTCCCTTGTCATCCTGAACTTTTTTTCTTCTTAAATCCTTCTGTTTTATTTAAATCCACTTTACTGCCACAAACTCTGCTCCCTGCCTTCCCGCTCTGGCTCCGCTCTTCCGCTGCTCTGATCAGCAGCTCTGATTGGTCAGAGCGCAGCCGAGCCCCTCTGTGCGCGTGCATGAGAGCCACACACACGTATTTGGCGCAAAGCATCATGGGAGCTCGTCCACTGCGCAGAACCGGGAGGACCAGACAATGCCCAAATATAGGAGAGTTCTGCTAACCTCCCGGTCCCCGTGAAGTCCCATGCGCTACTGAGCACAAGCCATTCATTTGAATAGGGCGCCATCTTGGATCACCGGGGCTTGGGTCAAACTTGCTCCAGGAAAGGCTGGTGTGGCTGCAGGTCTTCATTCAGACTCCACTTATTTCAGCAGGTCCTCAGATCTGCTTGTAGACGACTGGAACGTCTAATGTTTTAAGGATTTTACATCAACAATCCAGAATAAATTTGACAGCTTATGTTTTTTTTAGGCTTCATTTCAAACGTGTAATTTAACTGTAATCATACACTTTTAATCAAAATCTTCATGGCTAATCAGCCAGAGAAACTCTGGTGAATGTAACGCATTGTCATAGAGGGCAATGATGATCTTGGAAATGCATCTCATCTCTTGTATTTGGTTTTTGGTAAGGGCCACAACTAGTCTTACTGGAGTGCTTCATTTGTACAGTATATAGCTTTAACACTGGAACTCAAAGCAGTCATTTTGACGGCTTTTAGTTTTGGAACTTGTATTACTCGGCACATGTTTCTCTTTGGTCTTCTTAATGTGTAAATTACAGTAACTAAAGGTTAAAGAAAAAACCTTGTGGCAAACTTTTTTTGGGTAAATTTCATTGAATTCCATTGGTTCAAATGGGAGCAGTCATAATGAAGGTTCTGGTCGTTTCAGAATTCTGGGAGTCAAAGTGTTAATGAAGTCAATACACCGACAGCCCAACCCAGTAAAACACACAAACATTATATAATAATATTTTATATATTCTGTGTACTTTTTACATAAGAGACAATGGTGTCGCATCAATTCCATGTTGTGTGTTGTGGCCTTACAGTAGCTGCTCCTCCTTCCTGTTTACATATTGTGTTGTCATGACGCACCAAGAGCTGCGTTCTGATTGGTCGGCTCCTGTGTCCTCAGCTTCTTATCGACCTGTCAGAGTTCGTGAGTTTGTCGTCAGGGGAGCCGCAGATGCGCAGACTCCCTCCTGAGCCGCCTCCTCCAGCCGCAGATAGAGCTGCAGAGTTAGAGGCTGTAGACCACACTGTAAGGACCAGGAGACGAGACCATGTGTGGACTGTGGGTCTGTTTGTGAAGATGGACTTAAAACAATGGCTGCATCCGAATTCGTACAAAGTTTCTCCTCCTCTTGTCTTTCCATTTTTATAGATCTTTTCTGACATTTTGAAATTTAAACATCCAGAAGATCTTAATATTTAAAATCTACAAAACTAGAGCTACCCTTTCCCATAAAGGTCTGTTTTAAAGGAGGATGAGGAACGGGGTCTTACTTATTTTGTCTTTATTTTGAAGGGACAATGTCGAGACAATAAGCTCAAAGACGGAGATGTTCTGCACCAGATTATAGCAAAACAGCAGTTTCCATCCGCAGTCCCTGGTTACATAAATAAAAATACAGTAATGTGCTATCCAATAGAAATACCATTGTAATGCAACACACACACTCTGATACAGACATGTACACACACATTTAGCCTTATACCAGTTTGTTGACATGTGTATGGTGTGTACTGTCTGGTGCACACTGGGGTAGTCTTGCACAGTTTTTCCAATTTGGTTTTACTGCAAATGGTAAATTCTCGTATCTTGTATATTTTTCACAGGGTGGCAGGGAAAGCTCAGGTCTCATGTGGCACAGTCTTCTTGAATGATCTGGCATTGGTTGAAAATGAGGTTAAAAGAATCAAACCTCTTATATCAATCCTAAAACTAGTAACAAAACTGGATACTATACTATTTTATAAGTATAGATACAAAATAAAATGACTGAAAAGGTATCGGTAAATGATCATAAAAATGGTCTTAATTTCAAAACCAGTTTGTACATAAAAATAATTTAGAAATCCATTGTTTCTCATGTTCAGATAAGCAAAAGTACGATACTGGTGACGAATACCAGGAGCATCTGACAGTAGTGGCCCCATGGTTTACTAGTTTTCCCTTCTGTGCAATGGTCAGGAAGAGTCCATCTCCATGAACATGTTTGGGTTTAGTGCCTGGCTTTCACTAACTCACTTGAGGCGTTACTGTTTTCATTCACAGGTTTAAACTAGGGCTGTGGTTCCAGGTTCTTACAGTGGATGCACTAGTGTCGTCTTTTAACCGCTCCGAGCATGCTTTTTCACTTTGCTAACACGCTTCCATGATAATCCCTCTCCCGTTGCAAATAAATGCCAGTGAGTATTTGGTTATATGTGCTTTAAATGTGTGTGTTGTGTGTTTAGGCTGCGCAGGTCGTGGTCTCCCGCTCGTTTACAGAGTTCACTCCTGAAGTCTCGTTCAGCATCAAAGTAAGTGTTTAGGATTGACTCAATAAACGTATTTGATATGTGCTTCAGTTCCTTAGACTGGTGATATTTTGTTGTTGTATAGATTTTCAATGTTTCATGTATAGTCAAAGGAGCCGGTTAAAAATATTTAGTGCTAGCGCTGGCCAGTAGCTAGCGTTTTCACCTAAAACACTATCTTCATGTAAACAAAATGCTAATCCGATACTGTCGCAGGAACACAATGGTTTTTAAAGGAGAGGAAGGAACCGGGGGAGTCCGAGGATGTAAGGGACAGTCGGTCGAGAAATACACCCAACGTCAGGAAGGACACTGACCCAAAATCACCTCAAACATGATCCTTCACTGTCCTCGAAACTACAAACTAAACAAATTTAAATACAGAACAATCTTGATTTTATCACAACAAACCTTCCCAAACTCCTTCATAGCCACAAACTGTCTGTCTTTACCCAAACGACATAGAACCATTTGTTCAACATTAAAACCACTTGTACTGCTTCACTTATGCGTGATCGTTTCCATAGTGATGAAGGTCCTTTATCCGTCCCACAATGGGGAAATTTCAGTTTGATACATACACACACACACATACACACACCAAGGCATGCAGCGAACATCACTTCCGTGCTCCTTTATAGGCAAAGTGGGTTAAGTTGAAGCCAGTTAGATTTGTTTCATAACTTGATGTGTGTTAAGCCAATGAAGAAATGGTGATTGTAAAGAACGTTTGTTTTCTCGTCCATAACTACGGCAATGGTCACGTTGCAAATAGCTGTATAAAATAAACTCATATTTACTAAAAAATTCTTGATGCAACTTTAAATTACTAAATCACATTATCGCTTTTTAAAATGAGTTCAGTTTGGTTTTATAATGACCAATCTTAATCTTAAAGCTGGGGTACCCTTTTTCATAATCCATTTTGTTTTCCCGAATGGAGAACTATTGGGACAAGTGTTATCTTAAACACTTGTCAGAAAGAGCCCTGTGAGTCACTATTTGACACTTCAGGCTGTGGATTATCTATTCCACTCGCCGTCTGCTGAAGCTGATCTAAGCCCAAGAGTTCAATAATGTGAAACTAGTGATGAAACCAAACTGTTTTGAGTGAATCAGAGTATAGTTGAGAAGTTCAGTACCCCAGCTTTAAACTCCCACGAAACGCTGGCTTTCCGTAGATTTGGCCGAAGAAGTTAAATTTCTGTGCGCAAACTAACAACCTGCACCTGATTTTTGTTTGTTTGTGTGTATCATATCTCCTCTTCCTCTGTTTGCGGTGTAGAAATGTGATGTGCACGGTCTGGAGGAGGCTCCGACCGAAACCGCAGTCCTGACCCGGGACCAGGGCCTCGGCTTCTATCGCTCCATGCAGACGATCCGCCGCATGGAGCTGAAGGCCGACCAGCTCTACAAGCAGAAGATCATCAGGGGCTTCTGCCACCTCTACGACGGACAGGTCAGACGCAGAGGGCACTCGGGCTGGGGCGCCAGATTGGGATGTATTTCAATCTTTTTTTCTTGTGCGCTTTGTAGTGTTGGTGTCTCCTGTTCATTGCCAAGAAAAAACGATTGCAAAGAAATAAAACTGTACAAAGTTAGAATATGATTAAGATATTTTGTATGTATGTTATCGTTCGCTTGTATAATCAGTGGCTTGAGCCTAACACATACCTGATTTTTTTCTTTGCTTCGAAAAATGTGAAGACGTGAATGAAATTGTGACGTTGCTACATCTTTTGTGTAGTAGTAGTAGTAGTAGTAGTAATCTTTATTTATATACCGCCTTTTCACTGCAGATCTGAGTCTCAAAGCGGTTTACAATTGTTAATTATGGGCATTTGTCTCTCACTCCACACAGAGATGGGAGCGGGCTCCAGTACAGGAGGCGCATGCCAGACATGTCTATTGGACATATTTTTAGTGGTAGGGGAAACCGGAGTACCCGGAGGAAACCTACGCAGACACGGGGAGAACATGCAAACTCCACTCAGAAAGGCCCTGGTCTGTGTGTTTTACATATTCCGTTATTATAATGGATCAATGACTATAAGCGGTGACATTTTTCTAGTTATTTATCCCTGAGGCTTAAATAGCGACGCGGCTTATGTGTATTTTTGTTGTGGTAGAGTTGTACTGTTGTTAGAGCAGAGCTTAGTAGCAGTAGAAGTTTTAGGAGATACAGGACGCTTGTTTATTGTCAAAACCCATGAAGATGAATGAGTGATGGAAGCTAACGGTTAAGCTTTGTCGTTAAAACTGGTTGTGTCCAGTTAAAGGTAAAGGTGCACTTTATTAATCCCTGTAGGGCAATTCATCAATTAATTCAAAATGTTTTAAATTGTTGCTGCTGTGGCTTATTTACAGCTCATTGTCCAGAAAGTCAGATACATATGTAATGATTGTGTCCGTCCCTCTTGTAGGAGGCGTGTGCCGTGGGGCTGGAGGCGGCCATAGAGAGAACAGACCACCTGATCACGGCGTACAGAGCTCACGGCTTCACCTACACCAGAGGCGTGTCGGTCAAACAGATCCTGGCGGAGCTCACCGGTGACTAGGCCCGAGCATCATGAAGCCTGCCTCAGTCTCCGGAACCACCGTAGTCACGTGTGCGTTTGTTCCACAGGGCGCAAAGGGGGCGTGGCCAAAGGGAAGGGCGGCTCCATGCACATGTACGCGCCGCACTTCTATGGAGGGAATGGCATCGTCGGCGCACAGGTGAAACTGCGGCCACAACACTCGTTCCAAAACAGCCCTGGAGTTGCTTTTAGATCTCATGTAGCTCCGCCCCTTTGGTCTAAAAGCTCCTGTCTCAGTCCTGTAATAGTATGTCATTGTACTACTATGACGTCATACTCAAAGCAGTTTTTTGCCTTTTTAAAAACAAAAATATCGCCCATAAATTTAGTGTGAGCAATTTCTGAGGTTTTTACAATCACATGGCTGTTTGCAGATGCTAAGTTTTAAATTTGGATGAAAAATAAAGAAAATCCACTCCTCCTCCTGGTGGCGACAGAGGGAGTTACAGGCAGATAGTATTTTTCTTTAACCCACTTGTTTTGCCATATTTTCTGCTTGATATATAATTTCACATTTCTAATCCATACATTTAAAAGGTAAATAGTATTATTTTTCATGGCACATATATGTATTCTTCTAAAAGACATGACACACCGGATTAACTTGACAGCTTAGTCCCAATTTAAGACCTATTTGTTTAGACCGGTTTTCTCACTCTGTCAACTGTGTTCATGATGAGGACCGTCTTCTGTGTCTTTGCTTTTATTTTTATCTGTATGCTTTAAATATGAAGCGCTTTGTGATCCTGGTCTGTGAAAGGCGGAATGCAAATAAACTTAGAGAAACTGGGCATTAGTTGGTGTCATGGCAGTCTATTTTAGTTGTTTTTGTTGTTGTTTTTTTACCTATGACTGATCTTGATTGGATTGAATGCAGGTTCCTTTGGGTGCTGGCATCGCTCTGGCCTGTCAGTATCAAGGCAACAATCAGATTTGTGTGTCCCTGTACGGAGACGGAGCGGCCAATCAGGTAATCTCACCTTTCAGATCTGGCTTGCGATGGATGTTGCAGCTCTCAAGTCACACGGATCCAGTCTGAGAGGAAGTGTGTGTGTGTGTGTGTGTGTGTTTGCTTTAGGGTCAGCTGTTCGAGGCCTACAACATGGCCGCCCTGTGGAAGCTGCCCTGTATATTTGTGTGTGAGAATAACCGGTACGGGATGGGCACCGCCGTGGAGCGCGCCGCAGCCAGCACAGAATACTACAAGAGAGGAGGCTACATCCCAGGACTGAGGGTGAGAGCGGGGGAGGGTCTGTGTGTAAGAGCGAGAGCTTTGTGAGAATCCATGTTAAAGGAGATGTATATTATTATTATAGAAAAATGACTGAGTTTAGCCTGTTACTACATTGTTCACCGGAGTCGTGTTTAGAGCATCCACGTTTATCTCAAAACAAAAACGTGTAACTCCGCCCCTTCTGTCTGAAAGCGCAGATTGGGTTCATGACATTCCAATGGTTGAAATTAAAATGGTAACGAATGCTGCTCGACTCTGAAACTGGGGCTGGGTCAATGGTCCCAGAGTTTGCGTCACTGTGAAATGTGAACTGAAGATGTAATTTCATAGTTTTTAATTTTGTATGACCAGCCGCAAAACTGGTGGGTTTGTGGTGTCTCTTGTCGTTGGTCTCTGCCTGGTCTCTGCCTTGTCTCTGTGGTCTCTGTGGTTTCTGTGGTCTCTGCGGTCTCTGCTGTTGTTGGTTCCTGGTTTCTTGTCTCTCTGGTCTGGGGCTGTGACTGCGTTGGGACCCTCTCTCTCTCTGCAGTCTTCCCGTTCAGACCCACATTATTCGGGGCAAAGCCTCGGCAGCTGCAGGTGTGAGCCTCCTCCCAGAACCAGACGCTCATGTATGATGCTGCACACACTTCTTCACTGAATTATACTAAATTTTTTCGATCTTGACTTCACAAATGAACAGGAACATCAGCTAAGATCAGATGCTTACCTGGATTTTTGAAAGTATGTAAAGTAAGGAGTGGGAGAGCATAGATTGAAGTGTTTCTTTGCCTTGCCTGCAGATTCACTTCACACTTTTCATCTTGAACATAATGTTTGTCTCTGCAGGTGGATGGGATGGATGTTCTCTGTGTTCGAGAGGCCACGAAGTTTGCTGCAGACCACTGTCGATCGGGGAAGGTTGGTTTTCTCTCTGAGCAAAAAGGTCTTCACAAAGAACCATGCAATAAGTTTAATGGATTTAAATATGGCAACTGCAGGATTCTAGATGGAGTTATGTGCATATACAGTATATGTTTTGCCAGGGTTTTAGTTTTTCAGTCAAGTTTGAGATTTAAATTGTTTTTTAGTGGTTTAATCATTGCAGCTGTTTTCTTTTGTGTGGTATTGATACATTTAACATTGACTCATTATTATTTCCAGGGACCAATTCTAATGGAGCTTCAGACGTATCGCTATCACGGCCACAGCATGAGCGACCCGGGAGTCAGGTCAGAGCAGACATCACACACTTACAGCTGAAACAGAAGTGGAATATTTGGTTATTTTTTTTAAAAGTAGATGATTAGATTAAAGCTGCTGGTTTTTTTATCTATTTGGTTGAAGCAGTACATTTCTAGGCCCATTTTCATCCAAAAACAAAGTTGACAATTTGGAAACTGATTCTGAAACCTTTAATCCTTCACAGAAATAAATCTTACTCTTCTGTGCCATTTGTTTCTCAGCCTGAACTTGACTAAAGTTTTGAGACTTTGGTTTTGTAAAACTTGGGCTACCTAACTTTTAACCAAAAATCCGTCCTCTCCCTCAAACCTTCGATCACAAGTTTTCACCTGTGTCTGTTTGGCCTCTGTCATATCTTTAGATCAGGTTTTTATGACAGAAAACTCGACCACTCACACTCGGCCCAAAGCGTCAGTTTTTTTATTTTATTTTTTATTTATTTATTTTATTGGGGCAACACACATTAATGAACAATCATATACAAGTTGGACACAAATTGTAACTGTGCCAGATTGTAGCAAAACTGCTAATTTACATCCGCAGTGACTCAGGGTTCGTTCTTAAAAGTATGTAAAAGATGACACGTTAGAGATGAGAGCTGCATTTAGTTCCATATCTAGTCCTTTACAGCACACAAGCGGCGTTTCTTGTATATTTCATAGAATCAAACAATTCAGCCCAGTTTTAAATGTGGTGACAAGGACATGAATAGTTTTGGTCCTTTATGAAACTCTGACTTGCCTGAGACGTGCTGTGTGCAGTTACCGGACGCGGGAGGAGATCCAGGAAGTGCGGACCAAGAACGACCCAATCTCCATGCTCAAAGAACGAATGCTCAGCAACAACATGGCGTCTGCAGAAGAGTTCAAGGTGACTTATTGTGACATCACCATGGCGACTCATTTATAGTTGAATGTAGGTGATTTATTAAATGCGTCTAAAAGCTCTGTGTAAGAATATACAGATGGATGATATGAAACCAGTTGATTTTAGGCTGTGCAGTGATGTTGAGTGTCCAGCAGGGGGAGTCCTCTTTAAAGATTGTCCTGGTCTTATTATTTTTACCCCAATTTCCGGTATGGTAACAATGTTAAAACCAGTTAAGTTTAGTTAAATAGGCAAATCTGTGTAACGGTTTGTATGTTGTTAGTGCTTAGGGAGTTTCACTAGCTAGCGTGTGCGACGAAATGAGTAGTCTGTGCGTCCATACATACATTTCTAATATCAACATGGCTTTCCCCTGTGCTCCTAAATGCATCTACTGGCCTTGTCTCAGTAGTATCAGGTTTATGTGTTAATGCCTGTTGTAAACTGAGTAGAAATGGATTCATCTAGTTTCACCAACGTCTGTTTTTCTCATGTTACATCTTGGCTTGGTCTTTGTGGTCTTCAGTCTCTCTGGTCTCTCTGGTCTGGTCTCTGGTCTGGGGCTGTGACTGCGTTGGGACCCTCTCTCTCTGCAGTCTTCCCGTTCAGACCCACATTATTTGGGGCAAAGCCTCGGCAGCTGCAGGTGTGAGCCTCCTCCCAGAACCAGACGCTCATGTATGATGCTGCACACACTTCTTCACTCCACAAAACAACAGATACTTTATTGATCCTCGAGGGAGAAATTCAGGACGTGATCGTTGAAACAAAATATGAAACTAAATGAGAGAAATGAAACGGAAGCAGCCAGGTTTCCTCCTGTGTCAGAACGCTGGAGTGTTGAATGAACATGACATTAAATGGAAATGGTGAACAAAAGTGTAAAGTTTATTCCGTGTGCAGTCAACACAAGGAAAGTTTATTTATTCAACACGATTCATACACTGGGCAACTCCAGGAACAAAACAAGATGGCATTAAAATCATAGTCACAGAACATTAAAAAGATAAAAATATAAAATCCCTCAGTTGTATGCACTGCTAAAAAAGAACTGTCTTTAACCTGGTTTTAAACACTGTCAGAGAGGAGGCCTGTCTCACATCTTCAGGAAGATTATTCCAGATTTTCGCTGCATGAATCTGAAAAGCAGCCTCCCCAACTCCAGTCCTGACTCTGAGGAGCACAGGGACGGGAATCCTGCTCAAGTCACTAATGTATTTTGGTGCGAGGCCACGGAGAGACTTGTAACAAACTGAGCCGTATTAAATTTGTCTTTTTTTTTTTTTTTTTCAGGAAATTGACATTGAGATCCGAAAAGAGGTGGAGGAAGCGGCTCAGTTTGCGACGTCAGACCCGGAGCCCCCGCTGGAAGACCTGTGCAGCTACATCTACCACAACAGCCCCTCCATGGCGGTCCGAGGAACTCACCCCTGGGCCAAACTGGTCTCGGCGGGATCCAGCTGAGGAGCGACGCTTTAAGGACTTTACGGAGAGAGAAGCCGCCGTCTGCACTTATAACCATGTGCTGCTAAATGATTTAAGTTTTATTGTATTTATTATGAAGAGATGTCTAAGTGGTGGGCTCCCGGGACACTTGTTACTTTGGTGGCGGCTGTAGACTGTTTATTTGGACAATACTAACTCATTGAAGCCCATTAGGGAAGTGCTCATGGGTACAGTTAAAAATGTGTAGTTTAGCTCCCTGTTCTCCTGGGGTTTGTGTTTTGAGAAAGTCTCTTAACTCTCGTAGCAACACCTCCACCCCTGTTTACAATACGAAGGTAACGCTTTCGGAACAAATGCCCATATATGGAAGTTGGCTCCAGCTCGTTTAAATTCAAATCTACTTCGTCCACGTTCAAATCTATTTTAAGGGGGCTTTGGCGAGTCCAGGGGGCGAGTCCAGGGGGCGAGTCCAGGGGGCGAGTCCAGGGGGCGAGTCCAGGGGGCGAGTCCAGGGGGCGAGTCCAGGGGGCGAGTCCAGGGGGCGAGTCCAGGGGGCGAGTCCAGGGGGCGAGTCCAGGGGGCGAGTCCAGGGACGCACAGACCAAATTTACGAAGACTTTTTGCTGAATTTTCCAACAAGTCCTCTTGCCTCTTATGGACCAATACCAATGTCTATAAATGTAGACTGTCGGGAGTCCTGGATCATCACCACTGTCCACAGCAAGAACCGACTGAACCCAGTGGGAAAAGGGACCCCACATCGAGACGCCATTAGTTTATTGTATATTTTGTTTTACATTATAAATATATTAAAATACATTATGGAAATAGAAAATAAACTTTAGTGATCTCACAACGGAGGACATTTTGGTCTTTTTCTTACCATCTCGGAGGTTCTGCTTTCATGACGGTTTGAACAGAAGTTATTGGTGAAAATTGTAAACAGTTGAGTTCCATGCTCAGTTCTCAGATCTGTGGATTGTCCCATGAATGATGCTGTTAGACTGAGACAATATTTTTGAATGTTGTCTTCACATGATTGCAGTCTGTCAAACGAGTTGTGGGAGGAGTCATTTTGCTAAAAGCTTTTGGCTCAGTCTAAATTCTTCTGTTTGAAATGTTGGCGCTCGGGTCTAAAGCTCCGTGTCGGATCACAGCCTCGGCTCTGGTACGTTAATTTATCCAGTTTGTGTGCTCGAGTTGGAAGTTCACAAACGCTTTAACTTTTCAATAGGAATGCATTATTTGGACAGGGAAAGGTTTACTCTTCTCTTGAAAGTTCGACTACTTCATTTTGCAGGCACTTCGAATATAAGGCTTTTAGGGTTAGTTTTTGTTTTATTTTAATTAGTATAGTTATTGTTCACTTGTGTTGTGTGCTCCTCATTCCTTGTGTTCTGTAACTTGTGATGCAACACTGAAATTTCCCCGCTGTGGGACGAATAAAGGATCTCCTAATCTATGAACCTTGATTTTGAGATTTGCTAAAGCTGGGGTTCCTAACTTTTAAAAGACATGGAACTATGCAACAAGATCCATCTAAACTAAAGTTCCTCGCTCTCAAAAGTCTCGTTCACACACATGTTTGTCACATCTTTAGAGCAGCTTTTTCAGACAAAAGTGAAAAAGAATCGCCCTCTTGCAGCCCACACAGCTCAAAGCTTAGAGACTTTCTTACAACTGTGAAAATAGCGTATTTTATTGGTTTTAATTTAATATTTTTTCACATTTTATTTAGCAATACAGAAAGAGAAATACTGTATGACAACATAATGAGATACAATAAGCAACAAAGAAACAGAATATACAGGTAAAAAAGGACATAGAAGTTTGTTGAGGAAATGAGCAAAGGTTGTGGGTGATCGCAATTCGCATATTTTCTAACAAAATTATGAAAGTGTGTTGTGGTCCTAATTAGTCACTAATTTACCAGTTTTTATGATTTATTATTTATAAATAAACAAAGTTAGTGTAAGTCTTGCATTTGCACAGCCACCTAAAGCAAATTGACCAAGAATACAAGTCGAGCCAGTTTCATTCTTCAGTGGATTTGCATTTTAGATATTTTTTTTTTCTATGTTTAAGATGATGTACTGCTATGGGAACAGTTCAACCAGAGACAGAAGTGGAGAACTTACATTTGCCATCAGTTGGAGAGTTTGCTGTAACTGTGAATGCATCGTCAAATAAATACATCAAAAAAACTAAATAATGGCTCCAACAACATGAAAGAAACTTGGAGTGGGCTGACGTCACCGATTTGAACTTAAAGGACAACTCACCCTCAACTCAATCAACGGTATAAATGAGTGTCCAATAGAGTTGTCTAATTATCCTGGTCATAATTTTGTCACTTTTATGCAAATTAGTTGAAAGTTTAACTTTCTGCCTAAAACCGTCTGTGAGGCGCCATCTGCTGGCGACCTGTATTACTACATTTGAATTTTGAATCTGGCGCCAACACTGACGTCTGAAGCAAGACCTGACGTCAGCAGCCCCCCGCCCAGAGCTATATAAACGGCCCAGTCTCGTTCACGCCCCCATTAGTCCTCCAGGCTACGCCCGTTTAGAGGAAGATTTGAACAGGAAATGTGAGTGACGTAAGCTCCGAGGAGCGGGGGTGAGAATCACTTTAAGATAGCTGGAGCCAATTTCCTTATATGGGTATTTCTTCCGTGGCGTAAGCTTGGCGCCGTAACCGGGGCAGACCCCATATAATAGATCCATGGGGCAGACGTGTTACTAAGATGGTTGCCAAGGTAAGCTGGCGTTTCCCCCACAAATGAGGCCATCTGATTGGTTTAGGGCTAGTGTTAGCTTATATGGCTCATGTCTGGATTTGCAAAGACAATATAAAAAAGGCAAACGCTTGGATCATAGAGAGCGCAAAACCACAGATTGTTTAATCCCAAAATGGTGAGTGTGACAAACTAAGCTAGAGGAGTTGGAGCAAAACTTTGTACATGAGCAATTCCCTGTGAGGCTTCACCAAACTAGGGGTTTATCATTTTTGTAGTGTATGGGCCAAAGTCGCCATTGTTATTATGCACATTTTCTGTAAACACTTTGTAGCTTAAACTGGAGGCAGAAAGAAGGACTCGTCTACGGGAAATAGAAAGTTCGATTCCACCTCTAGGCCTTTCTGTGTCGACTTTCCATGTTCTCTCTGTGTCTTTAGTGGCAGTGCTTTCTGACTCTGGTCTGAAAAGCGCTATATAAATAAATATTACTAACACAAAGTGACCTCTCTGTTCCTTGTTGCTTGGACTTCATTATGCTGTTTAGTGAGTTTTCTGCGTCTATAATGTCTTCTCAGAGAGTGATGGGTGTTCTCTCTCGGAAGCATGTTCATGTTTTCACAAAGTGGAGAGGGCGGCTCCTTCCTAAAATCCTCCTTTATACCTTCAAGTGTGTGACGTCTCCACACGCTCAGATAAACACGCATTTTCACAAATTAAGATTAAGATTAAGAGATCCTTTAATTGTCCCACAGTGGGGAAATTTCTGTATTGCATCACAAGGTATTGAGAATGAGGAGTCACGTGCCGAGTTGGGGTGATTTGGGGGGGGCTCTGAGCCTGTCGGACATATTGGCTGCGCAACGGGGGCACGCCCCCAGAATTTCACGCGCTCCTCATATTCCAGAGCACTTTAAATTATACGCATTTACGTTTTCGGCGAGACAGAGACGGATCTACTGATACAACAAGGGAAAGGAAGACAGTAAAACAATGCTTAGAGATAAGGCGAAAGAGAAGGGACCGTACAGGAACACGTTGTTTTGCAGTGTTTTGTGTCCCTTTGCACTAAGAAAAGTATGACTCTTATGATCATTTTTGCCTATGCTGTGCATGTTTACATGCTGGAAACAGTACTTTGAATGCACACGTTGTTTAGCAGTGTTTGTGTGTCCCTTTGCACTAAGAAAAGTATGACTCTTATTATCATTTTTACCTATGTTGGGCATGTTTACATGCTGGAAACAGTACTTTGACTGCACACGTTTGTAACAAAAAAAATATTCATTTCTCAATAAATATTGGTAAACCATATCAAGTTGTTTCATGCATTTATTTAAAAATAAAAGATACAGTAAAGAATAAGGTACTCAAACAACACTTTTGCACATGTTCGTTAAGGCACAGCAAACAATGACAATCTTATCCAAAGGCATTAGGTTTTCACCCTCACATTTGACAAGCATGTGCACAGGTACAGTTGAGTGTAAGAATTTGAATTTGTTGCGCACAACACCGATCACCCTCTCCACGTGAATTCTGAGATGTGCTATGGCCCTAGTCTCCTCCACATCTTTCGCCTCAAGCTGAGCACGACCCCTGGTGAATGTAGGTATTTTCACTTCAGCACACATCATGCCCACATTTTCTCTTATATTAAAGCCTCTATCTGCCAGCACAATGTCACCTGGTAACAGCTTGTTCAGGAAACCACTTTGCTCGGTTATATGCTTGTCGCTTGTGCGCCCACCCCACCCGTTCGATATGAAGGAAATAATACCCTGGGGCGTGATCACGATTAGGTATTTCATAGTGTATGCGTGTTTGTATTGAGAAAAAGTCTGTGCCCTTGCTAGTACATTGGAAGGTTTCTCGATGAACACCTCGAAGCAGTCCACAATGGCAGCCACATTGTTCCCAAATGACTCCACAAACTGGTGTGGCATACTGGTCAATAAGCATTCCCTACTTGGCCAGTGCACCAATGGACACAGCTGTGCGTACATCACACCAAGGGTATGGTGAAAGGCATCGGCGACTGTTGTCCTATGTACTCTAAACAGATGGCTGAGGTGCTGTATTGAAAGGTCCAGTCTGAGGCGCATTAAAGTCAATAGGACAAGCTGGAAGGGTGAGAGCTTCTTCATTCTACCTTGAGGCAGATCTGGAGTTAGGTAGAGTAGAAGTGTCTGGAACAATGCAAAGTTTGGAAGCCCCGTGTAATACTTCACTGTGTTATCATCACCACTCAGAAAGTTCTCATTCATCCGGTACGTATCAAGCTCACGCTTCAGCTGTCTGTTTTCTTCAAGAAGATTGTTGATAACATCTCGTCTAGATGTGCAGAGTCCACATTCCATGTCCGGGTCAGCTGGCGGCTGGTCTAGGGCTGGCGGCGGCGGCGCCTGCGGCTGGTCTAGGGCTGGCGGCGGCGGCGCCTGCGGCTGGTCTAGGGCTGGTGGCGGCGGCGCCTGCGGCTGGTCTAGGGCTGGTGGCGGCGGCGCCTGCGGCTGGTCTAGGGCTGGTGGCGGCGGCGCCTGCGGCTGGTCTAGGGCTGGTGGCGGCGGCGCCTGCGGCTGGTCTAGGGCTGGAGGCGGCGGCGCCTGCGGCTGGTCTAGGGCTGGTGGCGGCGGCGCCTGCGGCTGGTCTAGGGCTGGTGGCGGGTGCAGCTGGTCTAGGGCTGGTGGCGGCTGCAGCTGGTCTAGGGCTGGAGGCGGCGGCGCCTGCGGCTGGTCTAGGGCTGGTGGCGGGTGCAGCTGGTCTAGGGCTGGTGGCGGCTGCAGCTGGTCTAGGGCTGGAGGCGGCGGCGCCTGCGGCTGGTGTTGGGCTGGAGGTGGCTGCCGCTCCAGTGGCAGGGACCTGCGCCTTACTTGCCGCTGATATCTCGCTTCATCTGTTTTTTGTACATCATTGTGGCCTAACAACAGGGATGGTGTCCAGTCAGGGTGGTTCTCCAACATCTCATATGCTGGTTTACCTACACGAGAATAATAACAACATATAATTAATATAATAATTTGCACAATCTATGTAATCAATGCTTTAAACTGGCAACTATGTCATGAACAGCATCTCAAGTACTTTTTAGGTCACCTCATAATGTCATATGAAGGTTTATGTACAACAGAATAATTAGATTATGTGTACAATCTATGTAATCTATGCTTTACACTGGCAAAGACCTCGCAGAACACGTGCTAAGTAAGAAACAGCCTGAGAGGGTAACAAAGACACAGAGACAAAGGCACTACAGAAACCATAATAACATATGCTAACCTACACTTCCTAGCTTTAAGAGACAACTACATAAATACATTTTTAGAGAACGTACAAGAGTGAAAATGCAGAGAACACACTCTCGTCGACAGGGGTGTGTGATCGAAAGTAAGGTCCTTTCTTCTAATTGCAGCCAACCAAGCAATCCGACGTCTCCTTGTCAGGTCAGAGAATTGCTCCCCTTGATGCTTTTTCCATTTCGGTAACCTAAAAAACTGTATCCCGTTGTTACTAGGTTTTCCATATCCATCCTGGGAGGTATTGGAGCAGTTTTTAACGCAGCAGTTATTTCCAGGCATGATAAAACAGTGCGGAATAGCAAGAACCTCCGCTACTACCGCGTTCACAACACACGTAAACAAACTGTACTGCCGCCACCGGTGCGCAGCCAATATGTCGGCAAAGGGGGGATGGGGAGGGGGGACTCTGTGCCGTGACGTCAACTCCTCATTCTCATATATGAGAACAGTAGGAAAGAGGAGCACACAGCACACGTTAAGTGAACAATTGCTATTCTAATTAAAATAAAACAAAATTACTATCACTAGCATCAAATAACAAAATAAAATATCTATCTTGAAAATAATAATAATGAAAATAAGTGTCAAGTTTTAGATTTGGCAAAATAAGAAGCGAGTCTAAAGTACTGTGTTTTCTAGTGCAAGCAAAGTGTCGTTATATGTTAGCACCTGTACATTAGCAGCAGTATGTTTACACCTGTACATTAGCAGCAGTATGTTTACACCTGAACATTAGCAGCAGTATGTTTACATCTGTACATTAGCAGCAGTATGTTTACACCTGAACATTAGCAGCAGTATGTTTACACCTGAACATTAGCAGCAGTATGTTTACATCTGTACATTAGCAGCAGTATGTTTACACCTGTACATTAGCAGCAGTATATTGCACATTCTGATATGAGTTAAGGATATTGCATTGATGCATGACACGTGGGATCAAGTTGGCGGTGTTCATAAGTCCTTATTGTTCGTTGTACAGTCTGACTACTCAATGAGACCATTGACCATTGTTTATATCCTGGTTCAGTAAATGTTTCCCAAGTTAATATTTGAAAATCAAGTATGTCTGAGTTATTCAATTCAAATTCTTTGTGTATAGCAAAGTATTACAAAGTTGATTATTTACCAAAAACGTTATTGTTATTTACCAACAACAGATCAGTGAATCAAACTTTTCAAATTCTTTTACAACAATAACAAACAGGAGCTGTTGGTCCGTAGGGAGCGACCACTGGCCTTAAATGTTCTTAAATCTTTCTGATCCTCACTGTCCTAAGACTCTGGTGCATCGCAGAGGAACAACTCAAAAACCCCAGAATAAAAAAAGTGAGAGCATCTGTGTTCACCGCCAAACGGCTGTAGATCCACTCCAAAGGTCTGGTTCTACCGGTGTAGGAATGGTGACATGTTCTAAAGCTGTATTTTGATCTAATCTGTGCATAAATGTTCTGTCTTTAATCATGTGACAGGTGTATTGTAACTTCAGCGGTGAGCAGAACACCCAGGCTGCTGTCGGCTGATCGGACTGAGATGAGGCTGTTACATGTTTCAGACTCTTACATGTTCTCAGGTCGTTCAGGCGGAGTGGGTTCACAGGTGAATGAAAATAACACTTATTATTCTTATTTTGACAGAATGGAGCAGCGTCCTTTGAGAAGTTGTAACCTCTGGATGGATACATGGCTTTGTACTGTTTAACAACTCAATCAAGGCATTTCTTTGCAGATCCCTTTGGGCGCGGGGATCGTCTTGGCCTGCAAATATCGGAGCAATAATCAGATTAGTTTTGCAGTGTACGGAGACGGAGCAGCCAATCAGGTGAGTCCAACATACAGTGGGTTTGTTGGATTGAAGTAACCACCGGAGCTGAGGCATGTCATGTATCTCACTTTACATTCACATTTCTGTTCCAGGGTCAGCTGTTTGAGGCCTTCAACATGGCCGCCCTGTGGAAGCTGCCCTGTATATTTGTGTGTGAGAACAACAGGTACGGCAAAAGGACTGCTATGGAGCGAGTGTCAGCCAATACTGACGTCTACACGAGAGGAGACGTCGTTCCCGGGTTCAGGGTGAGGGCTGTCGGATCACCACTGTGGTACTCAGATTGATCACTGATTCAGATTCAGACTAATTTATTTATCCCACCGGGGGCATTTCATTTTAGCAGCATATTGCATAAACAGTAAAGTAAGCGATATGTATGAGATGATATATGGGACAAGAGATATTAAGTGATTTTACAATTTTAAAAGAGCAGTATGTGAAAATCTGGCCAAAAGTGGTACTGCACTCGCCCAGACTCAAGTTGCCTCTCAGCAAGAAGGTCCTGGGTTCGAATCCCGGTCGGAATAGGGCCTTTCTGAGTGGAGTTTGCATGTTCTCCCCGTGTCTGCGTAGGTTTCCTCCGGGTGCTCCGGTTTCCCCTACCACTAAAACATTCACAATTAGGTATGAATGTAAATGACAGAGTGAATGGATGGTGTTGGGTCAGAGGCTTTGATGGTCCAGTGTGTTCTGGACTCGCTTCCGTCATCACCGTGTGTGGAATGATTGGAACAATATCTGACTCTGAACATTGTAAAGCGCTTTGGGTCTGTGCCTTGGTTTGTAAAATGCGCTATATAAATAAACATTACTTACATTACATTACTAACATCGGGACCCCATTGGAATAGTGAGTTGCTAAGCTAATACAAGAATACCATGCATTTCTGTCTGAACTCCAGTGTAAGCAGATTATAGACACAGCAACTGAGACCTAAAAAAGAGGTGATAGTTCATTAATTGCATTGAATTACACTTAAATAATTGTATTTTTGTCAATTTCAGTTAAATTACAATTGATCTTTTATTGTTATTGTTTTCATTTCGAAATGAAAACAATAACAAGATTTAGGGGCTGTAAACTAATTTTGAGATTCAAATATTGTGTCTTAATATAAATAGTGTGTCTTAGATTTGTCTTAGACCCCAAACTAAAATATTTTAAATAAATATTATATAATTTATACTTAACCATTATGATCTTAATCATTGTTTGAGCTCTCTGCTGAAGATGTTAGTCTGTAGTTTTAGTCGAGTGGGGAGAGAGATACATATATACAGATATGTATATATACAGGTGTCCAGCAGCAGTAAAAAATAATAATAATAATAATAACTGTTGTTTTGTGTATGATTTTGTTTAAGAAAATCAACCATGAGATCAATGCAGAGGTGGAAGAAGCTGCTCAGTTTGCAACATCAGACCCGGAGCCCCCGCTGGATCCCCTGTGTAACTACATCTACCACAACAGCCCGTCCATGAAGGTCCGAGGAGTCCAGCCCTGGGCAAAACTGGTCTCTGAAGGCAACATCTGAAGTCCTGTCAAAGTTTACATCCTGTCTTTCCAATAAAGAGATACATTATGATTGAATAAATCACATATTTCGGCTATTTGTTTGTTTATTTGTTCTTGAACTAACCCTAAGGAAAAACTGACCCACAAAAGTCCAATGATGGTGCCTATAGGTGAGTAATTTGCTGTAAAGTATTTTCATGTATATTGATATGGTTTCACATCAAATAAAATACACTTGCATTGGCTATTTGGACTTGAGGACTAAGTGTGTATAAATATATATAATTTGTAAGAAAAATAAATCCCGAAAGGTTTTATGTTCTGAGTTAGAAAGTTTCAAATAGCCTCGTTGTTGTTCTTTTCACTGGTCATGCTTTGAGTTTAAAGTGCTGTTACACCATTCGGCCGCCAGGTGTCAGCCGTGCACTGATAGTGAAACGCACACATCACTGAACAGAGCTTTGTGCAGAAAATACCACATTGATATAACTTCAAAGAAACAAAATCAACATTTGCTGATTACAGAACGTAAAGTGCAGTATTGGAAAAACATGAATGAAGTCTTTTGATCTTTTGAGAGCATTGTTTTCTCGTTCAGTTTGTGTTTGTCTCAGTAGGGGCCAGTATCCATGGGGCCAGTCCTCAGGTTGCTCTGTGAGTGAACCACGCCTGTGCGTCACTGTCATATGTAGGTTTGCATAGAACTCATTTTGTGACAGCATGTTTGTTTTGGTGTTATAATTCATCAACAATGTTCTCAGTACAATTTGCTTTAATTGTTTATGTATTTATGCTGTTGTCTAATCCAGCACAGTGCATACAATAAGAAAACGTTGTGTTACTAAGGAGCACACAAAACAAGATATTTGGGCCTAAATGCTTTTGTAGCTCTTATCGGCTTCTTATCAGAAAAAAAGGTGATACTTTTACTTTTGATACTAAAAGTTGATGCTGTAAAAATGCACTTTGTAAATAATCATTATTTACTACTACCATTGACAAAGTAGCCTTTACTATCACAGTGGTCTGCAGGATGATATGAGATCAAATGTTTGGAAGTTCTCTAGATCAAATATACGAATGTTAAAAAACAATCACAGCACAGTGTAGTACAGTGGGCCATGGTAATTACAACAATTAAATACAATTGCAGTTGCTGACTTCACCTTTAAGTTTTATTGTGATTGGATTAAAGGAGGACATAAAAAGGTTGCCCGTATTGGTATTGAGCTAAACCACATATTGTGCATTTCCGTATTGATCTCCATCGATCTTGGAGCTGAGTATTGTCCATCTACAGTCTATGCCTGGACTTTAAAGCAGGATATGGGCACAAAACATATCCTGCTTGTAGTCAAACTAAATTACAGATTTAATTTAACTACAGGTAATTATAAATAAAAACACGACATTACTCATCAACGCTTATCTTTTATACATTTTTATGCCCCGGCCCCCTCCACCTCCACCTCCACCCCCACCCGCCTTTCTGTAGTGACGTAGAGTGACGCAGCGTGACGTAGTGACAGGTAAGCTGACACCGGCCGCCATATTGGGCAAGAGCGGAAGCGCGAGGAGGGGCGGTGTCAGAGGCAGAGCTCATCCGGAATCCTGCTGCCTTGGCTCGGCTTGGCTCGCTGCAAACGCTCGGTGTTGCGGAGGTGCTGGATGTCTGGATCGGCGCCTACTTCCACCAAAAGCGGGATATATATCGGACGTGAAGAGATACTTTACTGACGAAAGCTTTGAGCCCTTTTGTGCAGGAGACTTGGAGTAGACAGGGGGGACTACCAGGACTAGTTAAGCCGTAAAAGTCGAACGAAGATGCCGCTCGCTCAGTTGGCAGACCCGTGGCAGAAGATGCCTTTGGGCACCGCTGGAGAGGTGAGTCCCACATGCACTGTCCTGGAACTATATCCACACCTCTGCTCCCAAACACACCCCAAGAATGACAATTTCATAACTTATAGCTGGAGTGGATCCTGCACTGGTTTCTGTGTGTCTATGGAATGACATGCAAGAAGTGATTTAGACTGAAGTTCAACTCGTGTATAAGCACATATTTAAAGCTGGGATACCTAATTTTGAAACCACACGAAATGTAGCTGTATATAACCAGTAGTTCCCGGGTCAAAGTGTCAGATTCTGTCACTAGTTTTCACATGCCACATCTTTAGATCAACTTTGTCAGACTGAAAAGTGAAAAAAGGGAGGACCACCCCAGCTCAGGTTGGGTTTAGGGTTATTATGCACATGTATTAGGCTTTCTGTGGTCTGACTTGTTTGCATAAATGTTCTTTTGTTACTGTTGAAATAAAAAAACATGGCTTATTTAAAAAAAAAAAGTTAGACAACCCAGCTTTAAGTTAATGGACACTAAATAGGCTGTAATGATTTGCTTTTGGATGACTATTTAGCAAAGGCAACAAAGTGAATTACAGAGATTTGACTAAGCTTCCAAGTTCAAGTGAAGGTAACCCATGTCTGGCAGCTGGTCATCACAGCTGTTTTTTGGGATTTATGCATACACTTCAGAATACAGTTTATAATTCAATCTCATTTAATTCTTTTCAAATGTTCGTCCATCTTCAAATCTTGTTCATTAACAGTGCATAACATTCACAATATTCTACTTAAAAAGAAAAGAACACTTCCTGAATGTCAAATATTGCTTTTGTTTGATTTAATTTTCAATTTTAAACAATTTTATCGACTCTAGCCTGCATCGTTTTGTGAAAATGCATTGTGCAACTTTTCTGCCAGAGGAATGTCATTGTTTTTGCTTGGAATGTCATTGTTTTTGCTTGGAATGTCTATGATCTAAAACATATACCGTGGTCCCTCATTTATTGTGGGGGTTACATTCTAGCAAGTTACCTTTTGTAGGTTTTCTCCGGGTGCACCGGTTACCCTACCTCGAAAAACGTGTGCAATAGTCCCCCCTATCCCCGCCCTCTCTCTCTGGGGCCCGGAAATCTGAAATCTCAGTGTGACTTTCCTGGTTGAATTAAGATCATTAACACACTTTACACATTGAGTTGGCTCTCCTCTCCGCAGATATGACCTGTATCTTATTCAAATTAAACTTGCTTGTGACTAATGTCGATGGAAAGATGGACCCAAGCTAAAAGCACAGTTAAAGTTGCCCAGTGCATGGATTCCTAGCACTGGGCGGCACGGTGGAGTGGATAGCACTCTCGCCTCTCAGCAAGAAGGTCCTGGGTTCGAATCCTGGTCGGAACAGGGCCTGTCTGAGTGGAGTTTGCATGTTCTCCCTGTGTCTGCGTAGGTTTCCTCCGGGTGCTCCGGTTTCCCCTACCACTAAAAACATGCACAATAGGTCTGAATGTAGATGAGAGAGTGAGTGGATGGTGTTGGGTCAGAGGCTTTGATGGTCCAGTGTGTTCTGGACTCGCTTCCGTCATCACCGTGTGTGGAATGATTGGAACAATATCTGACTCTGAACATTGTAAAGCGCTTTGGGTCTGTGCCTTGGTCTGTAAAATGCGCTGTATAAATAAACATTACTTACTTACATTACTAACATCGGGACCCCATTGGAATAGTGAGTTGCTAAGCTAATACAAGAATCCCATGCATTTCTGTCTGAACTCCAGTGTAAGCAGATTATAGACACAGCAACTGAGACCTAAAAAAGAGGTGATAGTTCGTTCATTGCATTGAATTACACTTAAATAATTGTATTTTTGTCAATTTCAGTTAAATTACAATTGATCTTATAACCCGCTTCAGTAAAATCAATTATATTACGCCTGCAACAACAAGTGTAAACATAGCTCTCCATAGAGTTTGATACATACCAGTTGAACAAGTTGTAATGGTTGATATAGTTTGTGGTTGTGTGCCACTGTAAATACTTATCTGGTAACTCTCTTTAGTTTGATCACGGCAGCACACTTTGAGTCAGCAGCAAAACTAGATATCCCCCAATTCTCAGTAACCCTCAGTTTAGCAAGAACTGCAGTCTATAAAAGCTTCTGAAACTGATTTTATAATGAGGCTTGTTTTCATCTAAGTGAATCTATTGTTTAAAAACTTGTCGGGGCCAAAACAAAGACACAAAACACGGATTGGGTTGAACATGTGTTGAAGCATTGCACAACTTTTCTCATGGTGTCCTCTTCCTGTTTGTTGCCATGGAGATGATTTTTTTTTGCTTTCTTTGCTTGGAATGTTCCTCAGTAATGAATTCATAACATGTATTTATGTATAGCTCTAAATCACAACCACAATCTACCCAGAGGACTTTACAAAGTTGTCGATGCACCAACATCAGATCAGAAAATCAAACAAACATCCATCCATCCATCCATTTTCTTCCCCTTAATCCATTTCTGGGTCGGGGGGTGGCAGTCAGAGCTACACCCAGAGCACCAGCCCCTCACTGATCCTCCTGCAGGTGGTGAGTCCACAGGAGCTGAGATCTTTCTAAAATCAAACAGTTCGAACAAAGGAAATGCAGTCATAACAAACACAAACACATAGGAGCCACTGGTCCATATTATGACTGTGTCATTGTTTATTAGGATGACAAATAAAGATTATTATTATTGTTATTATAGGGAGCAGGATGACTGGTGTCCATAAATGTTAATGAATGACCTTAAATCTCCCGAATCATCACTGTCCTTAGCCCCTTCTGCATCAGCGAGGAACGACTCAAAGAAAACCCAGTGGGGAAGTGAGAGAGATCGGGGAGGTCCACATTGAGAGAGGGACACGCTGTAGATCCAGGACTCAGGCTGTCGAACGAGGAACATGTGATACAAAACTTGTAGATTTGTGTTTCTAAGATTAGATGAACTTTATTGATCTCACAATGGAGAAATGTACATGTCACATTTGGCATCGATAGAATCACTCGGGGTGTGCAAAAAGACAGGAAGTGTGCAAACCTGTTAATAGGTCACAATATAGTCTCTTTAGTGCAAGTTATATTATGTACAATAAAATGAAAAGTGTTAACAACAGCAAGGACAACTTATTCTTGTATAGCCCTAAATCACAACAGCATCATCTCAGAGACTTAACAAAACCATTGAAACCACCAACACAGATCAGAGAATCAACAGTTAAAACACAAAATATACACATTGGTCCATACATGTTGTAGAATGTTAAAGTGTCCTGGATCACCACATCCTTCTAGTTGAACACTAACTGCCCAACAGACCCTCCTGCATCAGAGGAAAAACTCACAAAAACCCAGTAGGGAAAAAAAGTGAGAAACCTCGGGGAGACCCACATTTGAGAAAGGGATCCGCTCCACACAGACGGGCTAATGATCCAGGACCTAAGCTACAGAACGAGGGCCAATGCCACGCAGCGGCCGCAGAACGTGGACAGGTCCGGTCCATGACTGAAGCGCTCCCAGGCGGGTCGGGCGGGGCAGTCCGCAGGTGTAGATGGATAGGGCCGGTTCAGAGGTCCCGTTGCCGCGCCACGAAACAGACAGTAGGACAACGGGTGAATAGCAATAAACACACTACAATCAAAATCTTCATAATGCAGACGGGTGCAGACTGAAGCGCTCCCAGGCGGGTCGGGCGGGGCAGTCCACAGATGATATGTTAAATGGTTTCATTGTTTTTCCTGCATAAAGTCGGATCGCCTCTGTGTAGACATGACCAGTAATAGCCTAATAGTGAAGTCTCCTCCACCTTCCAAGTCAAGGAACGCACTTTGAAGCTAAAATTCTGACGTTTATTAAGCACTATAGTAAAAACCGGCTTAGTTCAATTTGATTAAGGAAACATGGTGCGTTTAATTGCGCTGCGGAAATGAAACGACTCGCTGAATACGGTTTCTTTCTTTAATCTTCCTTGTTTTCTCCAAAATAGACTTATTTAGATTAGAATCAATATGTTGGGCTCCAACCACAGATGACGGAACAATAACATTTGGTGCATAAATGTCTATATAAATGAGTGACTTGACCATACGTGTAATTCTCCCTATAAACATTGACCTTGACCGAAATGCACAAGAAATAATTCACTAAAGAATAATACACAATCAGTTAAAAATGGGGTACCTAATCTTGTTCCAATAAATAAAACACATTTTTTCCCACCAGAAAGATTTTTGTAGCCGTATATAGTTGTAAACGAATCAGACCACAACACGCTGTATCTGTACTCAGTAGGAAAAAGCCCTTTGAGTCAGACACTTTGATTGATTTGATGGAATGAATCCTTTTTTGGCTGGGATCTGAAGAGAAAAAAATACATTTATGTGAAAGCTAGTGATGGAACCTAACTGTTTTGAGCAAGAAACTACATTTATGAACATTGGTCATTTGCCATTTTGGACCAATACCAATGTGTTTTTTTATCGTTGCATTTCTTGTGTGTGAACGGTTTGATTCTCTGATCTGGTTTCATTGTTTGTGGTTTTAGCGTAAGGTAGCCCAGCTTTAGCTACCATACGCGCAAACCAATAACAACCACTAACCAAAAAATAGTCACAATACTAATTTAGAGACAATGCTGATAAAGGCTCTCTTCATGATCACATTATCCTGAGGATTTGTCATAGCATCATTTAGACATTTAGACAGTGTGTTAATGATCCAAGATACTCAACATTTATCAACATTTATGGATATTGGTCTCTGCCCCGTACGGACCAATGTGTTTTTTTATCATAGCATTTCTTGTGTTTTAACGGTTTAATTCTCAACACATTATGCATTTGTTTGTGTTTTGCATAAACTTTTTCCGTTTAGACTCATAATGGAGTAATTTCATTCAAAGATAGAAAGCATGTGCACTTGTTTTGTCCTTGGGCAAGACACTCCCCCTGCGCTGCCCCCGGTGGCTGGAGTGCTGAGCTGAGTGCTGCGGAGCGGATGGGGCCTCGATACAAAGTGCTCTGAGTGGAAGCGTCGTATGAATTTACCATAATGAACACTAATGGATTCTGACTTTAAATAGAGTTGTGCTTTGAGAATGGAACCTTTTCCTGGAGAACACCTCAGTAAATGTTGGAGATGTTGTGTCATGTCAGAAGAGCAGTGTTATAATGTAGCTTGAATTGTTTTGGTGGAAGTCTAAGGTTCATCTCTCAAATCTATGGATCTCACCACTATTTTTGTTGTTGCATATTTGCATATTTTGTCATGTTTACTTCCACAAACTTAAGTATTTTACCTCGTTTTGTTTTTTAAAGACCGCAATAATGTGTCAGACTAGTGTGAAATGAAAACAAAATAAATCAGGATTTTATTATTACTGTATGTACTTTATATACTTTGCTTGTTTTTTTTTAGATACTGATTGAAGGTTAGACTTTTATAAAGATTTTATTGTATTGTTTTTTATTTTCAACCCTGGAATTTCCCCACTCTGGGTCAAATAAAACATCCTATTCTTGATCTATTTTATATAAATCCAAATCTGCACCAGCGTTCCCACAACAGAAATTCATATTTTGTGGAACCCTCTCATACCTGAAATCACTGTAGGAAGTCTTTTGGGACTCTGCTAGTTTTGCACATCTTGAGACTGAAAGTTTGACCCCTTCGTCTTTACAAAACAAGCGCTGTTAGATTTGATTGTGGCACATTGTTAAAGCTAGTTCAAACACACACATAAATCATAAAACATCACATTTAGAACTTTTAAACACATAACACCACTGTTGTTTCATTCAGGGCATAATATCTGGAATAAACTCGTCCATTCCAAATTACTCATTCTTTTCTAAACAAATGTAATGTCTCCAAATTATGTGTGCAGTATTTTGTGTCAAATTCTATGTGTTTATATTAAGATGATATTTGTATCTACAGTTCGTACATACTGCCTATTGCCTCTCGATGCACTGCAATATATTCATTTTTGGATCATTCACAAGGTTATTTAATTTTGACAAAATGACAAAATGCAGCCGCTATTAATGGACCATGTGGTATTGGAACATATGGAGCGTTTTGAGGCAATAACAGCTGCTTCTCAAACGGCCATGTGGCTTTAACAGAACTCACTGTTATAAAAATAGAGTACGACGATTACACTGAATTAAGTAAATGAATACAAACAAATTAGAATGGGTTTCCAGAGAGATCATTTTAAAAGTTGCACAACCCCTAAATAGGTCCCTCAGAGAAAGGACATTCGGTCGTACGTCTCCGAGGACAAACTAATCTAAAAACAGTTCTGTTTAGTTGTGCCAACGACTTTGTGTGTGCTCTTTCTTCTTTTAATTAAACGTCGAAAGCACATTGAATGACTTTGTGTACAAATTGAGCTAATGTTGCCGAGCCCTCGACTAAAGACAAGGCACAAACGTTTCGTCAGTAATTTGAGTAAGAGAAAAAACTTAAGTGGATTTTTCATTTGTCTCCTTTAAATTTTTCCTTTTTAAAACAAAAGTATTGCCTGTGATTTAGTTTCAGCAATGTTTAGGGGTGAAATTAGACTCTTTTAAAGCACATGTCGGTTTTTGGCAGTCGGTAATTTCAACTAACAAATTCTCTTCCTCCCTCTGGTGGTAGCAAAGGGAGTTACAGGCAGGAAGCATTTTTTTACCCTTCATACCATATATTTTTGATTCTACTAACTCACATTTTGAAACATGGAAAATGAAAGCATTACCTGAACTACTATTTTGCATTTCATCCAGACTTAGTATATTTTATTGCTGGTTCAGACTTTCCACTGTTACCTTTGCAGGATATTTCTCACACAAATGTTTTTATCATAGTTTTAATCAGTGGCACTTCCTTTACTCTGATCTTGCTCTCTGCATCGACTGAGATAAAGGCAGCAGGCGGGGCATGGGTCGACCGCACGCATTAGGAAGAGGTTTACAAGTTTGTCTACTTCCTGTTTGAGCTGTCAATCACAAAGTTATAAACACGTTCTGAACTACTCCTCTGTGTTTATCTCACGGCCGCCATCGTTCAGCCAATCTCTCACCTCCTCATGGTGCGGAGAGCAGCCGTCAGACATGCTTCAAGGAGAATGTATACAATAGGTGTACGCAGTCACAGTCACGACTAAAGCAGGACTAAAGCAGGACTAAAGCAGGACTAAAGCAGGACTAAAGTAAGACTAAAGGCAGGACTAAAGGCAGGACTAAAGGCAGGACTAAAGGCAGGACTAAAGGCAGGACTAAAGGCAGGACTAAGGGCAGGACTAAGGGCAGGACTAAGGGCAGGACTAAGGGCAGGACTAAGGGCAGGACTAAGGGCAGGACTAAGGGCAGGACAATAATATACATAATAATAAAAATGCATTGGTTTTAAAAAGCTTTTTTGGACGCTCAAAGACGCTTAATTTGACATTATTCTTTCACTTCATACACTATGGTGATAAATTACTATTGTAGCCACAGCTGCCCTGGGGCACACTGAAGCGCACATAGAGGTGAGGTCTGAAGCGGAGGTCTGAAGCTGAGGTCTAAATCGCACTAAAGCAGTATTTTTGTTGTTAAAAATGAGGACTAAACTAACAAAATTCCAACAGCGACGGTCAGACCTGACAATAGGTTTTAAGATTGTCTTAGATCATTGTCTTAGTTCCCCTTTAATCCAATTACAAGATCCGTTTTTATACCTGAGTACTCCGGGTTTATCCTGCTTTAGATCTGTGCGTCAGCTTTAGGTCCGGGGTTTAATCTTTGGTTCGTACATGTTTATGATTTTGGTTTCAGATTGGATGTGCCACTGTGTTTATAACAAAAGGAAGAAAATGCTGTTGTAGATCAGTAGATGCTTTATTGGTCCCCTCAAGGAGAAATCAGGTCACAGCAGCAGAGGTGTAACATCAACTGGTGATGAGCCGCTTCCTCTGGTTGATGTCTGCAGAGCCTGCTTGGTTCTGGCCATTTACTCTGCTCTGGTTCAGAGTGAACTTCCAAATGCTTTTTTGACATAATTGAAAACATGATTAGCATTCCTTCTGTGGATCTCCGCGTGATCTGCCTTGTTCGGACCATGCATCCTCTCTGCTCTGGCCTGGATCAGTGTGAAACCGTGAATACTGTACTGCAATCTACAGCTACAAAAAAAACAAAAACAAAAACTTTCAGAGCTGCTTAGAACTTGCTGACGTTTGCAGAGCAGTCAAAAGTCACTGTAGGGCGATAGTTGGTGAACTGCAACATGCTTTGTAGAACAATCTCCTCAATCTGTCTTTTGTATTAAATGTTTTCATGTAATAACTTGAAGAATTGTGTGGGTTTCGCAGTAAGCAATTCAGTGTTGTAGGCTTTGACTGCGCTGGTTGAATAAATCATGAGGTCAGGGGGTCCAAATATTTCACTGCATTTTCTAAAGCGTAAATCATAACTCTTCCTGTTTTTGTGTTTTGAGGAAATATGAGAAATAGTTAATCTGCTCTCGAATCCAACTTTCTCTCCTGAAGGTGTAAATTAGTTTTGTTGCTTTTGGTTTTGTCATTTGGAGTCGGTCGCCGTGCTGCTGTATGTCCAGATTTCACCCTTATCAACAACAAATCTGTTCAATCGGCTCAACTCTGAAAACACTTTTGCACACAAACGGTTTGCTGTGTAGAGTAGAGAATATTTTTGCCTTTTGTAGATTCATGAGACAAATGCATACGTTTTCATCAACATAAGATTAGCTGAAAACCAAGATCCTGGTTTGCTCCTCCCACATTACCTTATACCTGGCTAAATATTATTCACTTCCAATTTCTTTTGGTTAAAGCTAGGGCACCTAACCTTTTAGTAAATAACATATGTTCAGGGTCCCAACAGTTTGTGAAAAGACTTATGTCTATTAGAAAACCTGTTATGTTTTTCATATTTGTACTATATACACTTTAGACTGAGACCTGATTAGCTAAGAGCTGATTGGCTGAGAGCTGATTGGCTGAGAGCTGATTGGCTGAGGGCTGATTGGTTGAGGGATGATTGGTTGAGGGACAATTGGCTGAGAGTTGATTGGCTGAGAGTTGATTGGCTGAGAGTTGATTGGCTGAGAGCGGATTGGCTGAGAGCGGATTGGCTGAGAGCGGATTGGCTGAGAGCGGATTGGCTGAGAGCGGATTGGCTGAGAGCGGATTGGCTGAGAGCTGATTGGCTGAGAGCTGATTGGCTGAGAGCTGATTGGCTGAGAGCTGATTGGCTGAGAGCTGATTGGCTGAGAGCTGATTGGCTGAGTGACGGTTCCTCTCTTTTTCACTTTTCTGTCCGGATTTTTTATCTAAATATGTGACAGAGGCCGATGTCACATGCACATAAGGACTGGTAACTGTCGGCGTGAGGAATAGGGCTGCGCAAAAAGCCAAACTATTTTTAGATCTACATATAGATTGTTTTTTAAATTTATTTATATCAAACAACATGGACAACATCCTCCACAAATGACTGGGATGGATGAAATAGGAAAATAATGACAGACCACACTCTTATCCACATGAAATTGCTTTGTTATTATTAAATTGTTCAATCATTTTTAATCTTCCTTTTCTCATTTGTGGTTTTCTCAGGAGCCACATCACGAAGCCGAGGACTCAGTGGGAGACGACGACTCTGCTCTGGTGAGTTCAGAACAAAAGTCTGATCTCTGCATGACGCTGACTAAACGATTAAATGGGTTTAACTCTGCAAAATAGAGCTTTTATCCACGTTTTCCTACTCTTTCCACCCATTCTAAGTTGTTTCAGAATAATTCAGGTAGTTATTAGCATGATTAGCATTCTCCATCAGGTTGTTTTAATTAGTACTGCTGAACTTTGATACTATTCTGCTACTCGAGTACTTTTGGGGTGGTGGGATATTACATGTGTGTTATTGTGACATTCTACTGCTGTGAATTTAAAGACACACACACACGCACGCAGACACACACGCAGACGCACACACAAACACACACACAGACTCAGACTTGCGCACAGAGACACACACACGCAAGACACCGAGACAGACACGCACATATACACACACAGAGACAAACGCAAAGACACACTCAGGGAGATACCCACTCACAGAGAGACACACACATGCACACACACACATGCTGTAAAGTGCTTTGGGTGACCCGAGTCTGTAAAAATGCTCTATATAAATAAAGATTACTTCCAAAAACAGAGACACACACAGACGCACACATAGACAGTTGACAGCTTTACTATGTGTCGGTTTGTTTACAATTGAAATATATCTACAATTTTATTTACAATTTATCATCTCAAAATAGAGTGGGAAGTAGAAAAACATACACATTTAAAATTGTTATTATCAATATTATTTGACGTGGAAGAACATAGTTTGTTTTCCCCTTTTGAGTAAAACTGCCTGTATACCACGGACCAGAAAAGCAAATTAGAAAAATAAAAGTCAAGAGTAGACAGGTCGTGGTGGTCAAAAGATCCACTGAAAACAAATTTGAGCAAGTACAATGGGGGAAATAATATGGTTAAGAGCTGTGAAAAGTCTATTTAGTATTATTTTGTCTGGTTTTAATATCATTTTCATCATCATGCATTGTTTCTTTCTAATTTCTTAAAATGTCACCTCTCTGATAATTTGCTGCTGGGAGTTAGTGCAGTCAGTGTTGCAGAGGTGTTCCCGGATCTGAAGTTGGCTTTATTCCCTCTGCAGTCGGTGGATTTTCTGACTGTCAATGGAGTTGTGTTGGAGGCAGATTGTAAAACATGTGCTCCTGCAGCGAAGGGACGCCCACTCACTCGGAGCAGGATAATCACTGACTCAAAGTGAAGAAAGTCATGAGTCAGATCCTCCCTCACATTCACTCACGCTCAGCAATTAGACCGAGCCATTAACACCGCAATTTACAAAACCTCTCCTCAGAGTTACTACTGCAGCGCATGATAAAGCTGCTATTGCTTCAATTGCTTCAAGTCGTATTTATAGCTACATTTCAGCTATCTTTATGTGAATCACTCTCAACTTTCTAATCATTTGTAGCCTGGTCTTAGTCATCCGTAAACTCTGGTCCTCATTTCCTACATGTACGTCTGGATCTGATCGTAGTGGCTGCAGTTTCCTCGGTTGAATCCCCTCCGACCAATCAGAGCGCGAGGGAGGCGGGTGTTGTAGGGAGGTGTTGGTGACGTCAAGGTTTTGCAAGGCGGAGAATCCATGTTCCATGAATGTGCGTCTCCAAATATCAAGAAAAGGAAGCCTAAGCAAGATGAATGTTGAAAGCAAATTTCGTTGCCAACTAAGATGTTGTGGCTCTACTCCCAACGGGGGTCGGCAACAGTTAGTGTCAAAGGAGATGCTAGGCTAAATGCTAATGAAGCAAACATACGTCACAACCCAAACACTGTTGATTGGGTAAACTTTGATCCAATCAATCCATTCTGCAAACCCACCTGTAAACCCGAGCTCAATGGAGAAAAACCAGACCTAAGGATGAAATGAGTATGATGGTATAGTAAGACCAGGTTAAATCAATTGTGGAGAGGGGAGATTTTCCAATGCAAGCACTGGTGAGGGCTCCCCATGCTCACCCCTCCTGCTTTCTGAATAATTTCAAATTCTTGTTGGCCAGACGAGCTCTCTTGAATTATTTTCCTGCAAATCTTACCGGCGCTGGTTCTGCCAACTGTGTCAAGGGGTTGGAATGTGCTGAATGTATGATCTTTTGACGTGAGGACTCCAGCAACAATGGAACTACGAGAACACCCAGAACCGTCATTTGGACTGGTCCAATTCAGACCAATGGAATTCTGAAATATTCTGCCCAAAGTTTTCCCCCAATTTGATTATTAAAGTAATTAATTAGGGTGCAATTTACTATGCTAAATCTAGTTAATATAACACTTAGTTGAAAGGCTAAATGCTTACTGCTAATAGTAAATGAAGTGTTGCTATAGTAACTAGCACTACCTTTTGCCATAGTATCTACCACTTTCTCTCACCTGATGGAAAACCAAACTGAACCAGAACCAGTGAAGGACCAGCACCTTCAAGGGCTTTAACATCATTGATTCATACATCGTAAATGAGATTGAGTTGTTGCCAAGAAATAATGTGTTAAAATAACAAAAGCCCATGGAGTAAATTAAACTATTTAAAAATGAACTAACTAACATGCTCTGGGAACACTTTGAAATGAAACCACAAAATGTGTTTTGTGTGGAAATGCAACTTGTATTACTATATTACAGTTCCTCTACACAGCGTAAATATAAGATCAAAACTGATGCAATACTCAATACTCTGATTCATTCTTCCTCAACTTTTGTAATTATCTGTGGTTTTAATAAATCCAACTTAATTCAACTGTGCATTGAAGTGAAGTCAGTAAAATCAATCTTTTTGCCAATTGATTCATCTCAATCGTTTGTCGCATAAATCACCTCCAGTTGTTCCCTGTAAAGAGATGTATTTTTTCCTCTTTTTTGTGACGTTGAAGCTGGAGATCCTAAACTTTTGTTGTTTCATAAATACACATTGTTTGTTGTTTAAGTACCATTTTGTGAGCAAAGCAGACCACAAGATCAATAAAAACGTTTGATCTTTGACGTGCCCTGAGCTGATTGGCTGAGTGAAAAAGCTGATCTACAGATGTGACGGAGACCTAAAATACTTACATGGGAAAACTAGTGATGGAACCAAACTATTTAATGAACGTGGAAATGGTTACATGGATTTTTATGACACAAATAAAGTAAATGTTGGTTTTTAAAATTGTGACCGAACATTCCTGGCTTCCCAAATCGCAAATCTAATCTCACTCGCAGCGTTGGTCACAGAAATTGCCGCCACATACAGGTTTTTTTTGTAAATGTCTCACCCCTTCTGGAGTTTAAACTGTGTGAACGTTGCGACTACGACCCCCCGGACCCCTCTCCTCCAGTGAGTCCAGCGCTCAGACTGCTGCTTCCTGGACTGGGCCGCAGTGCAGACGGCAGCTGGTGTATTGATTTTTCTAAATGCAGGAGAAAGCTGAGGATCGAGTGTCAGAGGAGGCCATTACATCAGAGCACAACAAGTCAAGACCTGCCTCAAAGCCGAGCGGTGAATCAGGGCCTAGGACTTTGCTCGCGTCTTTTACACGTTTTGCCGGGTTTGAACTGGAGAAAATGGGGCTGAACCGTTTGTGTTCTTTAAGTGGTTTTACTCTGTCCCGACGAACTGTTTCTGTTACCCCAGACATTTATCAAATCATTCACACTTTCTATAAAGCAAAACAAAAGATCTTGAAATGGTCAAATTTGTTCCATATCTATCTAAACCTCTCTCGTCCAAGGTGCAACAAGCCGATGCAAATTGCAGACAGAGACATTTAGACAGGCCTAGTCATTTCACAACGGAACTTAATATCTTAGCTTTAATTGAAAATAACATTTGAGTTGTACATATGAGTATTCACAGTGTGGTCTTGAATTAGTGCTGTAGTCTGTAGTTCATACTCATCTAAAACAAGAGAGTAACATTGAAACCCATGTTAAATATTCTCCAGACTTTCTCCTCTTTTACCCCTCGTCCTAATTCCACTGTGTTGAGACAGACTCCAGACATGTTCTCGCCACAAGTTGGGAACGCCAATCCATGACACGTTGGTGTTTTTTATGCTTCAATTTAAATTTTGCCAGGGCCCTTTGCCTGGTTTTCCTGCCGTGCAAGTGAACAAAGTGAGTGATATAAATCAATGTGTCCTGTTGAACTGAGCTCAGAGCGCTGCAGTCGCACTGTAGCTGTTTTAACGTCTGCATTTTCTGAATTATCAATATATATTATTGTCTCTTACTTAGTTGTTGATCACACGTATTTAAATCAGAAGAGATCACTTAAATAGCAAATGGATATTCTGTTATTATTTTATTTGATGAACCTTCACAGCATGGCTGCGTGGCCTGGGAAAAAAATAATCGAACCTCCCGTATTGATTGATCTAGAGTTCCCATTACCAGGAGCGACTGTCTCTCTCTTGCACACAACTCAAGATCACAAAGAGCCAAATGCTCTTCACACGGCGCCTCGATGTGGACAGATCCTTCTTTAAGGCCAAAAGTGCTCCGTGCACCGACAGCACCTGTGCATTAGGAGGTGGCTTTGATCTCTCTTCAAATCATTTGTGCGTTTTCCCTCGGCTGTGAGGAGAGCTGCTCCGAGAAAACCTTTTTGAGAGGCAGAGTTCACAACCCACTCACCCGAATTTCAAAGCGGTCATGACTAAAAGTGCCAATATAAAGTAATTCAATTCATTTTAAGCCTGCAGAGACTGTGTTTGCTCTGAACTGTAGATCAATGCACTTTCTTGTTGAATGATTACCATTCCTTTTCTAAAAATAACCTTAGTCTCCTTGATCTACCAGTGTACATCCATTGTTAACAATCCAACCCTCAAATAACTGGTTTGACAAATACAATATGTGTTTGGTCAAACGTGAAACTGTGAACAATATTTCAAACACATTGAGAGGCAAGAACACACGCGTCATGGTGGAAAAGCATAATATATTTTTGATTCATTTTGTGCTCTGGTAACTCTCTGGTATCTGTCTTTTGTTGGAGATACAGAGAGCTCTCTGAATGCACAATTTTCTGGAAATCAATTTCGTGG